AAACAATGCAAACAGGGAGAAACTCGTGACTTGCATAATTGTATGGTTTTATGCTAATTTTTTTAGGTATTTCATTTACAACGAAGTCACATATGAATGTATAGGATAGAAATATATATCTCTCTCATGATGCACACTATCTACCACAACTTCCTCTTTACACCACCAAAGAAGATCACTAGATTTTAAATTTTACTTAGGTAGGTCATAACAATACCAAATTAATAAATACAGGTTCATTTCATAAAATTTCAACTGATGTTGTAGGCACAATATGGTTGAAGAAGAGGACTAACAAAACAAGTGTAAATAACGGCAAGTTATTATGATAACTCAGCATTTTATCCATCCGTTTTAGGTTAGTTATACTAGCGTGGGAATTCTTTTTAGTTCCATGGGAGTCCCATGGGATCCATGGGCATGTACGGTGGGCCAAAGATTATAGGGTGCCCATGGGAAATGTCAAGGTCTACCCGCGTTAATGCTACGAAGGCCACGGCGAAGTTGGTATAGTTCCTTACGAATTCCGAGCCCGCGGCATTATAAAGCGATTAATCAACTTATCGTGTACCTATATAGCACTCGATACCCAGCCCTAGAGTACGGATTAGGAAGCGGACTAAACACAATTGAGCTCTCTAGTGATGCCTCGTTTACCGACAACTTAGGTAGGAAGAGCTATACCAGTTATATATGCTAAATGTATAGAAGCCCGGTGGGTTAGAAGGCTATTAAATAGCCTACTATTATAACGTCAACCACGGAAGCCGAGCTGCTCGCACTATCCGACGCTACACGCTCTTTATAGTGGTGGAGAAGACTCCTTAGAAGGTTGCAGTTCATCCCGAGCCATCCGATTACGCTAAAGTGCGACAATAAGAAAACTGTCGATCTCATCACCACTGCGCACGAAGCTACGCCACGTGGATATTCATAGGAGTTGGCTCAAGCAGGAGGTCCAGTGTGGAAGGTTAAACGTTGAGTGGGTTTCTACCGCACAAACGGTAGCAGATAGACTCACGAAGCCTCTACCCCGCCAGAAGCATAAAAGCTTCATCAAGATGCTACGTATGGCAGATATCGAGGAGTTGATTGAAGAGGCCTAAGGTGATGCAGCCTCGTACTAATGAATAGGGCTCAATGGGACGGAATCCCCTGTTCATCCAAGAAGTAGTCATCGTTCAGCACGGTGATATAGATGCTATTTATGCACTAGATGGCATCACGGAGGATATACTGGTAAACTCTTTGATTCCCATTATTCCTTCCCCGAAACGTGTGTCGCTCATCTAAGATTACTGGGTTGGGACTAGAGCTTTCGATGGTGCGTGGCCGGGCAACGTGATTCTTTCCAAACTGTAGCCATTTTTGTGAACCAACTAGCGTTATAAATAGCAGACATGCTTCTCGACTTCTCCCTAAGCTTGCTTTGATATATAGTTACCTTCCATATCGGGCCTTCCAAGACCAAATCCTTACGTTTTGCTCTCGCCTTTCCCTCGTCTTTCTCTCATTTGCCTGGGGACTTATCTACTATGCCGTCATTCACATGGGCGCTACTTCCCGCGCTGTTTGCTCAGGTGCTACCCACACACGCCGCACTGTATGAGCAGGTCATTCATACTCAGCATGGCCCTGTGCAGGGCTAACCGGATTTCAACGAAACTCCAAGCGGAAACCTTACCCATTGGCGCGAAATATCTGTCTGGAAGGGCATTCCGTTTGCGGCCTCCACCGCAGGTAAAAATCGGTGGAGGGCACCACAACCAATGAGCCTGTGGAACGCTACCCTAGATGCTCGCGACTTTGGAAACATTTGCTCCTCTTCTTCGTCCAGTTCGGAATACTCCGTCTCAGAGGACTGTCTGAAACTTAACATTTGGAGCGCCGCAAAGAGCACTGATGCGAAGCTTCCCGTAGTCACGTGGAGCTATCCCGCATACTCAACTGTCGCAGACGCGCTTTTTGACGGCGGTGGTATGGCAGACGAGGGTGTGGTTTACGTGAACTATAATTATCGGACCGGCTCTCGGCTGGTTGGCCCACCCAGAGTTATCTGAGGAAGACCTTGCCGCAAATCGTCGTCAGAACAGTTCTGGTAACTTGGGAATGCTTGATCAGTTCGAGGCACTCAAGTGGATTCGCGCCAATATTGCCGATTTTGGCGGCGATCCGGAGCGCATCACGGTTATGGGACAATCTGCTGGTTCGGCAGCTACACATGACATTCTCAACAGTCCTTTAACCAAGGGTATGATCAAGGGCGCAATCGTTGAGAGTGGTGTTCGTTACCCCCATGACCCTTTGTGTTCTTCCCTGGACGAAAATCACCATACGCTGGAATTTGCGTTGAATCAGGCTGTGAAGTACCTTGCATCGAAGAATGCTAGCACTATTGCAGCGGCCCGCCAACTGTCCTATGAAACATTTGTCGAGAACAGTCAATTCTCCTTCGGCAATACTTCATCCTCCTGGGTCTTCACAGCCACCCTTGACTACTACGCTATGCCGGATACATACTACAACACGCTCCTCAAGGGCGATGCCAATGACGTTCCTGTCCTCACGGGTATTACCCGCGATGAGAGCGGCGCTACTTATGGACTCAACATTACCGTCCAGGAGTATCTGGCGGACTTGAATGAGACTTATAGCGGCCAACTCGTCGACGAGTTCCTCGCCCTGTATCCAGCCGCCAATAGCTCACAGGCGTCTCTATCGGAGAACTTGCAGTTTACGGAACGGTCCATGGTTGGTACCTGGCTCTGGGCAAGGATGTGGCGTCCCAACGCATCGAGCCCAGTGTTCACGTACCTCTGGGACCACGCTCCCCCCGGCAAGGACCAGGGTGCGTATCATGAATCTGAGATTAACGATGTTCTCAACAATCTCTATGGACCCGATTCTCCTTGGACTGGTGAAGATTACAGAATTGCGGCGACAATGAATACCTACTGGATCAATACATACTGGATCAACTTCATAAAATCCGGAAACCCGAACGGCGCTGCTCTGGTCCATTGGCCTGAAGTGACAATACGGAGATCACGCAGCAGCTTGGTGACGTGTGGGGCTCGATGCCTATCGCAAGTGAAGCGCAAGTGAAACTTTTCAAGAGATGGTTCAACACTCTGGCAATCTGGTAGATATATCTATGAATTGTCGGTCCTGGCTAGCATTCATTTTACTGGTATCATTCCCACTCGGGAGGTCTTTTGTATCGATACCTTAGTGTCCTGTATGTCTCGCAATTTAATACGCACGAACTGTAGCAAAATACAATTCGATTTAACTGTGTGGTGATGAGAATTAGACTCTATGGAGCCAAGCATCTTAATACCTACTTATCACATAACTTTATGAATTATCACTTTTACAACTCAATGAACGGACCTAAGCCTACATATGTACATATATATGCCATCTCTTCACCTCTTACAACTTGGTTGACTATTGTAGATGGGACCAAGATCCTGAGGTATATTTAACTTCTGTTGCAAGTTTCCTTGTTGCTTACCGAGGATCAACCATGTGATCATCCTGTGCACTACGCCTGATAGATGCATCATCGTGACATGCAGGATTCGGGGACGAAGAGGTATGAGCTCGCCTCCCCCTAGAACTTGGACTTAGCAAGAATCAGTCCCTGCAGGAAGAATACCATACGTTTCCCCTCACTGCTCAACTCGCCTGACAGGAACTAGCCTGACAACTAGTATTCCTTTACAACTATCGACATCATGTTCCGCAAAGGCGTTCTTCCTTCTACGACCCCAAAATACGAGTTTAAGGGAATCCGGGATTGTCTCCAGAGTGTAGAGCAGGCATTGGAGAAATGTGAAGAGAATCCTTATGTTATTTTTGTTCTTGACGAGCCTTCCTTCCTTGACTGTTTTCTGAAATCCGGGGAAAGTCTGCTCACAAAATCATGGGAGGCTTACGATCCTTCTATTAACCATCTACTCATCAAAATGGAGTCGCAATTTCATGGCGTAGCACTCAGAGCTTTTGAACGAGTATTCGATGCGTGGGACATGGATAGTCATTGTCCGCTTGTGACTACGGGCAGAACAATATGCAGAGGTAGTTCGGGGAAGAAGAAGGAGCCGGCTTCCACTTGGATCCCGAGACACTCAGGCAGAAAATGGCCCACTGTCGTACTCGAAGTGACATATAACGAGACACCGAAAAAGATGGAAGAAAATGCGAAATTTTGGTTAACCGAATCTTCGGAGGTCGCCACCGTTCTTACGGTCGAAGTATTTAAGCGTGGAAGGATCTCGGTAAAACAATGGAACATGAGAGGCGCAACTGCTGTCCCTAGCCAGGCGATGGAAATTGTGCGTAATCCTGCGCCAAACTGCAAGAAAATTCAAGGGAGCATTCGACTGGCCTTAAAAGATATTTATCTTCGGCCGAAACGGCAGCACGAGACCGACTTCGTTTTGACCCCCCATGCCATGGAACAGATTGCATCTCCAATATGGCATACTCAATTTGGCGATTAAATACTCCCTGAGTTTTTGAAATCGAGAGAAACAACGGGTTTATGCCAGAAAATAGAAGTCCGGTCTTTTACCAGAAACTGACCACGGAATGGGAGCAATTTTCCGGTTAAGTGCTATACCGGGGCATGAGTATGGAGGATATTTCCCCTGAGTTGGCTTGTTTGTCTGAAGTTGATGATCCTAATCTCCTAGGAGAAGGTAGTAGCGACCTTGTCTTTTTCACATGCGCGTCTTGAAGATCTTGGATGGTAGAGAAATGTTCTTTTCAAATGTCTTTTTTCTTCTTCTTTTTTTTGAGATATTCAGCCCGCGCCCCCCAGGTGTTATACCTGAAAAGGAAATGCCACCAAGAATGGCAATAGTAGCACGAAGTAGCCATCACCTACTTGCCGATATCCTGACCGAAGAGAATCAATTACCTCGGCAAACCGAGCATCGTTCTCTACTTCATCAAAATGCGCCCAAGCCGGCTTCAACCTCCGTGCTGCCTACAGCAAACGTAAAAAGCAGGGTTAAAGATATAAGAAAACAAAGGAAATATTGACCACGTCGGATTTAACACTCCTTGACAAAAGCCAACGTCATCTGACACTGCTCGCACCAATGGCAAATTCCATACCCACTCTACAACAAGCCGCCGTGGTGCAAAACCCAGGAGAAAATGCAACCATTGCTCTTCGGAATGATATGCCTGTCGCAAGTCCCGGACAGAATGAAGTTCTTATCAAATTGACTTGCACCGGTTTGTGGTAAGCACTTTCGGAAATGACTTCAACCCGTCCGAAAGCTAACTTAATACCCATCAAAAAAGCCGCTCAGAACTCCGCGCCGTTTTAGCCTGGGGCGCATACAACTCCATCATTGGCCACGAAGGTATCGGAATCGTAGTGAAAGCAGGACCCGAAGTCTCGGACTCCCTTCTCGGCGAACGCGTCGGCGTCAAATGGCTCTACAGTGCATGCAATGAATGCTCAGTCTGCAAACGAGGATTCCAAAATCATTGTCCGCAGCAGCTCAATACAAGTCGCCATGTTCCCGGAACATTGCAGCAATACGTTATCGCTGATGCGCGGTTCCTGACTTTACTCCCGGAGGGCGTGGCTGACGAAGTTGCGGCGCCATTACTGTGCGCTGGACTTACGATGGTTGGTGCTTTGTCGAAACTTGGTAATGAGCTGCGGGCTGGTGACTTTGTTGTTATTTCAGGGTCTGGGGGCGGGTTGGGCCATATTGGTGTGCAAATTGCGGCGAGGATGAAAAACTTGCGTGTTATTGCGGTTGATAGTGGGGATGATAAGAGAGCACTGAGTTTGGAGTCTGGAGCGGAGGTTTTCTTTGATTACAAGACCGAAGATGTCATTGCTCGAGTGCGTGAGTTCACTGGAGAGGGCGCGCATGCCACAATCGTCGTGCCAGGTACGAAGGAAGCTTTGAAGATGGCACCTAACCTGGTGAGAAACATGGGTTTTGTTGTCAATGTCGGCTTGCCGCCGAATAATTTGGACATTCCTCTTTCGGCTACGCTCTGTACAGCGAGAGGTAAGATGACTGGGATGTGGTCTTCCAGTGGTCAAAACCATTACTAACCCTCGGTAGGTCTCACGTTTATAGGGTCGTCTGTAGGCACCGAAGATCAGTTGACCGACTTACTGCAAGCGGCATCTGTTGGCAAGATAGTGCCATCGATCGAAGTCTTTGATTTCTCGGCTGTGCCGACTTTGATAGAGAAACTGAGGGAGGATGGCATTACAGGAAGAGCAGTGGTCACACTACCACAGTAACTTGATATCGCATAGTACAACTATAAATCGACGTCCGAGTCTCCAAATTTTACGCGAAGCTGCCGAGATCTGCGGTGGAAATAGAAAGCAAATTGCTCGAGACCAACAGTATGCCAATATTCCTTCGCAAATCCCAAGGCCACAACCTGTCACTTTCCGACCATCAACCATACTTCGCCAGCCATGGCTCAATCAACGAAAGCCAAAAAGCCAGCTCCAAGCCCCGAGTTATCGGAAATAACACGTACAGCAATTATCAAAGCCCTTGAAAATGGCAATTCGGCCATCAAAATTGCGCAAGATCTACACGTCGCGCGATTCACTGTTTACCGCACGAAAATGCGGTTTCAAGAACGCAAAGATATGGCTTCAAAGCCTAGATCAGGCCGTGCTTCTAAGTTGAGTGACCAGACTACACGTTACATTGTACGTTTCGCAAGAAAAGACGATCGCCCCAGCTGGGCTGCTATTGCTGCCGCTGTCGATGGCAGAATCTCCAAGTCAGCAGTGAGGCGTGTCGCACGCGGTCAATATGCCAAAAAGAATGTCCAGGCCCAAGACAAAGTTTCAACACCTTTGACGGCAGAGAAATCCAGCAAGAAGAAAGCAGTTCGTGCGAAAGGCTCGCAAACTGCAGAATGAGATAATGGCACCCGTCTTGCACTATTGATCGGCTCAGGAACTTGAAAAGCAAAGCCATTACTTGTTCGTGCGTATGTACTTGCGACATTAACGGAATCTGTGGGATAAAGATAGAAAGCTACAAAGAACACAACCGCATTCGAGACACATCAAGTCCCTGGGCAATGCTGTCCTCCAAGGAAGTCCACCCTTCCCGCCCACAGAATTCCTGCAGGAGCGTTTCTGCTTCCTTGGCGGGGATAACTTCACTCAGATCACGTCCCTCGTTAATCGGAGGATCGGGAATCAAAGTACTATCAGGTTGGAGCTTTCGAACGACTGAGATCATGTCAGTGAGGTTCACAGGAGCAGCAAACCCGAAGAGTCGCCGAGAGACTGTGGTTGGGTCGAGAAGGGCGGCTGCGTGGAGACGCGCAATGTCAACGACATCGCAGAAGTATTCTGTTTTTGCACATCAGCTGTGATCAAACACCAATATAACCCTAGTGTCCACTTACGCGGCACAAATGTCTCGAAAATGCGTGTATTCCCCTTGGCTAGGCCAGATACCCAGCCCATTGTCGAGCCGTGGATCTCTTCGTGTAGGATTCTCCCGAGCTATTTCAAGTCAATATCATCAGTTTGAATTGGCTGCCAGCCGAGCATAGAAAAGACTCACTGTAAAATCCGGCAACACGGTATTGAATTGGAAGTCTGGCTTGTTATTCTCCATCCATCTCCATGCTGCCTTCTCTCCCTCAGTTTTGGAAGCAGCATAACTGAACAGACCCTTCAGATGCTGTGGAGTATCCGGATTATAGGCTTGCTTGATAGCTTCATCATTCCAGGAATCTAGATACGCTATCAGCCAATACATCCTTCTATTCCCTTCTCTAGGAACTGATCTCTCACCCTCACGAATAACAATACCCTCCTTATTCGGCTCCGGAAACAACGCCGTTATCGCAGAAGAGGTCATCACAACCCGCTGTATATCACAATGTCTCGATGCAGCCTCCAGCACATTATGAATGGCTCTCAACACCCACGGCACAACCTCTTCCGGATTCGAGCTGAAGCTGACATCTGATGCCTACACATCCCAATGTCTCGTTAGCACACACACACACACTCGTCCTGGAATCCCATTTTCACTAGTAACACGTACCACATGCGCCACCCCAGATACACCATCCATCACATCAACCAGAGTATCGACATTCTCAAAGTTAGCAAGAATAACAGACTCATATGAGTCGTTCCCGAACCCCTCCCGGAACATCTTATCGAGCCATGGTTTCGGTGAACGGACAGTCCCGCGAACCTTGAAGCCTAGTTCAAGCAGACTGTGGACCACATTACTCCCAATGAAGCCATTCGCACCGGTTACCAGGATCCGCGAGCCACGAGGCAGATAGTAGAGTTGTTTAGCCATGGAGGATATATCAGGGGGTTCTGAGTTCCTGTGTGAAAAACAGGGAGAGACATCAAGAGTAAGCGAGTGGGGAGACTGTGGAGTCGAATAAAGTTCTCCTGATTTCGCCCTCGGACGGTGTCGAAGTGGGTTAGGGGGGTTGGGTGCCAGACCCCCGAGACATGTTGATCAGTCTGATTAGTTGGAATACATCGAATACAGTTCGAGTTACTCCACAATCAGTTGTGGCGACACTTCGACGGGGATAGGCGGGATGGCATATTGTGTTGCCGAGGGTTTGGGAGACCCGACAGTCTGGGTCAATGTGACGATCTGTGCAGAACAAGGCGATAGTCCCGAGCATCTCGGTAGCCTTGACGGGTCGCATTTATTGATTTGATACGAAGCACGGAGTACTACATACCTAGCTAGTATTTGTTGTGCACTTAGTGATCTATCACCTAGACTCCTCTACTAAAAGGCCATTCCACGCAGTAGCCCAAGCACCAATAACAGTTGTACTTTCACTATCCTCCCATTGGTTGAGGACCCTGACGTCACAAGTGGGTACGCAGCTGTCACTTTCTTCAGCCGTTTAGCTACTCTTCAAACACCTTGAACATATTTTTCGCCTATTATAATATAATTCTAGATCATCTCATCGAATTACCATGGAGACCTCAAAAGCCCAAGACCAACCTGCCCAGCCCCCAAAACAAGCAGCATACGCCCAGTCATCCAATCCCGTCTCACAGACGCCACAAGAGCAACGAGCACCACAAGAGCAACGAGCACCACAAGAGCAACGAGCCACTACTGAACCGAACCGACACCACGGCGATACAATCGGGGCAATTAAACGCACAGCTGAATCCCGTCCCTCGAGCGACCAAGAACGAGCTCGTCTGAGAGAACAGCACCAGCAACATGAACAAGAAAAGCAAAATGCATCCAACGTCGATCTAGAATATGGCGTCGAGCAGCAGCCTGCTGAGGGGTATATTGCGGATACGGTTCAGCGTAAGGGGATGGGGATGCAGCGCGCACAGGCTGGTGCTCATGCTGGTCCTGTTGGGAGTGCGCGTGGACCTGGTCATCCCGGCTTCGGGGAAGCGGATGATCTAGCGGCGAATTTGGGATCGAAGAAGGTTGAACATGATCGGATTCTTGGTGATAGAGTTGGAAGGAGTCCGACTGAGCCACAGGGGGAGGGGGATGTTGCGGAGAGAGAGGCTGTTAGACGACGTAAGTTGGAGCGGGATGAGAAGTTGGATGTGCAGGGAGCGGTTAAGCAGGCTACTGGTGATCCCGTGGTGGGTAAATAGGTAATCAAAGTGTATGTCGGTGATGGATTTGGATTTGATCTTGGGATGGAGTTGGAAGAAGTATGATTTTACGGTTGGTAGGAGATCTGGACATAAATTCATTAATTATTTCGAGCTAGCTAAATGCTGCTTGTATCAACATGGAGACCGGGCTCGCGCTCGGTCGGATAAACTGGGTATGATTATTGAAACGGTAACGCCGAAAAATTCCCACATCGAATATGGGATGTAAAGAGGGTGGGAGATCAGATATCGTCCCCGGCTGGCATGCCCATAGAGACCTTTTTCAGTTGCAGGTCCTTCTTCAGTTCCTGGATACGTCGGCCCATCTTGTTGCGCAAAATGTGATTCTGCACCTTCTCCCACTGTGCGGTTTCGGTGCGGATGAGAGCTTCCAGCTCGGCGACTTGTTCACGCTGTTGCTGGAGCTGTTGTTGCTGCTCGATTTGATCATCATCCAACTCATCTTCCTCTTCCTCATCGGATATATTGCTCTCATCGGCCGAGGTGTCGCCGCGTTCGGTCGGTCCTCCAGCTGGTGTGAAAGGCTGCATAGACGGAGTGTCCACCTGCTCTGGTCCTGCTCCCGGTCCTTCATCATCCCCGGCAGCCAGTGCGGCTTCCATCTCAGCGGCAAGGGCGTCTTCGAAGTCGTCCATCATTTCTTCTTCTGCTTCACCGTATGCATCTTGTTCATCGTCGTATTCTTCTGCGTATTCTCCAGATTGCACCAAGCCCTCGACGCGATTCAGAGATGTGCTGTCCACCAACTCGAACTTGGGAGGGAAAATCGAATTTTCGTCCTGAGCCATGAGCTCTTCCACAGCCTTTTCAACCTGTTCAATTGTGCGCGTGCTAACACGGTTGCGGAATCGCCGCTTGCGAACCCAGCGGAGGGGTGGTGCGAGACCGTGTGCGTATTGAAGTGTCTTTTCATCGAGTATGTCGACGCCCGGGGGAAGTGGGTATTCCATGGCTTCCTGATCACTGTTGACGCGTCCCAGCACCAAGAGCATTTGACAGATATCTGCTGACTTGTACCAGCCTCGTCGGTCCCAACTCTTCATACCCTCGATGATGCAGGGTAGATCCACTAGGGCTGCCGCATATTGGCGGCCCCGAACATTCAAGATTGAGCGTCGGCCCTCACGTGTGAGGGCTTTGATCCCGACGTCATTCCTGAATGTCCTTTCGCTGATTGCTTTCCTCACAATCTCGCAGTCCTCTCCTGGGAGCATTCGTAGGATGAATTGTTCTTCGATGGCCGGGTCATTTTCGGTGTCCGAGGCTTCGGAGTCGTAACCAACGCCCACTGGTCGGTTGGGAATGATACCCTTGTTTTTAATTCGGATTGACTGCAAGGCAGGCTTCTTGGATGGGATCAGCTTTATTCGTTTGGGGGCTTGGTGGCTCGTCTCGGGTTCGGGCTCAGGCTCGAACTCAGGCAGCGCGGCACTCTCCGCTGGTCGCTTCTTTGTGGATTTCTTCTTCTTTGGTTTTTCTTCATTGGATTCGGGCTGTGATTTTCGGGCGATCTTAAGCGTGATCTTGCGCGGTGGTTGAGGTGTTTCGGTTGGGGGCGCAGGCGCAGGCACGGGCACGGGGGCAGGTACAGGCGCTGGTTCTTCTGCTGGAGGGTCTGGCCTCCGTGAGAATTTGATTTTTAAAGGCATGCCGATACGATAGCTTAGCAAGTGCAAGGAAAATAAGAAGATAGGAGGATGTGAGGAGGTGAAGTCGCGGGACCCACATTTACATAATCAGGAGAACGGATCTCAGCTGGAACCCGAGCGTTATATCATAGTTACCTAGTTAGGTAGCAACGTATTTTTAGCTGCATATATATCTTATAAGGAAAGCCTGCGTTTTATCATGCCATTACCCTAAAATTTGTCTTCTATCACCGGCATCATGTTCTACGAAGACGTGCTCCCTCCTACCCCAAAATACGAGTTCAAGGGAATGCAGGATTGTCTTCAGATTTTAGATCAGGAAGTAGAGAAATATGAAGGGAACATGTATTCATCTAACCCTTATATTATTTTTATTGTGGATGAGCGTACCTTCTTCGATTGTTTTGAGAACCCCAAACAAAGAGAAAAGCTACTCGCAACATCATTCAAAGCCTACGAACCTTCTACCAACCACTTGCTTCTCGAGATGGAGTCCCGTCCCCATGCAGCAGCGGGCCGAGCGTTTGAAAGGATATTCGAGCGGTGGGTAGGAGTCGTCTCCCGTGAGATTAGGGCCGATGGCACCCCGACGAATTACAGAGGGACTGGGGGTAAGAACAAAAAGCCTGATTCAGCATTCACTCCGACCCGCTCAATCCTGAACAGACACTGGCCGACAGTCGTCCTCGAAGTCAGATGTACCGAAACTCGGAGGGACCTTGAAAACGATGTTAAATTCTGGTTAACCCAAGCTGCGCAGAATGTCAACGTTGTTATTTCTGTCGAAATATTCGAGCGTGCTGGAAGGGTCTCCATGAAACAGTGGAAGATGGGAGAGCCCACTGAACCTCCGTTCCCTTGCCAACAGATGGAGTTCGTGCGAAAGCCTGCTCCAAAAGAGGAGCAGGTCACCGGAAGCCTCCGGGTACTATTCGAAGATGTATATCTTCGACCAAAGAAAGACGGAGAGACTGACTGGGTCGTCACCGCCTCGGACCTCGATTATATCGCCGAAATGGTCTGGTCTGTGCTCTAAGTTTCCCTTTTCCTTTCTGTCACCCGCCACTATCTTTTCAGTTCCTCGCTTTCCATTTTTTCTTTCGGGATATATCAATCCTGCTTACATCTCATCAACAAAATCGTCATTGCCTGTCCAGAATGTCAGGCCCAAACCTTCACAACGCTCTTCTCCGCCCTCCGATCATCCAAATCCTCCGTGCTCAAGGCTTTCACTCAACACGCCCCTCAGTCTTGGAGTCGATCCAGGACTTGACTGGACGATATCTGATTATTCTCGCCTCCGCTGCAGCCGACCACGCCGCAAATGCACACCCATACGACCCAGTTCCCGACCTCGAAGACATCTACCAAGCTCTGCAAGACGCAGGAGCCATACGACCACAATTACGCGAATGGGAAGAGGAATGGCAGGGAGAAGAAGATATGCGTGGTCTGGATGCCTTCCTCGGTTGGATCACTGGCCCTGTTCATCGTGAAATCCGACGTGTTGCCGGCTTTGTGCCCAGCGAGGGTGACATGGTGGACCCCGACGCCGTTGAAAAGGAGGATTACCTCACTGCATTGAAGAAGAAACACAGTAAGACTGGTGAGGAGTCTCGCTACGCTGGAACTGTCCTAGGAAAGAGTGCCGAGGAACACCCTGTCGTCATTGAGGGTGGTGCCCCCAGCATCCAAGACTGGGGTGCGCAGGTTCGCGCCCGGGCTTCAGAGGCAATGGAGAGTGACAGTTCAGGCGTGAGTAGTGCACCAAGCCATCTCTCTGATGACGAAGCGATGGGTGCGTGAAGGGCTGGACATGGCCTCGTGGATTGCTTGACTGAAAGGGCCACGACGCTCGAATCTCTACTTCACCATTGTTGATCCTACATTCCACCCTCCCGGTTAGATTGTCTTTCATCTCAACACTTTCAGCTTTGAAGCACAAAATTACTTCACAAACCAGACCTGATCCGACATGTCACCCTTCCGGCCCTTCTTCCGGTCAAATTGTCTTTCACCTCTCCAGTTCCCTAGTGGAAGCACAACATTACTTCAAAAATGTGCACAGACCTGATCCGACATGCCAATCTTCCGGTGAGATTGTTCTTCATCTCTACACACTCTACTGTTGGAAGCAAAAACAACCCCACGCCATCTGCTAGGACAATCAAAGCCTCTCTCCCTAGTGGTTGGCGATATTGTTCCGACTCGACTCGAGTTATCGTCATCGCCTCCACTTCACTCTGCAAAGCAGACAAGTCTCTTCTGATAATCCAACCACCAGACCTCCGTCTATTCATCCTAAAATGTCTAATGGGACGGGTATGAAAACCTCGACGTGAGGTTGCGAGTTGATTCAGTCTATTTGCGTGCAAATGGCTAATATTTTGTTTAATCGGGGATTGACATTGATGGCTCAATTAGCTGGAATTTTTTTCACTTCTGTCTGCATCCGAGCATCGAGCAGATATCCTATCCTACGTGGATCACGAATGTGGAATTCCGATATGGCACTTTTCTCTGCCTGTCCCAGCCGCTGCAACACAAGACACATGCTATCTGATCTACATATCCTTAGTTCTGTAGAATAGCAGCTCAAAAATGTTTCAAGAAGTATCAACTTTCCGAATGGCGAACGGCAAACTCTTAGCATCTGTAGTATTGAACGCCTGTCGAATTTTACCCAGGTAGCGGTCTAGGATAAGACCTTAAAGTAGCGATCAAACCTCATGTATAATTGGTGATTGAACCAGTCAAGTCTCATAAGGTCCTTAATCTGCTCCCATGAGAGACTTTAGGCAGTAGAGATGAGACTGCCCCGTTGTTCACGTACTTCCGGAGTCCCCGTATCCATTCATCTGTCCTTGATACCCAAGCCATTGATTGTTCATATTTCTATTTCTAACTGGAACCGATAGCCTCAATTGTATAGTGGAAGCCCCAAAATAATTCGGACAAGTACGATACACGGCCGCCATTGACAATAAACTTTTGCTTTGAACTTGTTAAACACACGGATATACAAGAATGAGAGAAATTAAAGTAATACACAAGACCGAAACGTACACAAATGACCAGTTAAGGAACCGGCTAGTAGCTGCCTTTGCCACGCGATTCACTTTGCCTCCATCTCGACTTCGACTGCTCCAACGTTGTGAGCTCCGCGCGTTGTAGACGGCCGTCCCGTCGTTTCGAATAATAAAGATAAATGCGCCAATGAGAAGCGCACCAACAACTGCTGCACCGCAATACACTCCGATATGAGCCCCCTGGCCAAGATCATCCCATTTCTGGGATAGGGTCTTGGCTGGTTTCTTGTTGGTTTGTGTTACGGCGGATGAGTCTCCACTGCGATTTGAAGTTAGTCACTAAGATTATTGAATCATGGCTTCAAACCAAACTCACCTGACAACCTCAATACTCTGATACATCCCTGTATACCCGATGTGCTTGTACTCCTTTCCACCGGAAAAGTCCTGAACCCAGATCTTTGATACAGTCATAGTGAACGCGCATCGGACCAGTCAACTAAGCCACCACCCCATTCGAGACTGCCTTTCAACTGTCCCTTGATTCCAACTGGTCAATTGCTAACCTAGACCTGACAAAGTGTCTGGGGGTACCTAGGTAGTTTTTACCATACACACTCAACGGCTCGGAGTAGTTCACTGTCCGCACCAAGTCGCCGTCAATCCACCATTCAAGTCGGTCTTTATCCCAGTACGAGTTGTAATTGTGGAACTCGGTATCTGTATTTGAAACCGCATGATATCCGCCCCGGTCACTTGTGGTTGTGTTCCACTTGCCGAAGAAGTCGGATTGCACTCCGTTAGTGTTAGAACCAACCCACTCCCAGGCGATAACAGAGCCTGTGGAGGCGAGTTTAATTGCCGCAAAATCCGACATGGCTGATGGCAAATTCAAGATTAGGGAGGTCAATAAGGGAGCTAGCAAGCTAAAGGCATCAACAATTCGAGCTGTAATTAGAACCTTGCCAATACTTAGTCGAGCTTAGCGCCAAAAAGTGTCACAGACGACTCATCCATTTGAGATTGAAGCTATGGAGACTGACTCTGTCTCCGAGTCCACTTCTACGAAGCTTGACTGCGCACTATAAACTAGCTCGCTGCTGAGCGCAAATTAAACTGCCTCATTGCGTTAGCCGCCTGTTGAAGGCCCACTGCTAGCGTAATTCCCTTCTTTTCACGGTGGCGATTGGCTCCGCTACTATGTTTAGCCCAGCATCCACTCCGAGGAACAGATCAGGAACAATATCCGGTCATTGGCTAGGTCTGTTGATAAAAGAGAAGGAAATTTAAATTCGAAGGGAAAAGCCAAAAAGTCGTAATGGATTGATATTAAAGTCAAAAAGCCCTGGAGAGTGTTTAAAAAACCAGCTCGCCTCTTCGTTCTCTTTCGTGTTTTGCTCTTTTTGCTGAGGGAGCTTATATTCTGTGAATTCGTGCAGTTACCCATCAAAATGAAGGTAATGGGGCCTACTAATCAATTATTGTACTTTCCCTGACAATATTCGCATAATATACCATTCTAGTACTAACGGGGAATCAACATAGATCAAGTCAACCACTTTGGCAAGTACTCTATTTCCTTGGTTCATCTGCAGCTAAGTTCATTGGGAGCATTTTCTTAGGAATTGACTCCCGCAAATAGCAAGTGATGTCCTTGGCAATGTAGTTGGACTCTCTCTCTCTATTGAGTTCCAATTAGGTCTTTGAGCGCAGTACAGTCCCATTTTGATTGAAGTCACTTTCTATTTTCCTCCACTCCCTCGTCCTTAATATCTATAGGTACTGTCAAACTGCATATTCCACCCTGCACTAAACAAGAACCGAAGACCTGAGCACTTAGGCATCAGCGCAGTGTTCGCATCAAGTTTGGGAGGTCATCGTCGCAAAACAAAAGCTTTCACGGATGCAAACAGCTCGCTGTTGGTCTTTCTCCCTACACTGTCTCCTATTTTGCTCTTGCCTCTCATCCACTTGCTTTGTTTACCTATCGTCAATTTTTCACTTCTTGTCGTGTCTCTCTCTTCGACCAGACGTCTGTTCCCCACAGCAACTGATTCGTGTCAGTCATGCAGTATCGCCTCCTTTCTGCAGCTCTGGCTGCCACGATCACCCTCGTTCTCGCTCAAAAAGTCACAGAATGCAATGCCTTCGATAAAATCTGCCCGTCTAATAAGGGTAACACCCAAGGCCATATCAGCTATGACTTGACACAGACTTCGGCTTTGAATGAATGGACACCCATTGGCGGCGAAGTACCCACTGGTCCTGATGGTGCTGAATTCACGATCCACAAGCAAGGTGACGCCCCGACAATCGTAACCGACTACTACATCTTCTATGGTGAGGTATCGGTTGAGATGAAGGCTTCCCCAGGTACTGGCATTATCAGCTCCGTTTCCATGCTGTCAGACGACAATGATGAGATTGACTGGGTAAGCTTCAACTTGCATTCTGTCCCCTGGGAAACGTATCTAATAATATATATAGGAAGTACTCAGTGATTTTACCGACATACTACAGACAAATTACTTTGGCAAGGGCGATACCAGTGAGGATTACAATCGTTGGACATGGCAGCCGGTGACGACCCCACAAGATGTCTTCCATAACTACACTTGGATTTGGTCCAAGGAGAAACTCTCATGGGCGATCGATGGCACCATTGTTCGGACAGTCGACTATGCCGATGCGAAGGGTGGCACTCGCTTCCCGCAAACACCGATGCGCATTCGAATTGGTACCTGGGCAGGAGGTGATCGGAGCAGGAATAAGGGTACAATCGACTGGGACGGCACCGAGACTGATTACTCCAAGGCACCCTTCACGATGTACGTCAAATCGATTGAGATTGTCGACTACACCCCGGCGGAGAGCCATGTCTACTCCCACAAATCTGGCTCTTCGGACAGTATTGAGATAATTGGTGGCGTCTCCTCGGGTGAGAGTTTCAAGTCCGATCGTCTTTCTAAGCGGCACATCAAGTGCGACCGAGCAACACACTTCTACCACCGTGGACGTTGCGTTCCCAACTCCCGCTGGTACCCAGTTTCCATTATCAATTTCCTCCTCATCATGTTTGGGCGCTACATCCAATTCTAGCATCGCTGTCAGAACATTCCCAACGACCTATGTCTGAACCCCAGAGATCTATACTAACGCAGCTAAGAATGCTTCTATTGTCGCATAAACGGTCGCCGTCATCTGCGTGGAGCGCACTATTACGGTCGCTGAAGCCAAAAGTCTACACAAAGAAGTCGAAATTGTGAGCTTCCCTATTTACTTGTACATATTACGCAACTAACAAGGGGTAGGGTTATCCAACCGACTTCAGGAAAGGAGAGCGGCTGGCCGCTATTTCTAGTTGGGAGTAAGTCGTATCTTCCTGTTCCGCTTCTCTGCGTCCGAATGATGAGTGGGCGCTAAAGTTTGACGCAGTTGTGGGACAATCGTCTCATCTGTTGAAGTGCAGCAGGCGAGATGACGAGACCGAAATGTACCCCACTGGGAAATGGTTGGCACTCCAAGACAGATGGTCTCGAAGCAATACGACTAGACGCGCCGACAACTTGAAAGACCAACGCTGCTTGAGACCATGGCCGGAATGTTGTGTGTAGCTACTTGGTTCGGTGGATGGTTAAGTGAAACTAGCCCTCGATCAGAGAACAGAATGAGGTTCGGATCTTCGCGCTATTTATGGTTTTTGAGTCCTGACAAAACCATCATGACACTTTATTCTCTAAATTTATCCCCATGTCAGCTACACATGTCAAGAGGTCATCCTGCGCTCTTCGTATGAAATCGGCAACAGGAGTCCGTGCAAGTATGATAAGACTTGGGAGCCTCTTTGCCATTCAGTTTCGTATAGTTCCCTTGGAAATTTCTCTTGACTTGCACTGGGAAAGTCCTTGTCTTAAACAGAAACTCCTATTATGAAGCTGACTATAGACGAATCTCTTCCCATAAGGGAAATTGTACGCTTCTCAACCAAGGCGGTTATTGACTTTTGAGTTAAGGAGCCGATTGAGATATTCGTTGAGCGGTCAACTGGACCCACATCCCCAGACATCCAAGACCCACCAAAGGCTGGGGCCTCATCAAAGGGGGATCGGCGGGGTACAGGGGGTTAAAAGGGGCGGTAGCTTGCTTGACAGTGTCGTTGGCATGTGTGTTCGAATGCATAAGGTTACGAAGACTTCGCCAACCATAGCGGACCGAACAAAGATCTTTTCGGAACTCCTGGAGCATTGGCCCGGCCAATTGGGCGTTCTCCCCACACGATAATATGACCATATATCCTGGAAGGGGCGCCATGTAATTGCTATTTCTCGTTTTCCGATCCAATAGCCGTCTCTTAGGTCAGCAGCGCCACCCCCTTGGGGGTGTCAAACGTCTCAAGGAGGCCGTAGTACTTGAGCCGTGTCGCATAAAGGAATAAATATTGATTCATCGAAACTCCTTCCATGATTAAGCGAACAGCAGCCCCAGCTTGGGTATTCCGCACTGCAGCGACTAGTGCAGGATGGAATTCGTCCAGCGATACGGCAGTTGAGTGGCCGAGTTCGCCACTCACGAAATAGTTCTGGATTGCTTCAACATCACCACGTTCGCCAGCCCTTGTAACGCTCTGGACTTCCCACGCTAAGTCCATAGCGGTTGGCAGCAGGGCTGGGAGGGTTGGACGGGTGCGCCTGGGGGTTACGCACTGGCCCTTGTTTAACCCAGGTGAGTGACGAACGTCAACCGGTGTATACCGAGTCTGACGCTTTGCCGAGACTGATCTGAAATCGCCAGTGGAGCGGCGTCACGTGGCTCAAGATTCATTCGTCCGCACGCCCATGATTTACGCGACTCTATGCCGAGCGAGTCTAGACCTCGCCAAAACGCGGGTTGGGTTGGGTTTTCATTTTCTGAGCCCGCCTATGGGTTACCTGGGCTGACCCGCCTATAGGTTCTTAGCGGGTACCTATCGGTTACCTAAGATACCTAAAGCTTAACGTATTCAGTAAGCGAGCTGGACACCCCAAAACACATACTAAATGGGATAAATTACGACTTGATATCTCAACAACCACGTTTTTATTTTATTTCATTGCTTGTCGATAGCTGTTGATAAGATATTTTTACACTATATATTAATTTCAAGGAGATCGATAGGCTGCATTATCATGGTATCAAAAATTACGTTGTTATATGCTAAAAGTATATATATCTTAATCACTGAGTTATAGAATTTCTGGAAACTCTTTAAAGAGCCTTGATATCACCTAAAAGGTATTATGCTATTAGAACAAGTCCTGCAGCCCACTGTTGTCGGGATATGAAGTTGTAATTTATCCCATTTAGTATGTGTTTTGGGGGTGTCCAGCTCGCTTGCGTGTCCAGCTCGCTTACCGATTACGTTGTATAATTTTAGATAGTATTAATAAGTCATTAAGTGTATTTTTAGTAATATAACCTTATTATAGGTTACCACCTATATATGCTCAGTAGAAATCCGATCTTGATATATATAATCGTAGAGCATTTTTTCGTGTTGTAAAGAAATACTAGTTGTCAGGCTAGTCCTGTTGGTCAGGCGAGTTGAACAGTGGAGGGAAGAAACGTATGATATTCTTCTTGCAGACACTAATTCTTGCAAAGTCCAATTTTCCCGGGAAGGCACTCTTGTACCTCTTCGTCCCTGAATCGTGCCTCGAGTCATCTTTCGGACACTGGTAGTTGTCAGGATGATTACATGGTCGATCCTTGGCAACCATCAAAGAAACTCGAGACAAAGAAGTTAAATGTACATCAAGATCCTGGAATCCATTCCCGTATCGCTTTTCCTTTACAATAGGATAGGTACTAGCTCACTATCTCTAGAAATCGAACACTTTTTCGCTATTTACGTTTATCGAATTATATAGTAAAACCGTTAGCTATATACTATAGCCTTTTCTAGTACTACTTTATCGAAGCTAATGTCCTTTCTATTTAGCTCTCTAACGTTAATTAAGCTATCGTTAGATTCAATCCCGTCGTCCGACCTCCCCTCCTCGGTATATTATAATTATATCCAAATCTATCGATGCCCTTAAGAACTTAGATGTAAAGGAAAAGCGCTATGGATGCGGAACCAAGATCTTGATGTACATTTAACTTCTTTATCTCGAGCTTCTTTAAGGATTGCCAAGGATTGACCATATGATTACCCCTAACAACTGCCATGTCCGAAAGAGGATTCGGAGGTTACCTGAACACATCATCGTGACGGACACGATTCTGGGACGAAGAGGTACAAGGGTGCCTCCCCCGGGAAACTTGGGCTTAGCAAGAATTAGTCTCTGAAAAAAGAATACCATACATTTCTCCCCCCCACTGTTCAACTCGCCTGACCAACAGGACTAGCCTGACAACTAGTATTTCTTTACATTAGATATAGACTAACCTAGGCTAAAGCCCTTCCTTAGTCTAAGACCGAGGCATATTTTCTCTTCGGGTGATCCTCCGACGAGCCTTAAGCGTGTCGGTCCTAACCGAAAAAAGAAATGGATTCTATACGGCGCGGATTATAAGAACGATTTTTCCTTATAGTGGTTGCAAACCGAGAACGGTAGGCAGTTAAACGGGAATGGCATATCTTAGATCAAGGGGTCGATCGAGACACGCTCTGCTAATGTTTGGAATTACTTTGATCAGGCAGCAGAGATACATATAGGTCGCCCGAAGGTAATCTGCAAGTTCTGTCTGACGTTATAAGACCCAAACATGGGCGAGTTCTTGGTGGGTACCCATGGGCTCGGGCGGGCTTTGGCGAGGTGCACGCTTCCTCGAGACCACCCGATACGTGACATAATGTCGAGAGCTCGGAGGCGACACGATAATGTGGGGTCCCGGTGTCAGTTCCCACTCGCTGAGTCAATGAATACGATGAAACTAGAACAACTAGATGGACTGGAAACAATCGACCCGAAACCAATGACCCTCTATTTATGATGTCACAGTGTTGTGAAGGACTATGGCGTATGAGATTATAAATGGATCGAGTTAAATAGTCACTTTATCATGCAGGATTCAGCAAACTGTTTGCAAAAGACGTTACCAATAATGTCTGAAACCAGTCACGTTTATCCCACTTATGTCCCGTCCGAGTCACTTGTCCAAGACCTGAAAGACTTCATCTGTCGCAACGATGAACGCCTTACCAAATTCAACAATGCCGTTGAGACCGCAGTCGAGGATGCTCCGCGTGACATGGGGGCTGAAGGAATCTCAACCTTGGACAATTTCCTTCAATACTGTGATGATTTGCTGAGATGGGTCCCGAAGGTGTCATCCACTGGCGACGAAATGCTACGAAAGATCTTGGTCTTTTACTGGGTCATCGATCAGCCGGAAGTTCGGGATCTGCAGACTCCAATCAGTCCAGAGAACTCCAACACCGATCTCAACTGGCTATCTTATTGGCTGGTGTGCTTTGCTAGGCAGCAGGGTCAGTATTTAAGCACGCCTGAGTCTGCAGCCGCCGTGTACACATTCTACATCAACGACAAGTACAATAAGGAAGCAAAGAAATGGGAAGAGCCCAAGGATGGCTGGCTGTCATTCAACCATTGGTTTGCACGCCGCTGGAAAAATATAAACCGAGCTCGTCCAGTTGCGAGCCCCAATAATCCCAATGTGATTGTGCACCCGGCAGACTCGATTTATGATGGTAGCTGGCCCATCGAGAATGGTATTGTCGAAATCAAGATTAAAGGAGTCGAAATCAGCTGGCCTATCAAAGACTTGCTTCGAGTCCAGGACAACGACACTACTTGGAACCAAGGACAGTTCATGCATGCTTTCTTGGGTCCCAGTGATTACCATCGCCAGCACTCTCCCGTGACCGGCAAGGTGGTTGAAGTACGAAAGATTCAAAATCAAGTCTATCTGCAGGTCGCGCAAAAACAAGGCGAGGACACCATCTTCGCAGATAGAGCCATTCTCCGTGCCCCTGAAGAAGTCGAGCGCCGAAAGGGAGCTCGAATCCAAAGCAATGAGGACTTGGATGCCCCCGACGAAGCCGGATATCAATGGTGCCAAACCAGGGGGCTTATTATCATCGACACTGCCGGTTACGGAAATCACGGGAAAGTTGCTATCCTTCCCATTGGAATGGCCCACGTTTCGTCCGTTGTCATGTGTGTCAATAAGGACGATGTGGTAAAGAAAGGGGACACGATCTCCTACTTCCAATTTGGTGGCTCAGACTGCGTCGTCGTCTTTGAGAAACAAGTCCGGTTCAGGGAGGACCTAGTTCCTGGAAAAACCAAGATACTTGTTAGAGAAAAATTGGCTACCTTCGAGTGATATGTCTCCTAATGCTCCAGGGGGGAAGGACACTAAAGCCTAAGGGCCGCTCGACGGCCGCCCTCAGAGGGTGGAGGGCGGGAGATGCCCGCCCTCTAAATGTTTTTAATGAGGTCTAAAGAGAAGGCAAGTACCGGCTAATAGTAAATCTCCTCATAAATATTCTACTATATCCTACCTAGAGCCCCAGTGGATAAGGTACGTCATCTTAAGTTATTTATAGAGACGGCGCTTGATTTATTTAATATACTTAGTGTATAGGGCTCTAGTTTACGGTCCTATAAAAGTCACTTAATCAATATATGTCACTAATTGATACCATTTTATAGTCGTCTCCTCTATGCTTTCTTTTTGGATAAGTCATCATACCTCGGGGATTAAATTGCTGATAGGTTGAAAGTTGTTCGAGAATCTTATGGACCGATTGATTCTTATACAGTATTAGCAAAAATGATCGAAGTGGAAACGAAACGTTTAGCGTACCAATCTTACATCTTCGGCGTCCTCAGGTACGAAGCTGATTGTCAGCAGCGAATTCCGTAACCACAGCTAGGTCGACCTTCAAGTCGACGACTGGTACTATCGCCTCGGCCACGGGTTCTTCCGACTCCGCTCGTGTCCTGGGTTCGGGTTGTCGCGCCCTTGTAACACCAACGGTAGGATTTATCCAGATGTGGATTTAGGTTCTCTGTGTTTGCACATAGTCCGAAAAATATTAGGTTGGGGTTTGATATGAATCACATATCCATGAATAGTTTGCAGTCACCAGAATCTGCACAATCCCCTCTATGAATCTCTGAATTTAACACCCTCTGGGGTTTCAAAAGCGTCATAGCATCATCGAATTTCTTCTACGTAGACTTAACGTACTTGGAGGATAACACAGCCCATACACGAAATGTATTATTTGTGAAAGTATCTACGAGTCAGAAAAAGGCTTGATTTAGATAAATATGTCAGAAGTACTCAGTAGTAAATTAAATTCTGCTAATATATCGTAGAGGAATCCATCCTCCGAAGAACGCATGTCAAAGGTACCAGTCAGTGGATTGTGCGGCAAGAAGTGCGTCCCTGAGGATACAAGCTGCCCAGTATTCAATATCATCCTCTCTCATCCAATCGAAAGTCCGGTTATTTATCTGATAACTGGTCCAATCACTTTTAAGGACGAGGATTGCCTCGGGTAAGCAAAGTCTGAGTGTCATTGAGAAACGTTGGAATTGGGAATATCCAAGAAGATGGCTGCGAAGCTTGCGTTCATCGCAGGTCGCTCGGAATACCAGATCGCGACAAAGTCTTTCTAGTTGCTCAATCACTTCGGGGCGCCGCCATGCCTTGTATGTCAGAGTCTCAATCTGTGTCTCCACAATCTGGACTATGTTGGTATAGTCCGCCTCCAGGCTCGGTCCAAACACGGGGACCGAGGACATTGTTGTGGATGTAATGTTAGTACTGTAAATGTAGTTCCTTAAGTCAATTATCAGTTCAGCTAAGCGTGAATATTACGAGATAGATTGCCTAGGATACACCTAGAATGATGTAGGACCAACGATACTTATCACTATCTGCTTTGCTACATATATGTAGGCTTCCAAAGATGTTAACTGGCTAAAAGGGAACAGTCAAAGTGGTTGAAGCTCATTGTTTTGCAATTTCTTTCATTATTTCTATGTGCTCGTGGTCTTGACCGCTCAATGAATCAGGCTGCCTCTTGTCGCTTTTGTCTATGACAACATTTCCGAGACCAGTGAGACAGGAGATCTGAGCTCCAAGAGCAAGAGAAGCAATATAGTAGGGAGGTGCAATAAAGGCTTACAAAAGCACTATCAAGTGATGATATGAGAGTTATCTTCCATTTTCGATTCAATTTATATCGCTCGTTATTAAGGCGCATCATTAAATTTGGAGGAGACAAGACATGGATCTATTGCTCGCGGGGTAGAAGCTTGTCTGTCTACATGTAGTCCAGCGGTCATATATGTCTCGTGTCATTTTTCAACTGGGAGAAATAGGATGTGAAAATAAATAAAACGAAAGGACCTACAACCATTTCCATGAGACAATAATGGTAGCTGGGACCAAGAATCGGTGAAATATTGAAAATGTACCCTGGAACCCATGGGTCTTACATCATGAGTACCACTAGGAATCATATTCACTGGGGAGTAATACTTGCAATCAGACCACAACCATTCCCAGTCAGGCCATACTCCATTGGGGATAAAAAGTGAGTCTCAAAAAGGTCCTCCAAGGTTAGATGCTAAATATATCATTCCACACTAGTACTGATCTCTTTGTCTCTGATCTGGCTCAACTACCGTAAGGGAAGCGCTACCCTTTTTCATCCACATCTTGAAAGAAAGCTCAAACGTACACGAGAGGGTCTTTTTGTTATGACTTGAGAGAAGTAGTTTTGGTGATCGATTCTCATGCACACAATTCAGAGTCTCTCGAGTTACAACGATACTTGCGGACTGAAACGGCCCCTCTCAGCGTTTATTCTCGAAGCAACGTGAAAGGAAGTCCAAGCTGATCCACGGGATTATCTCACATGAAATGCGAGGAATTAAACAAAGAACCAAAAGCTCAAGTTCTTTAATATCCTCTGGCATAATGTAAAGTTGAAATTTGGTCCTCTTTGACTTTGAACAGTGTAGTTTCGGTCTTGAGCTGAAAGCTCTTTGCTTGGGTTAACGTGGCTGAACACGCTAGATAGTTCGGTCAAGGGCACTAGTGACTAGAGGATCTGCGTTTCTTGTTCTCCTTGTCAATTCAACTGTTCCCTTGGACCGTTTCTTTGAGGTTAAATTATTGCGCCGTTGCTTTTCAACATAGGGGTACGAGGGCTTTAGGGACCATCATGACAATCTGTCTTTTTCCCGGTAGAAAATAGTCTTGTCCCTGGGGATGAGTTTAATTATTTTTATATAAAGTTGTAATATCCCTTGTTTCAATACGGAACTGCTAGTCCTAAGCGGTCTCTGCCATGACTTGCATATGAAGGATGTGACATGCAGATCGTCACAGCTAATTCTTCTTATCATTCAAGCTACAGCACTAACATATCTATGAAAGCATATATCGAAGGAATGATGTAAGAAAACATTAAGACAACTGCCAAAGAGACTGCCAAAGAGGTCCCAACTTCGTCCTGGGGGGCTTTTCTTTAATCTAGTTTCTTTGTTTGGGCGTGCTAGTATGTGGTGTCATCCTGAAGTACAAATATCTCCCTGAAGACCCGACTTCAAACATTTCTCGATCATCTGATACTCGGCTGAGCTTCCACACCTGGAGGATCATACTCTTCCTATCATCTCGTTCTTCAAATGAATCGTCCTCGGCGAGCCGCTGCTAGAAAACCAGAGGGTTACTATTCCCCCTCCTCTTCCATAGGAAAGGGAAAGGCCCGTTCCACTGGAAAGGTCCAGAAACAACGCGCAAAGAAAGGTCAGACCGAGCAAGATGAAAGGGGCTTGAATCTCCCTGCTCCTTCCCCTGCTCCTATCATTACGCCTGCACCTTTGGATCCGGCCGCACTTGAATTAGATTTGCAAAAATCCTATGAAGGCCAGATTCAACCGCCGTCGCTGCCAAAACGGCAAACAAGATGGCGACAGCCGGCAACGAATCCGATTGTCGACCTCGCGGATGTGCCACAAGGGTGGAATTCCAATGAACCCGATCTTGATCCTGAGTAAGTCTTTCCCGCTTTTGTATCAGCATGTGCTCATACTAATATATGCTATACAGTGACTTGATATCTCAGATTTCAAGGTGCCGTGAACGGATTGGTGATAATATCATGAGCCAGATGTTTCAATTCAAGCTGGATGGCTTATTGAAAGAAAAGAAACGTCGCGAGTTAGTATTCCCAGCGACCTTTCTGTTGCCGTTTCTAACTCAATCATTAGTGCGATGATGGCCTTGGAGCCGGTTGGCTTGAGTTGGCCTGTCGTCCAGCGCCTGGACACCCTTAAGAAGATGTTGGAATGGCTTCACAGCGAGAATGACGAGTACGACCTAGTTGGAAATGTGACAAACATCATGGCAGCGTACAGGTCAGGCCAATTGAGATGGAATCCAGGCCTGGTTACCTACTGGTCTAAAGGCGTCCAACTCTGCCAGCCGAGGCCTTTCAGGTGGGATGAATTTGATTTCATCAATGCTAAACATGAAGGTCACACAGGCTTTTCGGTAGAAGGGGTATCTTTCCTCAAACACTTGAGCTAGTCAGAAACTAACATGCGTAGCTTGAAGGACCAGGACCAAGCCCCCAAATGATGACACTATATATAGCTACGCCAATGCCTCAATGTACAGGAAAAGGTATTACTTATGTGAGTTCAGGTGCCAACATTCATTTTTTTCGTCTCTAACATGATTTGTAGATGTTCATTTCCGTGAAACCCCAAGATAAGCCTACAGGTCCAGCTAAGCCCCTTGAATGGATGTTCCTGGATGATACTGGGTCTAGTATCATGACGGTCAATAAAAGCAACATCAACGACCTCATGAATTTCAATGCCGATGCCGCTGGAAATATCCCCTCTCCTCCACCAATGTTAGGTGCCATCTGCTTGGCAATCGCTAATGGAACAACCACTTTCAATATCTGCAGGCGACTTGAGGTTAACCTGCGGGGTCTCATCGCCAGTGGCTACATGTCCCCCATATGGCATCCGGTCCAAGCCGCCATTCACAATGACGACAACGGTACAACGACACAGCTATTGAGTGGTCCATGGCTACGGCACAGGCTGTATTCAGCGTCAGCTCCGGATGGCTCTAGTATGACCTATTTTAGCGAAACGCACCCAACTTTGATGGGTGTGCCGTGGTCAAATGCGCTGGATATGAACAGAGTGTTACCAGACCTTCAACTATATCCAGCACCAGCAGGAGCAAGGCCCTGATAGGCAAGTTTTTTGGTTTCTTCAGATGCACTGTGGCCAATCTCCTGCGTTCTACTATATATCTGTCTTTCATGTTGGATTTAGTTGTTTTTTTTGGTTTAAACTCTAGAATCTTTTTTTTTTCTTGGTACATTCTTTTGTGCTTTCAACAGTTTCACTTAATTGTGTAAGTTAAACCTGCAGTACTGCTTAGTACGTAGGATACATCCCGTGAAGTGTTATTACTTTGGAAGGTCTCGGCAGTGACATCAGCTCCGATCCCCAAGTCCTCCCTTCTCTAACTCCCCCAGTTCACCATGGTCTACGCATTTATCCTCCCAACCACTTCGCCTCTCTCGTTTCAATCATTCATCTCCTCTACCACTCACCCATCCCTTCCCCAATCAGCCTCAACAACCCGCCATGCCTTCCGCCTCGCACTCAAGGCCCACAAGCGCTTACCCCGCGGCCCGCGTCAGGACGCCCACCTACCCACAGTTCTGTCCGCGTTGAATGAATACATCCCTTTCCTGTTCGCAATCTCAAATGGACTCAACGGTCGCCCCGTTACAACCGAGGCATACTCTGCTCCTCAAGACAGCTATACGTCCGGGGCAACGAATCTCCGCACCGGCGAGATAGTCGACATCACGATCCGCGCGGAGATAGAATCGGCATGGAGATGTACGCTGTCATCCTCAGGCGGACTGAATATCGGCTCCGGTGGGAATCACACAAGCGGAAACTTTATCCGCGCGCGGAATGGGCGAGTCTCTGGCCGAGGCATCCACTTCGAATTGGCATTCACGCTCACAACTCTGGGGTACGTACTGAGTAGGATGGCGCGCGCAGGAGTCGTAGCTGCGCTATACGCGTCGTCTACCCCGTCTGCAGACGCCCGTACTGCCGCCGTGCAGACCGCCACGCGGTATCTACTACAGGCTAGCTCGGTGCATAATCTGCTCGCGTCCTCGCCGACTTTCACCGCAGCTACTGTGTCTACAGTACCGGAACTTGAGGCTGGTACGCAGTCGGCTCTATCATCTCTAGCCATGGCGGAGGCTACGTTACTGGCTGTCCTTAAGGATGATGCGTATGTTGCGGCGTGTATCCAGTGGCGCAATCCGAATGATAAAGAGTGGATGGTCCATGCGCCTGAAATCCCAAAAGTGCGCGCTTTACTATTCGCACGACTCTGTGTTCGCGCCGCAGAGTACGCCGAACAAGCGGCCGCAGGCCTAGGAGCTGTTGGATCTACATCTGGTCGTGCAGGCCGGCTGGATGAGGATTTGGTTCGCTATACAGGAGTATTGGCTCGCGTTGCTCGGGCACGCGCATGTCGATTCTTTGGTGTAGATGCTGAGCTATCAGGCAAAGTGGGTGAGGGTATCGCGTGGTTGCGAGCTGCACGCACTTCACTCGGGCTACGTGGGGCGGCGCCTTCGCAGGAAGACGCTGCCGGCTCGGGAGGCTCTTCAAAGGGCGGATTGTCCCGTTTAAAACGCGAGTGGACAGAGCGGCGTGAGGAGCGTAGAGTCACTAAGGATGCTGGCGGCAGTCGCAGCGAAAAAGGTCCATTGGATGCGGGGGATGACGCTGGTCGTGACGAGGAGGGACGAGTCCTAGCGACGCTTGAGACGAAATGGGTGAAAATGAATGACACAGTAAGTTTGATTTCTTTATTTTCCCCATGATCCGCGGGTCTCAATATGAACGGCTTACTGACTCAATGCAGATGAACACACAACCCATTCCACCCCCTGCACCATTGCTATCTAATCTGCCTTCTGGTCGGGATATTCACTCTCCCCCGGCGCCATACCAGCCCCCTTCTTTAGATGAGGATCAGCTCATGCGGATGCGTGCTCCGCCGGATGAGAGAGACGATATTCAGTTTGGAAGTGACGACGATAGTGAAGACGATGCAGGACAGCCTGATGGCCGTGGACCAGGTGCATTCCCGGACCGAAGTGGGACGGCCTCGAGCGTTTATTATTAAACATACCGATATTCAAGTACATATGTAGAACGTGAGATGTGATATATCGAAGTTAGCATTTACTTGGTTATCTAAGCCCGGCAAAGATACATTGGCATCCGGACCGAGAGTGGGTCACTGGTTGACTGCGATATCTGCTAACAGCAGTCCAACATTGTAGAAAAAAAGGAAGTGATCTAACAAAGTGATATTATGTACAGTACAAATGGACAAGAGCACAGAGGATGATCTCCAGACCCTCTTCTGCTATCTTTTTGTCTTCCCTCCGACACAGACCCGATTTGTCGGGCTATAAGATCAAGATTGGACAGGATTAAGCAAAACCACTAGGATTTCCGTCCAAAGGCGACCCCTTCATCCCGGCATCAAAATTGTCGAGTCCCCATGTCGATAAGGGTTATCAAACCCGACCCTCGAAACGCAATCGCAATAGGTGAACATGCAAGAAAGACGTAAACGCTCATGCCGACTCTCCACCGAAGCGGTTCTTCTCCTGTCCGAGGTAACCCTTAATCTTGCTCTCCTTGAGGAGCTCGAAGTACTTCTCTGCAAAGGGTATATAGGTTAATACAACGCATCACAATCATAACCACTCCGCACAGACCGCAACCAAGTCAGACACGGTTCTTTCGGAGATAAACACTCGCAGAACGTGGAATCTCCTGGATATGAAGCGTAGACAGGATACACGGAAAACAACCCACCTCGGAAAACACCACACTTCTCAAGGTGGTTCACGCCCTCGCGCGCATAGCACTTGCCCAATTCCTCGCCGACGAGACGCGCCATCATGCTGCGTACCCACTGCTCGCGGATAATGGCATCGCGGGCGTTGTGGACTGCGACGTTGTCCTCGAAGTCGACGCCATCGTAGGTTGGGGGGACGGTGGGCTTTTTGGCGAGGAAGGCGGCGGACTCGGCAGTTGGCATTGTGGGTGGTTGGGTTGTGTGGTTTGGATTGAGGTTCGGGTGCGGTGAGGTTATTGCTTGCTCGCACGGAGGACAATGGCAGCAAGGGTTGTTGGGAGAGAGTCGTCTTTTGGAGGCTGCTTGATGCGGTCGTCTGGCACGTTGATCTTGGATTACCTGGTTTATGATTGGGTGGAATGAGGGCGGTCAGAGGTGCATTTGTGCGGGAGACGGAGGGGCCTCCTGCGCAGGTCCGTAGGTCACGTGGATCTATACGATCCGAAAACGGCAGGTCAGACGTGAGTGAAGTTTTTATAGCTCGGAAATTGGATTTTCATATGGTTTAGAGTAACTAGTGATTCCTTTCTCGAATAAGGAAATGCCTTGCAAAAATATCATATTTTCAATGCCATGGTTGTTCACACCTGCCGTATGCCCGATGAAGAAAATGCCAAACGACTAAAACAATATACATACAAAGCGAAAATTGCAACACAAACCTCTCATGATGCCAGGAATGACCACATCAATGTAGACCTGCTGCAGACAAGCATAATTGACATGAATATCAATCGTCCTTATCCTTGCCCATCATTCGGTCGTATACATGACTTAAACCGTCCCTGAATCGCTCCCAAGTCGATCGGCCGAGCCAATTGCTCAGCTCGCGGTAGTAGTAGATTTCAGACCAGCAATCACGACCAAACATGCACCCAGCCATATTAACGATGAGATCATGTGCGTTCTGCTGATAGTGAATGACTGGATTATCTCCATCGCCGCATGCTCCAGGAGGGAAGGCATTGATGCTGCGTTGTGGTAAAAAGCCGACACTGCTCCGCACCCATGGTTGACTCTGATAGATGTACTCTAGGGCATCCTGTTCTTTATGCTCCCATTCCATATGCATCTGCTCGTACATGACGGGATCCCACCAGATATCGAGGAGTCGATCGGTCCAAACAGATCGTCTCACGAAGAAAGATCCGAGATTGAAGCCGGCACAGTCCTGCGTCAGAAGCATATTCAATGAATCTGCCTTCCCATCTCCTTCGAGGGAGCGACCTAGCTCGTCAAGCCAGAACTCAGGTAGTGGATGGGTGATGTTGAGAGGGTTATAGGCGGTGATATCGCGGTAGACGTGCGATTCAAGGTCGTCGAAGAGATGGTGTTGGAGCGATGTGTCATATTCCATAACCCATGTGTTCAAGTCAAGCCACCAAAACCACTCCGCATCTGGATACTTCCGCATGGCTTCGCGGATTACATCACCCTTCTCCCAGCTCTCGCGCCATTCATGTGAGTATCGCTTCTTGGCCAACAGATTAGCAAGTTCTAGCTCATAGCCCCATTTTTTCGCGTATCTCTTCTTGTTCCATATGCTGTTGCGTTCAATGGCCCATTCGCGTGCACCCTTCCACTCCATGACGCCGCCCTCCACGTTCGATCCGAGTATGATGACGAACTTGCTCCCACCACCTATAGGTGATCTTCGGTATGTTTGAACAATGGCTGAAATGCTGTTAGATATTACGTCCAAATAATCCCAGCACCAATCACTTACTCGCCCAGCAAAATAGATACCCAATCCAGACTAAGAAGAGCGCCAACAGCAGCCGGAGCCGACCCCGGCGTATTGGCATTCGTAATGCACCTAGCATGCCACGTCCACCACCCGCACGCTTCCATCCCCGGCCATAATCATCCTTATCAACATATTCGCGTGAAGAAAGCCTTCGAAAGCTAGGGAGCCGTGTCGAGATCTTATGTCGGTGTCGAGAGAAGAAACCACTATTGCGCGTTGAGAATGATGGATACCCGCGCACCTCGTCGCTTTTTGCCTTGGCTGCAGCCCATGAAATGCCACCTGGTGTGCCTGGTGTTAACGAACCGGGCGAAGAACCGCTCGGTGATGCGGTGCCGCTAGCCGGAACGAGTCCCGGGCTGGACCACCCCCCGCCCGGGTGGGGAGAGGGTGATCGCGATAAAGTCATCGCGGTGATCAGCGCTAAACAGTGGATTTGCTAGAGAGTAACGTGAACTCTTGAGGATGTCGGAGGGAAAGTTCGAGCGAAGGGATGGGTTGGTGAGGTCAGAGTGACAGATGAAACGAGTGACGGAAGTTAGGGAGAGAAGTGAGGTAGTTAAGACACACGAAACACCATTAAATGGACATTATGTACCGGATTGGAGATGCGACCTAAGATTTCAGCAACTTGAGGCCGAATGCGGCATGTCTGTGCTTGATACCAGCAGGTGCGATTTAAGTTTCGATCCTTCCCAGGGTTGAAGATGAATTGGATTTCAATTTCGAATCAAATGTTACCAGTACTATAAATGCTGGGAGTCACTGGCTGCTTATAGTTGGCATACAATTAGCCTGATTTAATCTATGAACTACGTTGTACATCCCAACCAAGCGCCGATCCCGAGGTCATTTGCGGATCGGGAGATCGGCGCATCTCTACACTTTACTGCTTGCGGACAAAGACCATTGTGGAGTGAACTAACTATGTGACGATGAATTCCCATCGGACCACGCAGTTACTATCAATCTACATCCAAAGCGGAAAAGACTATTAACGCCAGAACTAAATCTAATCCCGATCACTTGCATTGGGCCCCAATCGGCATTCGGTTCGCCGCCCCGTCGGCCTTGGCCATGAGAGCCTGTCGCACCATGAACCCGGCTTCGTGTCCCGGCCGGGGCTGGGCGCTTTCGCCATGGGTAAAGTCACACTGCAGCTTAAGGAACTTCGTTCTGTCTTTGCTGCTTTGGTACACAGTGATGATGTCGCCTGTGTAGAGCTTCCCGAATTGTAAAGCCTCGGGACCGTCTTCGGTCATAGAGCCGCGGCGCAGCAGTGTGTCATTCACCCAGATGCCAAGACGCGCTTTGGTGGAGAGGATAGCCATCACCCCTGGAATGTCGAGCCAGCTTTCGCCGGCTGCGATCCTCGCCTCGATTCCTGGAGTCCAGAATGTGACCTCTAGGGCATAGGCGGGGATTCTCGTGTCCATGGAATCGGCATGCTTGACGGTCGCTGACGGCCCTCGGCCCCACGAGGTGAGTCTATCCTCAAGGTATATTGTCAAGTCGAAGATCGAACCAGGGAGGCTCTTCAGTTTGCCATATCTCTTTGGCGGTTTGGTGAACTGGGGATCACAGAGCGTAGAGGGAATAGGAGATGGGTTGGGTCGATGAACAATCGGTTCTGATGACTCTGATTCATCGGCACGGAGCTGCTCCAAGATAGCTTGGCCTGTCTGCGCATCAAGGGTAGTAGCAAACTCGAGGTCGTATTCTGATTTGGAGGGGCGAGAGGGGTCGTTGGAAGCAGCGTCGCGGCGACTGTTGTGGGCACTATTATCGCTAGATGCCTCGCTAGCTGTGTCGGGGATTGCAAGAGCAAGGTCAATCCGACGCGTGAACTTTGCTTTTGGTGTTGGCTCTTGTGGACTCGAGACAGGTTGTTCTTTAGGACTCGAAGTCGGCGGAACAGAATCCTTGTTGAGTGTACTAGCTGGCGTCGCGTCCTTGATGTACCCAGGAGTGGTCTGCCGCAAGGAGGATCTGTTAACCGGGCCACCCTTGTGCTGCAGAGTGGGGTGCAAGGAATTCATGTTGAGTTCGCCAACGAGTTTCTCTGCGCCCATCAAACTGGGCGCAGTGCCACCGAAGGGTACTGACGGGAGGGAAATTATCGAGTCGTTGGGGTCGTCGCTCGTCATCGACTCACCAGAAGAGAGAAAGTCAATGTGAAAATTATTGGCGTCGTAGGCATCCAGGTTGCCCAGTGCGTGGGAGCTCCGCAGAGCTGAGGCAGAAACCTCGCCAAACAGGCGTTTGGCATGATTGTCTACCAGTGCTTGTCCATCTTGGAAGCTCTCAATATTTGGAAGGCTGGGATAGCGTACATCGGTGGGAATGTACTCGATGCGAGGCCGTTTGGAAATTGCATCACTGCTGTCACCCTCTTCGCCGTCGGCTTCGTGGACGTAGCCCGGACCGTCAGCGATAGACAATTGTGAAGCGTCTAGCTCGTCCTCGGCATCCTCGCCGATAATTGAAAGCCCATCTTGACGGTCAGACAGCAAATCATCATCATCCTCATACTCATCCACATCAGGGACCTCCGCGATCCAAGGGTGCTGGAAACACTCCTTCTCTGTGGGACGAGAGAAAGGGTCCCTGTTGAGGAGCTGGCCAACAAAGTCGATGCCAGACTCAGACACGCCTGCCTTCCGCAAGGGTTCGAAATCAGCGTCACTTGTCATGATGGTACGAAGCATCTGGACACCTCGATCTTCCGCACGCCCCGTGTACGGTGGAACGCCGGAGAGGATATGGAAAAGAACTGCTCCTAGCGACCACATGTCAACAGATTGGCTGTACGGAGATGTTGTGGGAGGTCTTTCAATATCAGCAGAGGCTTCTCAAGTGAAAAAGAAATTAGCGACTTACGGGTCTCCAACACGACGCCTCTTTCGAAGCTCGCCACGGCGGTATTGATCATAGTCCGGGTACACCTCCGGCGCACAGTATAGAAGCGTTCCACAGAAAGTCTTTAGAAAGGTCTCCTGCTCCACCACTTTCGACAACCCAAAGTCAGATAATTTGATTCTGAGCGGGTCCAGTGAGGCAATCAGGATGTTGTCCGGTTTGATATCTCGATGGGTGATGCGGCGTTTATGCAAATAGTGAAGCGCTCGTAACACTTGTCGTGCGATCGTTCTCACCATTTCCTCGGCGATTCTTCCTTGTGTCTGCAGGTATGTCGACAACTCGCCGCCTGGAACATACTCCATGATGATATAGATCCAACGGTCATGCTCGTGGTGATCGATGTATTGAACGATATTAGGCTGTAAAGCGTCAGTTGTATCGCTAAGAGCAAAGCTGAAAAACATTGCTTACATGTGTAAGATCCCTCATGATTTTCATCTCATTGTCGACCTTTTGATCAAGGATACCGTTTTTCATGAAGCGGCGCTTGTCGAGTTCTTTTGCAGCATAGATGGCGCCATGTTGCTTGGTTGCAATCTTGTACACAGTAGCGAAAGCACCCTTTCCAATCTGTCCAGTCACGTTGTACATGGCACCACCGGTCCAATGCATGCCATAAGCATTGGCAGATGACCACGCTAAAGCAGATGGGCCTGGGCCCTGTCGTTCTTTATGCGCCGGGGCATGTGCATGAACTCGTTCGAAATAGCGAAACAAGTTCTGGTGGTATTGGACAGCGAATCCTTCTCGTGACGGAATTCGAACCACGAAGCGGACCTCGTCAGAGGTTTGGGATCCAGTGATGACTTGGATGACAGATCCGTTTGTGAGCATTCGACTATTCCCATCCTTCTGAGATTTTCGCAGGCGACAATTGTCCACGATGGTACCATTCGTCGATGTATCCTGAAGCATGAGAATGCCATCCTCGGTTAGATATATGCGAAAGTGTGTGTTTGACACTCGTTTAGCATCATCATCAACGCTCAGAAGAACATCACAACGAGAGCGATTGCGACCGAAGCAGAAGCCGAGTCCCAAGTTATGGACTTTTGATGAGAGCCTCAATGCCAAATCTAATGCTGCCGTGTGGGAGGATTCGTGCTCCAATATGTCCCTTTGAAGGATATGCTGAGCGCACATTCCACCAGTAGCACCAACAGCATCATGGGCAGCATGCGAATTCGGATGGAGGATACAGATGATGTCGGCCAGGTCTTGATCTTGGATGCCAGAGTTATTCATTCCCATTCGGCGGGGATCAGCACATGGCTGGGTAGATTCCTGAGTGGCTTCCATTATGAGGGTGAATGCAAGAGTAAATGAAGGTGCTAGGGGAATGAATAGATAGATGAACTACAGGTGCAGATCCGATGGGGTAGGGTATATGTGCTGTGAGGCGAGCGAAGGGAATGTGCATAAAATGGTCATTAACGTCGTAGACTAGAGAGAAACATGTCAGTGAGGCTGCGCCAACAGGGAAGGCTCTGGGAGGGCTTCTATATATACCTCGAAGGGAATCAATGGGTGCTGGGGCCGAGGAACCACCCGGGCAAAAGCTGGGCAAGACAATAATACACCTCAGGACCAATAACACAGTCGCTAGGGTATGGGTCGTCTAATCAACAAATTGGCAACGAATATCTTGCCCAGTTGTTGCAAGCAGTGGAATAGACAATGTTTGAGCGATGAGTGAACCGTATGTCTTGCAGAGTGGGGTGTCTTCAACTCTCCTCAAAGCCAGGGTTGATCAACACAGATGATGACACTGCCAACGAAACGGAGGTGAGACTATCCAACCGTTGTCCCCAAGCCATAAGAATACGGAGCGTGATTCTAGGTTTGAAGATATCGACCGGTGGAGAGCAACTGGACCGTCAAGATGCTGGGCAATGAGAAGCTACCCAATGGTGTTTCCGTATTAACAATGCTCAAATGAAGGAATGGACTGTATTCGACAAGTCCGATTGGGCCAGGAGGTATGTCTGCGAAATCTCGTTCCAACGAATTAGCAAATGTCTTTTTGGAAGCTTGAAGAAACCTTTGTTTAACCTCAACTCGAGGTCGAGAACGAACTCACACAGCCTGAGACACTCTCTATCAACCTGTCCACGGCTGGTAAAACTGAAATAGTAGATGGATAAAACCTGGGACGCCGGAACAGAGCAAAATCGCAATCGCACTCCTTGGAAGGTCGTCGTCCGAGGAACAAGACCAAGAACGAGCCGCAACAATCGTGACTGGTACCTAAGGCAACGACACGTTCCTGAGGCGCGTAAACTCCTTACTCATCAGGCAACAGGCCTGTTGATTGGTCGAGCCGGATACAGCGGGGGGCTAACCATGGAATCAGTCCCGAGTCCGATCTATGAGAAAATACACACATTGTACACCGCATAATCCGGTGACGGTGAATTACGCAAAGGAGTTTAGCGTGCCGATTCGGGTTTAGCGCCTGTCTGCGCGTTACTATCGCCTTGCGTGTTTCCATAAAGTCCCCTTCATCGCCGCTTCAACTTCTCTGCTTTTCGCCCTTCTACTCTTCCTTTCTCTCCGTTCCTCATGTGCGCCTCGTGAGTGAGGCATTTTTGCCATTGATCCAGATCACTGAGCTCTGCCACCCCCTATATCGCCAGCGCGAACGGTTGGCCCTGTGCAGCCGTTCGAGCCCTCCAGCGCAGTCATGCGCTGCTTTCCCTCCCCTGGCCCGATTTCTGCTCAGCCCTCACCTTTACGCTCGAGATGAGGCATTTCTGCCCTTAGTCCGTCGCGCCGACCTGCAGTCCCGGCCCCTAACTTGTCAATCAATCGGTCGGTCTCCCAACTTCCCGCGCATCCAGGCGTATCTGCCCTTCACTCTTTCCGGAAATTCGCCCGTGTGCAGTGGGGCTTCAAATCTGCCTTGGGGGGTGCAAATCGAGGGCGACGGCGTTGGCAGCCTTGGCTAATGGCGTCCGTATTATTTCGGAACCGAGGAAGACGGGGATCGAACTGGCCAGCGTACGTGATTATCTAGACTGTCTCAGGTGCTGTATGCATTAGCCAGTAGTTGTTAAAGTCCACGAGAGTTGACGAGACGATAACAGTGATACTCCGTCCTTTCACGATGATCGTAATGCTTCACGGCGGCCATATCGAAACTCAGCACGATCTCTAAATCTGAAGTCCTTGCCAGACGACCTCATCAGTCCGCGTGCAAACATCTATTCCCGTCGACCTACACAGGTTTTCCTATCGTCGCCTATATTTTGAAGCACCGCTAGCCCCTATCATCGAGTGCACCTTGTCGCTGATACCCTATTAATTTTATGATCGATTGGCAGAGAGGTTAAGATAGAAGGATAAGAAAATAGGGGTTTGCCTCTATAGCGCGAGCGGTATACGGACTAGTGACGATAAGGGAGTCTTTGTCTCCCTATTAGTGCGTCCCGCGCGTTTGGTCTGCTATCTTGGGCCATGGAACGATTAGCAAGCAGAGCTCAATCAACGCGGTGATGACAACTAGATATAGATGATGCGCAGACCTGCGGCTCCCTAGAAATAGAAACAGCTCTTTGCGGTGTGGCTATAGGATCAAGTGGATGAGCGGGCGAGTCATTCCCGCGGTACTGCTCTACACGATGCGTTTCGTTAGTCATAGAATCGATTGGTAGATACGTCTCGTCTGAATGCTATCCTACCGGAGCTTTTGCGTTAACCAAGGCGTGATCGGTAAGCTCATTTTGCGTGTTTACCAGACAAAACAGGCATCGGATCCAAACCTACCGATGCCGGATTAGATAACTTTAGAATCAGAAGTTGCAATCAGTACGTCACGAAGTCACAATTCTTAAACACAGACGGTAGCCCTAGAGTCTTTTCGTTCTCAATATTACAAAATATCCATAGACCAGATTGACTCTCTCGGTCTACTCGTTTTTACGTCGCGTCTGTATCCAAAATCAAAACCCAGTCTCCTGCCTCACGTTCAACATCATCTTTCGCCTTGAAGACTCGAAGATGTCGCGATGTCGAAAGATGCTCCTCAGGTTGCTTCATATTTTTTGGAAGAAAGTGCCAAAATACTCCGCCATACTTTGTTTGGATGAGCGCATCTTACAGAAGATCTACCAACACCTCTCACTAGTCGATCAAGTTTGTCTATCCCTCAGCTGCAAAGAGCTCTTCGGCCTATTCGGGACGATAGTGAAGCACAGAGATCTTGAATTTCCACGACTCTTGCGTATTAGGAATCCAATACTGTGCGTGAACAGTCAGGATGTGCTGCGAATCAACTCCTTCTTCGACTCGAAAATCGCCGCTGGGCCTACTGTGCAAAGTGTTTGAAACTCCATCCACGGGAAGAATTTACGAGACATTTACTGAGACAATCAGCTCTGGAGAGATCCTGCACATACTACGCTGGTATAGCTGACCTATGTCCCTGTATTTCCCTGACGATTCGAGGTCGAGACCAGCTTGTCAAAATCCTCAGATCACCCGCGAAGCCAGCCAAAACCAAATATGGCCCATTCGAGTATGACTTTGACGATGGAGGACAAGCCGGCCTCGGCCACGGCTGTTTATTTAGCACTAGGTCTGGCTACGAAGTGCGAGTTGCTCTGGTTTTATTTATTAAGGAAACTGGCCAGTTATGTGTAGCGGCTCGGCATACTATAAGCTTCTCTTCCTCCGACGCTCATCTCACAGCTGAGCCTACCTTTGCTTGTCCTCATCAGGATCTTCTATCTCTCGTCCCCGGCAATCAAGCCGCAAAAGATTCTCACATGTACCAGACTTTGATTTCTTCAAAAGCTCACCAGGATCTCCTGTCTCTTGTCCCCGGGAAGCTGGTCTCAAAAGCCTGTCCCATGTGTCAGACTTTGATTACGAAATACGCTTTGTCTGAAGACATGAATCAGGCTGTTTTCTGGGTGGTTCGAAATCTGGGAAGCTGTGAATGGCCTGCAGACCGTCCTTGGCTTGACCAGTGTCGTCTCACCGGAGCATGGTTTTCGCATAATGAAAAATACTGGTGAGCTTATCAAAGGATCCGCGGAGAAAGAAGAACTATTACTGGAATTCCCCTATAGGTATCGGTCGCAGAACTTGCGGAAGATGACGCAAGGTGTTCATGGTCAGTGGAAAAGAGATTACTGCCTGGAACAGAAAAGAAGGTTGCTTCAACATCAACGCGAAGCCTCACGAACTGCAGATGAGGGAATCCAGATAGCTGGTACCATCCCGGCGTCGCTTCTTGCAGCGTCGTATTGTTGAAGGAAAAAGAAAATATGATGTGCACTCCTGGGACGGCTCATTTCTATTTTAAGGAGGAAGACTGACTGAATGATTGTTTGATAAATCAACGAGACTTCATTTCATCCCAGTACAGGACATATCCAAGCTCCAGCATTTGGCATCCAGCATAGAGAGTGGCGACAAAATGTACATGAATTGATGCTGTCACCCTGATAATTGAAGCCCTCATGCCTAGTTAGTTCGCCCACCTCCCCATGTTTCCCAATAGGATCGAGTCGTACGGCTTCGGCAGGCCCTCGTAGAGCTGCAGCACCTTCTTGCCCGGTGCTTTGAATATTCGTCTGGTCGGTTTCGCCATCTTTTGTTCCTCAGCCCACGCACAATCGTGGCCTTTTCAGGGTCACCCCGATTTACTCCCTATATGTATGCATCGCGAAGGCTTTTAATACCTATACTAGGTTCAGTTTATTATTTACTCCAAACTATTTACTTCCGTATGGCTTCCTAGTATCTTCACACCGTTTGAAATCACCTTTCAGTGCAATATCGAACACTTGTTCCAGTCGCGCGAGCGCTTCGTCCGATACCTCTGTGACAGGTGAGATTTTGGGTCATGCATTTTCAGCGAGGCAGATAAAGGAAACACTTACGGTAATGGACCACGACTCGGCCACCCAACAACCTCAGCCCTTCTTGCTGTCCAATCTCTGCCAGGTCATTTGGACCCACTCCTGACGCCTCAAGGTCCAACCAAACCATATTGGTGTGCAGGGGGTACTCCAGCTTGCCACCGCGACTGGTCCACAGATCGGCTACCCGCTTCGCCTTTTTATGTGTCGCTGCAAGCTTTCCGGTCTGGCCTTTTGGGTCCGTGCCAAAAGTTTCAGTGAGCGCAACGCGGGCCGCAGCTGCAATTACACCCGTCTGTCGGGCACCCCCGCCGATAGATTTCCGGAACCAGCGCGCTTTCTTGATAAACTCACGGGAGCCGACAATGATACTTCCAATGGGTGCCCCCAGCCCCTTCGAAAAGCAAAGACTAACACTATCGAAGAGGCTTGTATATTCAGGCAAGCTCCCAGCACCGGCCACGACGGCCTCCCACAGCCGGGCACCGTCTAAGTGAACCTTAATGTCATTGGCATGAGCCCATTCCACAATCCGCTTCACCTCAGCAAGCGGCATGATCATTCCATCAAGTGTATTCTCCAAACTGATCAACTTGGTCGGGCAATAATGAATATTATCACTGAGAACTGCATGCTTTTTGATATCTTCCAAAGTCAAATAGACCCCATTTTTGGGAATAATAGGGCTCACGGTTGCGCCAGTCCAAGCACTCACACCGCCAGCTTCATAACAAATAATGTGCGACCTATGATCACACAGTACTGAATGAGGTGGCTGCGCAAGATGCGAGCGAATGGCAACCTGGTTTCCCATGGTACCGGAAAGGACTAACAGACCTTCCTCATGTTTCGTGATCTCGGCGACATAGCTTTGTAGCTCGTTGGTGACAGGGTCCTCATTGAAGACATCATCCAGAAGAGTTGTCTGGCAGATTGCTTCGAGCATCGACGGTGTAGGCTTCGTCATTGTATCGCCTGACTTAGATCAGCTTCAATTCTGCCATCCATTTATCGATTGAGTCATACTTCGCAGGTCAAACTCAGCAGCTCCAGCCCCGTGCCAGGCTGTGGGCTTCTTATCACTGCTACGAATGACTGCCGAGGCACGAGCCAGGGCATCAGTTGAGAGTCGCGCCATAGCGATTGGAGATATGGTTTTTTGTCCGTGTGGGACTGTTAATCGAAGCTCCGAGGAAGAGCGACGGATCGGATGCAACAAGCGATTCATGGATGAGTTTTATGACAGTCAGCATAGATGCCTTCGGGGAATTGGAGAAAGAGGGGATTCGACACGTGATCCGGGGACAAATAACCCACTACATTGTGGAACCGGGAGATTTAGATATCATAGATGTGCAGTAGGTTGCACTGGTGATCGGAGGGTAAACGTCCTATTCAGCATGGGCCTAGGCTAGGTACAACGTAAACACTTTGTCTCACCTATCAGAAGTGTATAATCTAGAACTCGATGCCGTTGGGGCTATGACGCAACCTGGACACTGCACAGAGTCCTTATCGATAACCAAATTGGGACTAGCGCATCCAAGGGGCCCGAGCGAGCGCCCGCCCGGCCTCGACCGCTGACTCAGCTCTTGGCGTGGCCGCGGGCGGGCAATGCGCTTCAACGGTTCAAGCCTGCACAGTCTTACCAACTCTCTAACGGCTTCACACTTGTCGCGCAAAGATGGATCTATCCCATCTCACACGGCCTGGCATCCTATGCCAGTGTGCTCGTTGCTCCAGCTCACTGGCTGCACTGGAGAATGAATGGGCCAAACTATCTAATGCCTACTCAATCCCGACAGCATGGCTCAGTGTCGACCTCCATCGCATTGCCGTTTCTTCGGAGCGGAAGCAAATCCCTCAGACATCGGATATGACCCTTCTGCGTGGCCGTGTCATTCAGGAAGTGTCATGTAAACTCTGTCAACAACGGATGGGGGTACTTTGTCCGCTTGACAACGGGTAAGTGTCTGTAGATAGAGACTAGCGCTTCTCACTGCTAATCTGGTTTCAGGATGAATATTCTGTGGAAAATGTCAAAAGTTGCTTTTAGGGAGATTGTTACCATGCGAACCGTTCAGCCCGTATTTAAACAGGGGGCCCTCGAACGACTGATCTGTCCCCCGAAAGAACCTCCGCGCCGAAACCCCGATCTCGTGCAGGGTAGTGCACTGGTGCCAGCTGGCTGCACCGACCCCACTACCCTCGATCCAAATATGCAAAAGCAAATGTTGCACCAGGGTAGAACCATTGATCAGATTTCGAACTCCGTGAACCACCTCCAAGACACAATGTCGGATCTCAAACATTCATTTACAGCACTTCGAATCGAACTGAATGGACCTGGCCGAAATCTTGGGGAAGGCCCCGTACTTCAGGGACATGATTTTGACATGATTGCTATGGTACTGAAGGAGCTCAAGTCCAAATCGGACGAGATCGAGAAACTGAAGTTGGAGATTGAGGCTCTGAAACTGAAGAATCGCTACATGGGAGTGACCGTGCCACAGCAGCAAGAGTCGCTTTCGCTCATGAACATGAACGCTGCGCTCCCTGAAGTTCGGAGCCCTGGCTTGCTCCAAGCGGGCCGGAAACGTAACTGGCCTGACGCATTCCCGGGCGATCGGAGTCAGGCAATGGCGGACTCTTTCGACGAAGATGATATGGTGGACGAAATGTCGCTGTCAGATCCGTCGATGAGCACCTCTCGCGTCCCTCTCAATGACCAACGCCAACCTGCAATTGCCAATGGGCCACCTGCAGAAGAGGAAATGACGCCCATAGAGGTTGAGATGTCTGCTCGAGAGCCTCAAAATCTCTCTAGCTCCCTTCAAACACAATCTTACGGCTTGCAGCAAACCATAGCCAAACGCCCGCGCCTAGGTGTGCCGTCTGAAGATTACTCACAACCACAGCCGCAAGTTGTTCCTCAGAGAAGACCGCCCGGCAGACCGAGGAAATCGATCAACCAACCCACCATTCCCGATCCCACCGAATCACCCGGCACCGCTCCTTCTAGCGCGCAGGGGGATGTCGAATCAACCGGGCAGCAGAACACAGTGCGACGCCGCACGTCACGCCGCAGCTTGCGTGCACTATCCCTTGGTCCAAATCTCAGCCACCCACATAGCCAAGAGGACCAGCAGATTTCGCAAGAATCGACGGGGCCTCCTCCTGACATTCATCCAGCACCCAACAAAAAGAGCAAGCGTAATACTGGCTCTCCCAATGGAAAACGAACTCCTGGTCCAGATGATGATGGAGACGAGGCCGCTATGAATGAGAAGCGGAAGGCTAAGGTCGCGGCGCGGGACGTCATGGCCAAGATGGCTTTAGAGCACGAGGAGGCTTTGGAGGCCGAGAATGCACGATAGTTGTTGGGGTTATCCTTCACATACTTGTACAATACATAGACAATTAGCAACACGTAACTGTATTATGACCAAAGCTTCAAATGAAAACGAATGATACGGCCGAATAATTTCTTACCAATCCCCTCAATCTGTAGTCATATAGAAATGTCCTGTGGACGGTTTCTGCTTTTTATTGCTTTGGTATATATGTACATACAGGACACGTAAAAAGAGCATCTCAAGGAAATGCTGGTATGTTCTAACATATAATGTCCCTAATATGATGTCTGATTTCTTTAGACCAAGTAGATCAGATCACTATTTAGCCTCATCTAAGAACAAACCTCCTGCCTGTTGGGCAATGATGGATCCCCCATCACTGCACAGGGCCTTCTACATTAACGTAAATGCTCATCAAAAGAAAGTTTCCATGCTTTTAAAGGCAGCGAATATTGGTGAAGTAATCGGGAATTGGATTCCTAAGCTATGTGGAAATATGCCCTAACGCACTATCATATCTCATTAAAAATCATTATTTTCAGTCTGTAAAGTCCCCAAAGCAAGCTTTTGATTGCAACTAGCGAGTCGGAATGACTAGCGAGTCGGAATGAAGTTCTTGGAATCGGTCTGTTGTTCGCTGAATGACTCGTGGAATGCTGCGATCCCACCAATGATGCCAATAGCCATAAAAGCAAGAGAGATGAGAGACCAGATAACTCCCCAGCACTGGGAAGATCCGCCGTACCTCTTCGCAAAGACGCTAGCATCGGAGCTATTTACTTTGCGAAGGATAAGATCATCACACTAGAGCACAGGATATTAGCAACGTAAACCAAGCAAGTCCACGGGCGTAACTAGTACTTACAATATCCCAGACACTATACAAACCAGACATAACACCAATAAACAGCTGTAGAGAAAAGTAGATTAGTACAAGGCCAGAACGGATGGATCGCAATATCAGACATACCACGACCCAGCGCAAGGCTTCACCATGGGCAATGAACCAGCATGCCACCAACAACCCGACCGCAAGAAGAACAGTCATGATAGTCAACCAGTCTCTCCGTGCCCACCAAAGAGTAAGCAGGAAGCAGACGCCGAGGACGATGCTGGCAACCTTGCTGGCGACAATATTAAATCCAGCGAAGATCAATAAAGCGCCGATAATCGACGACCCCAGGTACCCAGCAGGCAGGGTGATGGCACTCATACCGCCCTGCATGTGGGTGACACCACCTTCATGCGGATCCAGTGAGATAGACTTTACTTTTCCGCCGGTGCAACAGGCAGTAATCGCATGGCCGAATTCATGGAAGGCAATCACCAGCATCTTTCGAGGGAGTCAGTCGCAGTCTGTCAATACGGGGTTGGGTGTATTTACCTTGAAGGGCCATAGTACCCAGCGGATATATGGTAGATTCCATAGTAGTGCGATGACAACCACGTACGCTCCCATCACCCCTAAGGTGACGGCTTGGGTGTGGTTGACACTCAGGTCACGCCGGGCCAGTTGATGTGGGGCGGTTTCCACCGCACTTTGGGCTAGCGCGGCATATAGGGCTGGCATGGTGGGTGATAAGCAGGGGGAATCGAGAAATGGAGAAATGCAGATGTTCGAAGTCGCTGAAGCGTAAGTGCAGATTATTTAATGGTAAACTATTATTAGCCCTGGAGAAAGATCATCCGCGCGTCCCTATAGGGACGCGCATGCCACTTGTTGTTTTTGTGGCGTTTGTGGCTGATCGTCCTTGGCTATTTTTAGTGGCTTGGCTCTTTAGGCTGAAGGATTTTATACTCTTTCACGGTATCAAGATATTAAGAATAGCATATGCTATTCTTTTCAGGCAAATTCGCAGGTTCTGGATTTAATATGGTACGTGGTTCTCATAAGAGATAAAATAACCTGAAAACGCAACGTAAGAGGGTTGTACCTGCCAACAAGTCTTGGATTATATATAATGAGATATTGACCTTAGGAGGCCGTTGCGTCTGGTCAACTAAATGTTAGTGAACAAATGCTTTAGATTGTTAACTGCTCGGTATCCATTCACTAACGATCTAACCTCAACCACTGGTCCTACTTGACGACTCACCCTTGCATCAAATTAGAAGCACAGAATGAGTTCCCTGGGACGTACAACGTTAAGATGGTGGTTCGCGATGTTGAATCTTCCGCGGCAGTCACATGCCTCGTGGCATCGGGCCCGACTTCGAGAGGAACTGTGCGAGCGTCGACTCGCAGAAAGAAGTTGGAAAAAGCTTAGTGAGACCTCAGATGTTCTTTTCTCAATCGTCCGGGCCCAATACGATGGGTTTCTAATACGGAATCCTTCTTGCTTGTCCGGCCTTAAATCCAGCCCGATATACATGTACATGTTGGCCAAGTACACATCACGATGGTCCTTCTTTAAAGCGGCTGCCCTGTTCAGCAATGCCCGGCACTGGAATCTGGTCCACGAGGTGGTGAACCCGGGAAAAGATCACAAACTCACTGAAGTCGCTTCCCGCCATGAGATTAATGGAAAGGACTTTCGGCGAGTTAGCCGTCAGCTTAGGCGCATCTGGCCACTGTTTCCATGAACGATCGGTTATGATCTGGAATAGTACATGGTCTGATTGCGTGTTTGCTTCTCGGATTATTCGACATACTCTGTTTGCTGATTTGTCTTCTTTGTTTCTCTTTGAAAAAGGTCACATTTAAATAGCTGCTTCAGGCCTGAAGTTATGGTCAAAGCTTACTGAAAAAGCCCGAACCAGCTAGTCTATGTGGACTGTCCTATTCAGACAGCAGACCTTTTCCTGTTCAAGATCAAGCCCAGTCTACTTCATTTCCTGTTCATCTCACTTCGATATCCACAATGGAACCCTACGAGATAACGTGCTGTGATAACCGTCCCCACCCCAGAGACCCGCTATCCACTGAAGTCGAACCTACCAATTGTACTAAGCCAGTTATCATTGGTCTGTATGGCCTCCCTGGGTCTGGGAAGACTTTTCGATTGGACAAACTCAAAACCGAACTTAGCAATGACGATTTTGCGTTCTATGATGGTAGTGCCGTTATCGCAGCGGTGACTCCTGGCGGTCTCCAAGAATTCCAGAATTTGACGGAAGAGGCCAAAAACGATTGCCGCGAGCGCGCCATAGCCAAAGTCAAGCAGGAATGTTGCACCACAGGCAAAAGTGCAATCGTAGCTGGACATTATATGTTCTGGCCAGAGCAAGACGAGAATGGACAGACGGTTTGTACACCACGGGACCTGGCTACGTACAGCCATATCCTATATCTGGATGTCCCCGCTGAGCTCGTCGCGGAGTTTCGTTTAAATGACGGAAAACGCAGCCGTCCGAAAGTGTCAATCTCCCATCTGGCCAAATGGCAGGTACTTGAGAAAACAGCACTTCGTCGTCTTTGCAGACACCACGACATCCTTTTCACACTGGTGTCGCGCCCGTTAGCATCTGTCAGCAAGCTAGGATCCCTTATTCGGGATTTTCGGACTCACTCGATCCCCCATAACAAGAATCTTGCCGAGCAAAAGATGCTTGAGATACTCACGGCCAACTCTGATGGAGTGGAAACTGTGATAGTGTTGGACGCAGACAAGACATTGGCCCAGGAAGATAGCGGAGTGCTCTTCTGGGAGCATGTCCGCACAGGACCAGGCGCGGGCGAGGATAGCGACCCCTTGAAAGCTTTGTTCAGCAGTTCCTTAGGATATTCCTACACTGCCTTTCGTCAGGCAACACTGCTGTACGAAGAGGCTTTCGGGGACGCAGAGTTTGAGGCTTGCTGTCAAACGGTGGCATCAATGATACATATGCACCGTGATATTGTGAATCTATTGCACTTGGTTCGCGGAACGACACATGTGCGCGCAGTTGTGGTCACCTGTGGAATTCGATCTGTTTGGGAGAAGGTCCTTGAAAGGGAGGGTCTTTCAGCGACAGTCAAAGTGATTGGCGGTGGGCGGCTGCGTGACGGTCTTGTTGTCACGCCGTCGGTCAAAGCTGAATTGGTGAAGTATCTGCAAACCGTCAGACACCTTTACGTGCTTGCATTTGGGGATAGTCCTCTGGATCTGGAAATGCTCAAAGCGGCCGATGAGGCTATTGTCGTCACCGGCGAAGAAACGACACGAAGCAATAGCATGGAGAAGAAGTTAGCAGAGGCAGTTAGAGAGAACGGCTTCCACCCGCGCCAAGTAGTTCTGCCTGATTATGCAACACCGCGCCTCGGCACCAGGCGGCTGCCCTTGATACGGTTGACGGATCAACATTTCATCGCTTCGGTCCTTGCCAGATACCAAAGCCTCCATGTCCTTCACGCGACTGACCGACCAGCGGCCAAACTGCTCATGACTCCAATGCGCGATGCATCCGTTTCCGGATCTGCGTTGCGAGAGGTTCATCGGCGAGTTGGATGCTATTTGGGAACGGAGTTCTGTACCCAAATCATCGGTCTCGAGTCTTACCATATTACGCATGTCCAAGGCCATCAGGCTGACGGCTATCGGCTATCGAATGAGAAAGCGACACTAATTGTGCCGCTGATGCGCGGCGGCGAGCCAATGGCCTTCGGGGTCAACGATGCCTTTCCCCTCGCCATGTTCCACCATGCGAAGGTTCCAAGTGACCTTCAACATGACCATCTGAATGATATGGCCACAATAATACTGGTCGACTCGGTGGTGAATACTGGAAAATCGGTACTGCAGTTCGTCCAACATATCAGGAGTATCCATGCAACCATTCGGATTGTAGTGGTTGCTGGCGTGATTCACTCGCAAACTGTTTCCGCCGGCAGAATTGCTCGAGCACTCGGTCTCTTTGAAGGACTGTCCTTTACAGCTCTTCGCCTTTCGGACAACCAATTCACTGGCAGAGGAACTACCGATACTGGTAATAGATTGTTCAACACAGTGCATATGGCTTGATCAGGTTGGGGTTTTTACAGCAAGTGTTTTTTCTTTAGGTTCTCTAGGACGAGATTTGTGATTAAAGCTTCGTGTTTTCTTTTGGAATTCTGTAGCATCCAAGTTCATCAACTGCGTAGCGCCTTCAAATGGACGAAAAGTTGCTTACTACCTCCAAAAGCCCATGTTCTAAGAGGACTTCCTATATATAAACAAGGGATATAGTTGTCTATGCACAAATGGTTGTTTCTTCAAAAAAGTATTCGATGAAAAATGAATCTCGCTACTACCTGCCAGCGCTACCAAACCCCGCATTTATGAGATTGGGATCGTCGATTTCACCATTGCAAAATAGGCAGGCAACTCTCAGGCCCCAGATCTTCAAAGTGGAGTCCATATAATGTGTGGAGAACTTGTCTCCTACCAAAATTCCTCAATCATCATGCTCAGCGTCCTCCCAATCCTCCTGGTAGGACTTGCAGGCGGTGCATACTCCCAGCCAATAGAAGAGAGGAAGACAGACACAACCTATCACGACAATGCCGGTGTTCTCAAATTTGTCAACCCTCTTATCGGCACATACGGAACGACACCAAATGGCAACGGCGGCATGATCCCTTCCGTCAGCCCTCCCTTCGGTATGACCCGCTGGACGCCGCAGACCCGCGAGAACTTCATTTCGCAAGTGCCCTACGGCGACAGTGACCGTCTTATCCATGGGTTCCAAGCTACGCATCAACCGGCTATCTGGATGGGTGAGGCGGGTCAGGTTGTACTGACACCGGGAATTGGCGAGGTGCAGCCCCTGTTTCAGAACCGGGGACTGCAGTTCCGAAAGAAGGATGAGACGAGTACACCGTATGTCTATGAGGTCGTTGTTGATGCTACTCAGCTCTTAGACCGTGACTGGAATGCGACGGCTGAGGCTGTGGGCGATGGGCCTGTTCCCGGTGGTGCGGGTTCTGTGCCGGTTGAGGTGAAGGAAGGTGCCAATGGGCGGACGCGAAAAAGGCAGATTGAGTCTGTCCTGCGTGGTAGGGATAGTGATCCGTATCAGCAGTCAGTCCAGGTATTACTGCTATTTTGGTGATCGCCCTGAATTGTTTCTGATTGTTTTCAGGTTGCCATGTCCGCAGATTCTCACGTTGGCCATCTTCGATTTGACTTCCAACAAAGCCATACTAATTTGGATGGCGAAGTCCAGCCTTGGGTATTTATTCAAGCCTCGCGTCGGAACTGGACAGGCGAAGTCCACATTGATGCGAACAGTCGGGAGGTCTACGGCTATAATACTGAGCGTCAGGATTACCTCCTCGGCCCGGATAAAGCATCGTCATTCAAAGGATATTTCGTGTCTCGCTTTTCTGAGCAGTTTACTGAATTTGGTGTGGCGAATGGAGGCTCAGTTATCAAGGACGAGGTCGGGCGACGCGGCAACTTCACTGGTGCATATGTGAAATTTGCCAACTCGACACCGCGTGTGGAAGTGCGCACTGGTGTTTCTTATGTCAGTATCGCACAAGCAAGGAAGAATATCGAGATCCAGACTCCAGATGGGAACACCTTCGAGGATACCGTTGAGAAAGTGAAGTCGGCTTGGCTTGATAAGTTGGGCAGGGTATCCATCAACGGTATCAACAAGACCGATGCTGATAACGACCCCCGCACTATTTGGTATACCGGCCTGTTCCATGCGCTTCAGTATCCAAGTGATTTCTCCGAGCCAACATCACATCGGGAAGATGCTCCGCGTGTTTTCTACTCTGGCTATACCGATAGTGTCCACACTGAGAACGACTCATACTACCAGTCATGGTCAATCTGGGATACATACAGAGCCGAGCACTCTCTCCTGACTCTCTTCGCACCGGAGCATGTGAACAGCATGATGCGCTCCTTGCTACGCATCTTTGACTGGTCAGGTTGGTTGCCGATGTGGGCTAACTTGGTCGAGACGAATATCATGATCGCAACGAATGCAGACGTGGTGCTTGCCAACGCTCTAGAGCGAGGATTTAAGGACTTCAATATTGGCAAGGCTTGGAATGCTGTCAAAAAGGATGCATATACTCCGCCCGATCACGATACCGATACTCTGTACTATGACCGTGAGCCCGGTACCTCATATGAGGCCCGCGCCGGACTCACATCATACATGAAGCAGGGCTGGGTGTCTAATGACGGCTGGTCAGAGGCCGGTAGCCGCACGTTGGACTATGCGTTCAATGATTGTGCATGTTCGGTTGTGGCTGCCCATGCCGGAGAGAACGACGCCACAGTGGAAGCGCTCAAGAACCGAAGCGGAAACTACGCGTATCTTTGGAACAACGAGACTCAATTTATGCAAGCCCGGAACGGGAACGGGACTTGGGCTAATAGCACTTTCGGATGGACCGAAGGCGATGACTGGGTCTACACATTTGACGTGATGCATGACGTGAAAGGACTGGCTGGACTTTTTGGTTGCCGTCAAGCCTTCCGCGATAAGTTGGATGCGCATTTCGAGGGCGGGCACAATGACCATACCAATGAACCGAGTCACCATGTACCCTATTTGTATTCTACTCTGGGTTATCCCAACCAAGCAGCTGAGACAGTCAGGGCCATTGCTTGGGAGAACTACAATGCGACCAGTGGGGGGTTGAGCGGAAATGAAGACTTGGGTCAGATGAGCGCTTGGTACGTCTTCTCCGCGTTGGGATTCTATCCCCTCAACCCTGCCAGTGACGAGTATATCATTGGCACACCATTCTTTGAGCAGGTGTCTATCCGCCTTCCTAGCGGTGCGAATACTGGCGGACAAGTTGCCAGTAGCAGTGAGAGGACGCTTGAAATTACCGCTCCGGGGGCATCCATGAGGCCGTATGTTGGTAGTTTGAAGATCGATGGGATACGTATTAACGCTCCAATTCTGAAGCACAGTCAGCTTGTGAATGCGGCAAGAATCGAGTTTGAAATGAGTGCTACACCCACTTCCTGGGGAAGTCGCCCCTTATGGGAAATTTGATACTAGAAGGACGTCCAAAAAGACGTTAGAATGGGATCAAGAGTGAAGAGTCCAACTGGAGGTGGCCATCATGGATTGAACCAATTGAACGGTCGGTTTGTGTCCTGTTAGATCTTAGGCGGGAATCTGTTGGTCTGGTACTTTTTTCCAAGGTCGATCTCCTACCTACGTCTATTTTGCTGCTCCGTCGGATTCATCAATCCCCACAGATTCCCTGCTAACTTGATCCTTCTGCATACCCATGTTGTTTTGTGTTTTATTCAAATGTATAATTGGAGCTGACATTAAGTTTCAAAGCCCCTCATTGATTTTCTATCACCTCATCCTCGTGGTCTGTTGCAAAGTATTGCGCCATAGGATATTGCGGCCTCGCAATGAACACACAATTCCTTGGCCTTTGATAGAGTTCAACACCATCACATTTCTAACTGGTCGCGAAATTACTCCAAGGCTTTCTCATTGCAACCTAGCCATAGCATATCCTCATTTCCGCTGGAAGTTAGCATGCACGATTCCTAAGAAGGATTAGAGGGCGCACCTGGGAAATACTTAACCGAAGCTAGAATTTAACATGAACGCCACAAGGGCCAAAATTCCCGTCGGACATTCCGTCTTATCACATCATTATAGCAGTTTCTAATGAGGCCTGCCGCACCCTGACCGCGCCCCAGTTATTGTGGGGACCCAAGTTGAACAGCAGTATATGTATACGCCATATCTCGCCATGTGTTTCACGAAGAATCCGAATCCTGTTCACTATAGCCTCTCACCTATCTGCCAAAATGGGCCTTCCATCTGCAGTACGGGAATATACCGAGTCCGTCCCCCAGTACGAAAGCAGCGACAATGATAGCCTGCAATACACCACCGAAGTCGGTGGGAACACCTCCAAGGCCACGTACCAGGAGGCATCCGGAGCGCCCGTCGAGGTTAATTCCCCGCTGGGGTATTCGGTCGGTTGGGTGACTGTGATCTTCTTGAATTTGAGTAAGATGATCGGAACGGGAGTCTTTTCAACGCGTGCGTACAACTCCACAATGGACTTTTTTTTTGGAGATATACTCACATCTAATAGCATCCGCCGTCCTCAAAGGCGCTGGCTCCGTTGGTCTCACGTTGATATACTGGGTAATTGGGTATTTGATGGCATCTAGCTGCCTATCGGTCTACATGGAATTCGCATCGGCTTTTCCCAGTCGATCCGGCTCGGAGGTTGTGTACTTGGAACAGTCGTATCCCCGACCCAAGTACTTCTTTCCTACTGTATTTGCGATGCAGACGGTGCTTTTCTCATTTAGCAGCAGCAATGCCGTTGGTATGATTACATCGCTGTTGTATGGTGAACCTTGGGATTGACGATATACTGACTTTATCTAGTACTGGCCCAGTATCTCTTCAAACTTGCAGATTCGGACTTCACTCCATGGAAATTGAAAGGTGTTGCTGTGGCTTGCTACACTGTCGCAGTACTGGGTGAGTGATAATCCTTCTATCCGGGTGATATGTGCTAAGGAGCTTGTCATAGTGTTGGCATTTCATACCAGATGGTCGTTGAGACTGGCAAATGCCATCGGGCTAGTCAAGCTACTGACATTGATATTGTAAGTGCCGACCAGAAATATACTACCAATATACGGATATTCAACGGGCAAAGCTAACTTAAGCTTAGCATCGCGATAACTGGATTGGTGGTTCTGGGAGGTCATACTTCAGTGAAAGACCCCAAAGCAAATTTTAGGAATGCCTTTGAGGGTACTGGCGCCGCGACAGCCTACGGAGCAACAAATGCACTGACGAAGGTCTGGTTTTCTTTTGCGGGGTATGAGAATGCCTTCAATGTTGTCAATGAAGTTCGGGTATGTACTCCACAAGATCATGACGACTCGTTTGCTAACAAGGACTAGAATCCTGTCAAAACTTTGAAATGGAGTGCTCCGCTCTCATTGGGTTTGACGGCAGTTCTATATGTACTAGCAAACATTGCTTATTTTAGCGCTGCGAGCAAGGAGGAAATCCTAGAGTCGAAGGTCGTTGCCGCTGGTGTCTTCTTCGAGAAGGTATTTGGAACGGGTGGTGCGGCTTCGGCTCTGAATTTCCTTATCTGCATGAGTGCTTTTGGAAATCTTCTTGCTGTGCTTATTGGACAGTCTCGTATGCTGAGGGAGTGTGGAAGGTTAGTGATGAAACACTGGGTACAATTTTGAAGTGTTCCTAATCTGTTGTGTGGATATAGACAAGGTGTCTTGCCTTTCACTTCATTTTGGACTTCGACCAGACCTTTTGGAACACCACTCGGTCCATACTTGGTGAAATGGAGCTTCACTGTGTTGATGATCCTAGCGCCGCCTGCTGGTGATGCATTCAGTTTCGGTATGCCCTTGCCTCTTTTCTGACCTACTGTTTGATTGATCACTACGCGGGAACTAAAAAGACCCTTTGCTAATTTGGGAACAGTCGTGGATCTCGGAGTCTACGCAACAAGCATCTTTGGGCTGGTACTCACGATAGGCCTGGTGGTCACGCGAATTCGACGTGCGCGCCTTAATCTCCCAGCACCGGAATACACTGCCTGGCACATAACTGTGGCATTTGCGATTCTCTCTAACCTCTACATGGTCGTAATGCCGTGGTATCCTCCCAGTACTGGAGCGAATGGTGGCGATGTGAGCTTCTGGTATGCTACATATTGCGCGGTTGCTCTTGGAATGTAAGTTGTTACCCCGGTTAATCCTCGTCGGTATATATCACTGACGTAACGGACTATCAACACAGTGTGGGGTTGTGTGGAGTCTATTATTATGTCTGGATAAAGCTTCTCCCCAGACTCCAAGGATTCAAGTGGGAGCAAACGGTCCTCAAACTGGATAATGGTGCTCTGGCGCATCGGCTTGTTAGGGTGCCTAAGAGGAATGTTTGATGGATGTGGCCAGGTGATCCAAGAGGTGAAATACTTAGAATATTAGCCAACTACTCCTTACACCTATATCATCGCTGTTCCAAGGCAATACCCACTCGATATACCATTTTAGCGTTTAAGACGTAGTCTCAGCCCGTGTGAAGTCCCACTTCCCCCCAGAGTCCGGGTATCCCGGGCCCGTTGGCTTTCTGTTGCAGCCACCCGGAGTACCTCTCTCCACACATTGCAGTGTGCAGAACGACTTATTAGGTTGACCTCTCAGAGAACTGAGGCTAATTCAATCCTCAGATCTGATCTCACCATGTGTATATCGCGGTATCCCGTCCAAGAGAGGAATGTCCGTTGCCGTGGGCGCTACCCGACGGGGTGTCGGCTGTGGAGCCTATTTCTCCGCCGGCTTTTCGCATAGCCGACAAAGGTAATGAAATTGGCCGATTATCACTGGAAAGGTGAATGATATCATGTTGATTGGCCCAAACTACAGACTGCCATGGATAATAATTGCTACCACTGCACCAAGTGGGACAGGCTCTGCGAACCATATTACCGAGACAGCGGAGACGATGCGCAGCTTTATAAGCTTGACGGTCGCCAAATGGACCCTCCTTGCTCACATCGAAGCCTTGTCGCAAGATGCGCACTCCTAGCTTTTGGATTTGGGCCTCTCTCGCAGCTCCGTGCGTCGCGGGCAATGCCCCGTGGAACCTAGGAAACGGCTTTCAACTCACGGTTGATGAAAGTGTCAATCGTCTCTCCGTCACCCACCGCGATAGATCGATTTGGGACACTGTGCCAGGCAAGGCATTCCTCAGTGCCAGTGCAGGAGATGACGAGGTGATCGCCGCCAATGGTAACTTCAAGATCAACGAAGTAGACGAACGCAAGTGTACCGGGCAGAAAATCAGCACTGTTGCGCTTCAGCCATGGCATGGCAGCGAGAACGACCTTGCTGCGGTCATTCAGGGTCAGCTAACCGGATGTGGTGATGCCACTCCTCATTTCTCTGTTGCTTTCTGGGTCCCGTCGCAGTTCCCCGATCGCGTTGCTTTTAATGTTAATGTCGACCCTGAAACTTCTTCGGATGCGGCAACAAAGCTGTTCCTGACATATCGCTCTTCGCCATCTGAAGATTTCTACGGACTTGGTGCCCAGGGATCATTCGCCTCTTTCAAAAACCAGACAGTCCCCATATTCTCGCGCGAGCAAGGTGTCGGTCGTGGCGACCAGCCCACAACTCGCCTTCAAAATAAGGACAGCTTCTTCGCTGGCGGAGATAAGTTCACAACCTACACTGCAATCCCACAGTATATCAGCTCGAAATCTCGTGTGTTTCACCTGACGCAAGAGAGCTCTGCCTACACTACATTCAACTTCACCGATCCTAGTGCTGTCACTGTGCGATATGACGCCCTGACCGTGGATGGCTACTTCATGCAAGCCGAGAACATGCTTGACGGTATTACCATGCTTACCGACTACACCGGCAAGATGGTCGCATTGCCCGAGTGGGTGGACACCGGTGCCGTGCTGGGTATTCAAGGCGGACAGAACAAGGTGAACCGGATTGTGGATCAAGGACTTGACCTCAAATGTCCCATTGCTGCAGTCTGGCTTCAAGATTGGTCTGGCACACACTCGCAGAGCGTGTCCTACATGTCGCTGAATGTATCTCGCCTTTGGTGGAACTGGGAATCTGACGACGCACTTTACCCGACATGGAATAAGTTCGTCCAGTCTCTGCGGGATCAGCACAATGTCCGCACTCTGGCATATATCAACCCATTTTTGACAAATGTGAGCACGAAGCCTACTGGTCATCGCACCAACCTTTACGACGAGGCCAGCCGGGGTCATTACCTGATCCAAAACTCCACTACCAATAGCACATCTGTTATTTCCAGTGGGCCCGGCCTTGACGCTGGTATTCTGGATCTCACCAACCCTGCTGGACGATCCTGGTTCCAGGAGGTCATGTTGGATCAAGTCTGGAGTGCTAACATCTCTGGATTCATGACTGATTTTGGCGAATACACCCCTATCTACCCCGACACTCAGTTCGCCAACAGGAGCCTTGATCCCTTCTTCTACCACAGCGCCTATCCCCGCGAGTGGGCTGCCCTCCATCAGTGGATTGGAAAGAATGTGTCGTCATTCTCCGATGCCATCCTGTTCCACCGTTCGTCCTCTATGGCAGCAAACCGGTATATGAATCTATACTGGGCAGGTGACCAGGACACCAACTGGGGCGTCAACGATGGTATCAAGGCTTCCGTGACTGTCATGGGCCACATGGGTCTGTCAGGCTATGCTCACGGCCACATGGAGATTGGTGGATACACCACTACTTGGGACAGCAATGGTGTTGTGAACCGCTCTTCTGAATTGCTCGGCCGCTGGGGCGAACTCGCTGCCGTCTCCAGTGTAGTCTTCCGTACCCACGAGGGCAACGTTCCCCAGGTCAACGCGCAGTTCTACAACAACGCCACTACTTACTCTTACTTCGGGTACAACGCCCGCATGTTTGCCAGTCTTGCTAAGTATCGCCGCCGCATCTTGGAAACCGAAAGTAAGAACTTAGGCTGGCCCTTGCTCCGCATGCCCGTCGTCTACCACCCCGATGACGAGGTCGCCAAGGCTATCAGCTACCAGAGCTTCTATCTCGGCTCGGATTTGTACGTCGCACCGGTGCTGGACCCTGGCCGCACCAGCGTGAAAGTCTACTTCCCCGGCAAGAACCAAACTTTCACCCACGTCTGGTCTGGCAAGAAGTTCCACGGTGGCCAGACTGCACGTGTCTCCGCACCGTATGGGAAACCAGCGGTCTTCGTCGTCGGTACGCCGAAGAACAATGATTTGGATGACTTCCTGCACTTCGTCCGCCAGGAGAATAACACTGTTATCCACTTCTAGTTCCCACGAAACGGGTCCGTGAGAGTTTGCGATGTAGAAATGCCAGTTTCTAGAGACGTTTAGACCACGCGGCGCATGTATTTAGAAGCTCTTCTTCTCAATTGATTTCCTTCATAGACAAAGGTCTAATAGGGCCTCGACTTGAGGAGTACAGTGACTCGAATAAGTCTCTGCATATTGGTTCAATGGCATCGCGCGACTAGCATATATCCGGAACTCTATACTGAATAAGAATGGTACTTGAGTTGAATCTGCTGTATCATGCAAGTGAAGTTTATAGTAGCTTAATAATGCTTATAACTTAGACTAGATGAATGACCATTACACTAGTTATATATACTATGATAATAAAGCCCTTGGCCTGCACCTTAGGCATAGCGGTATATGCGGTGTCGCGGGGACCTTGCCAAATTCGTCGGTTCGTTGACCTCACTCACACTCCCACACTTTATCTTTCTCACTTCTTCACCAGTTTCCCATCCAGCAGACTCCAAAGCTAGAGCCACTTCAATGTGAGTTCTGTTGGTATATTTTGAGAAATACATTTGCAATCATTAACATCTGCACATGGACTAGGCACCCCCTGCTTAGACTCTACGAGCGAAGTGAAACCTTTCATCCACCACCAAAATGCCAGCCACTGATGCACTCCGTACATCTATCCCGTTCTGTGCCATCCAATAAAAGTACTATCCATGACTGACCTTTAACTCCAATAGAACCACCTCTCACCCCCGCCGAGCGGGCCATTGTTAAATCCTACGGCGGCTGGACACAATTCATGCACTGCTTCGGGCTTAAGCCTTGGGAAGATGATGATGCTAAGGAGGGGAAAAAGATCCTGGAGGCTTTTGTTCAAGGTGAGGAAGACTCCGGATGAGACACTTACAACTGGTGTCTGGCTGTAACACGACTGGGAAAAGGTCGATGGAGGTTTAGTTTACATTCTTTGGATCCTCTGACTTTCCAGAGTTTGCCATGAGATTCAATTAATAACGTTCATTTGTCAATGCTCGCTTATCCTTGTGGTGTAGGATATGCACTGATCACTGTTTTGTCTGCTCGGCGCCCTCAGACTTCAATATTGCTATCACAGTGATAAAGCTTCGCTCCACTGGCACTTTCCAATCAAACTTGAACTTCGTGTCTCATTAAAATTGACTCTATTGTAGGTGGAATAGATTGTGGAACAGTGTTCTGAATACAAAAGTAGTCGGATATAACATTGGAAGGGCGCGCGAGACTTGCATATTTCAACTCGTTTCATTAAAAGCATCGAACACATAAATACATCACATACATCAATGACGCGAGAAACCAACGCCTAGGGAATCAAAATCCAACCGACTGTGAACCCATTCAACACGTTCTTGCGACTCAAAAAGAAGATCTAAAATCTAGACAGTCTTTCCCGCTGGGGGACCGAGGTACCACTTTGCGAAGCCCTCGAAAGCCATGCACGTCGTTGCCTCGTCAGAGAAGTCGTAGAGATCAGAAGAGCGTAGAACAAGGCTTTGAACCTCAAAATAGGACTCCAAGAAGCGTCCACGCTTTCCTATAAGCGAGAGTATCATGATCTGCGGAAAGCCTAGTTAGCAACTATAAGGTCAAACGGTGAAACCATCGAGACTCCAAAGCCATATAGTTCCTCTGCCTTTGGAAAGGGTGCATTTGGAATTTGCAATGTTGGCCAGTCGAAAATCAACACAATGAGGAAAAATATGGCCCAGATGATATCAGAAGTCTGGTGACTGGCCGGAGTTCAATATAGCCACAATCCTACGTCAATTTGACCGGCTGCTCAACATGATTTGATCCTATTCGACAAACGACCCCACACCGAGCAATTACCTCTGAAGGTGGCTTGCATCTCGCATTTGGGGGAATACATGTACCCGCAACTTTATCACAACATTGTTGTCTTCGTGCATTCAAATAGCTGTATCTCCTGCTGTATCTCCTGCTGTATCTGTAAACCCCATAATCCCGCTATTAAGCCACGTAAATGGTAATCATATCGTACCCCTGATGGGATCCTTTTCAGCATGTTCAATCTTTTTCAAAAACTCCTCTGCAGCCTTAGGGTCGCCGGGGAATACATTCTCAGCGATCATTCGACGAGGTGAGCTACCAAGCCATTGGAACAGAGAGAAATCCCGGAATCGATCTGCGCGGAAGATCTCCAAAACTTCCAGGGGTTCATCGTCACTCAGGTTCTCAACGAAGTGCCCCATATTCCGAGGCACGATGCCCACATCACCGGCCATATAGTTGAATGTTCTGGCATTTCCTTCCGCGGCAAATATAGTAACTCGCGCACGACCCTTTTTGAAATACGTCCATTCGTCGGCGTTGGGGTGCCAGTGCATCTCGCGTAGTGCGCCTGGTGCAATCTCTAGATGGGCGGCGGCTACTGTTTTGGAAATTGGGAAGTTGGTAGAGTCGGTAATACGGACACGACCGCCGCTGGTTTCAAGGGGTTCTTGGGCGTGCATATGATGTGTGAAGTTGATCTTGGACTTCTTGAAGGTCCGTGGCTTTTCTTGATCAATGCTTCCCGGGTTTGAGCCTTGGAATATGTACTTCTCGGATGTCGGGATACTGTCGAATTGTTCTGGTGACATTCGGAAGTTCTCTGCTAGAACTGCTTTGGGAGTATGAGCTAGACACTGGGTTTAGTATTCATAAATCATAGATTGAGATATAGCCAGGTTAGCTCACCTAACCAATCAGTCAAGACGAAGGTGGATTCTTCGGAGAAGTGGCCATCGTCAAAGATCAGAAGGAACTCTGTGCCATTTCCACCTAGACCCTGCAGCGAATGCGGGTGTCCAGCGGGGAAATACCACAGATCCCCTGCCTCCAAGTCGTCCATAAAAGTGGCACCTTCTAAGTCCAGCGCAGTGACTCGTACTTTTCCAGCAAGAACATAGGCCCATTCAGCTTCCGTGTGCCAATGGAGTTCGCGGATGACTCCTTGATCCAGACGCATGTTCACACCCGCGAGCTCACGGCTAGTAGGAAGCTCGCGGATAGTGGTTTGGCGCGTCCATCCGCCTTCCTATACACACATGTTTAGATTAACGATGTACAGCCCTTGTTGGAATGAGCATACCTCGATCCGAATATGTGAGTCCGCAAAACTCCATCGCATATTCGGCATACTGCCATGATCGGTACTTGGTGGACGGACGAGATCGGGGTTCTGGCGCTCGCGATCTCGATTCCGCGGTCCCATCACGGTAGTACCGTCTCCATTGCGGAACGGCAGTGGCTGTCGCTCGTCGCCAACAGAGTCCACCTTGTGATCATATGGGTCGCGATGTCCCGGGGAGAAAGGCGGGTGTCTGGAAATAGGCTGTTGACCGAACAATTCTGCGGGATGGCCAGCCGGTACTTGGAGTAGCTTCTGCAGGCTATGATCTGGGGCAGGGATAGCCCATGCAAATTGAAGATATGCCAGGTTTAACAGGAGGTGTGTAATCTGCATGGTGAGCTTGATAGGGACCAAGTTACACAGAGGAAAAGGGGAAGAATTCTAAGAAGGTGAATGTGTGAACTGAGGTGTTGTTATCCGCATCGACGTCACGTTGCGAATATTCCGATCGCATATCCCGTCTCCAACTGTTGACTCCAACGGATTTGCCCCTTACATTTTAATGCACTCGGATAATCCCCCAAGGGATGACGCAGTCTCAGTTTGTTTGCCGAGATCGATTTGGAGTTCCTATGCCAAGGGCTCCATAGAAAACAACGTAATTTCCCTCCTTCAATCCAGCACCTCGCCAAACAATGTCTGGCGAAACAGACGCCCTTTTGGGCAACGACAGACGCTCAAAACCATCTCCATTATCCCGAATATCCAAGCACTTACGCACCGACCTCGACCCTACGCATGGCGACCTGGTCCTACTATTCTGTTATGTCATCACAGGCCTACTCGACAGCTCATCGGTACTCATATGGGGCTCCTTCGTGAGCATGCAAACCGGTAACACTGTATATTTCGGCCTGGGTCTCGTTGGCACTGAAGACGATCGCTGGATCAAGTCCGGGGTCTCTATTGCGGGGTTCTGTCTAGGTTCCCTGTGCTTCGCCACCTTCCACCGTGTCTTCCCGTCGAGACGGAGATGGGTGCTCTGTGCGTCGTTCCTTGCTCAAACCTTGTGTGTGTCCCTTGCCGCTCTCATCGTTACGATTTATCGGCCGACTCGTGGTGGGCCCCTGAGTTGGTTGGTCCTCGTCCCGGTTGCACTCATCGCGTTCCAGAGTAGTGGGCAGGCGGTGACGAGTCGTGTTTTGAACTTTGGTGGCTTAACTAGTGTTGTTCTCACAAGTGTTTATTGCGACTTGTTTTCACATCGTGATTTCCTCTCGACCAAGGTCGTTGGTAATGCTGAGGAGATGCGGCGGATTGGTGCAGTCTTGTGCTTGCTTTTGGGGGTGGTCTTGGGGGGTCTCTGGGCTCATAGCGCTGTGGGGATGATGGGAGCTTTGTGGACCGCAGCGATCCTGAAGTCATTGATTGTGGCCGGATGGTTGGCCTGGAATGGAAAGTGTGAGGAGGATACAGAGTGAGCCTTGCAAGGCAGGTGAAAAGATCACGGTGCTACCTAGATAGTGGGCTGATATTCATGTATATAAAACAACAAGTTGCTAGTTCAATATAGAGGATACTGACATATACTATGTCAGTTGTATGCAATTGTCTCTATTCCCGCTGCTGTGAAATTGGTTAGACTTTCTGTCTACAGCCTTGAAAGTATCCTGTTAATGCATTGAATCTACTCCGTAAGACTGAACCCTTCAACGCCTACGAATGCGTCTATAGTGGTACATCTGGCTCCTGGGGGAGGTGATGCGGGGTGCCGAGTTCCATGTCTTCAGAGTTCTGGTCAGATCCTCTCTTAACCCCTATTGTGATATCATGTTGGAGTAATTGGAGTATTGGAGAAAGTCCTTTGGAAGTGCAACCGGGGATCGGAATCGCGCGAGGCCGAGGTGATGGACGTCGCTATTAATATCTATTGTTAGAGACCTAATAGGAAAATGGATATCATATGTCTATGTAGTCTATCTATCATTTATACTTTAACAATAGGTACCTAGGCATGGATCTCTGAAGGGCGTTTCTCAAATTGATAAAATAATTTTAGGCCAGTGTTGCCTTTTTTCTGGCGTTTTCTTCTTTTCCAGGGGAGCAATATGACAGACCGGACATACATCAGTCGCGAACCGAACCACCACGAAGCCACAGATTCCCCAGCATTCCAAAAATGGACATAAGCACGATTGTAGAAACCACCTTGGCATAACAAACATAATACCCAATTCAAGAAAGTGTGACCATGGATTACGTATCAACTCTTTGCACAATCACTTCTCCTCAATGGCGAGGGCCTTCCTTCCTTTGCCCCTGGATGCACGGGGCTTCTGAGAGACTGTGGCCTTCTCTTCCTCTTCCGCCTTTTCACACTTTTCCATATCGGACTCGCCAATTCTCACATCCTTCTTTCCGATTTACTCCTCTTTGAGAACAATCTCGCCTCCAACTCTCTGCGCGTCTTCTACACCTATATCAGGCCCAAGGACGGCCAGGTCTCCTTCTTCTTCTTCTTCTTCTTCCTCTGTATCTTCACCAGACTCTAGCTTATTCGCTTTGGATAGAGTTTCAAAATGACGACCGATGTCTTGCACCACGCGGTCGTAAACCATGTGGATCGATTCAAGTGCCTGGCGCTTCTCTGCGAAATTTCCTTTCGCTTTCATGTTGGACTGGTCGAGCTGCGACTGATAGTATGTGCTATCATACTCGAGAGTCCTCTTGCGCTTTTTTGCTTGCAGGTACTCAATGGAGTTGTTATTCGAATCAACCTTTTTTTGTCCTTTTTAGTAATTTCCTTATTTTCTGGAAAAACTTGAAAGGCCCAAATCAACGTTGGAGCACTCACAGGACCACTTTTGTTCTCAGTCTGGGAATCCCGTCTGTGGTTCCCGGAGCATCGCTGGCTGTATCGGGAATTTGATTAGAAAATAACATACCGTAAATACCTATGTAGGGAACGACTTGCATAGCGAGCAACTGAAAGCTTTGTTGCGAAAGTAACAGTTCATACAACAACGGCCCTGCAAATAACGGCCGCCGCCATGACAAGAAAGAACCACACAACTTCCAAAGGGGCCATTACCAATCAGGCAAGAGCCGCATTGTTTGCAAGTGGAATAATATCTCCACAACGTTGACCACGAGCAGCAAAGGCCTGTGAGTTGGTAGTGAGATAGGTGCGTCTCGATCGAGATGGCACCCAATCGACGTCTCGGAGAGGTTCGAGCAGAGATACGAGAATCGACAAGCGCTTCCCATTCTTAAGGTGTTTAACCTCGACGTTTCCCTTGACGTCCAAATAAAATCTACGACCTATGAAACTATAGTGTCGTCAGCACCGACTTCGATGGCCATGGAACAGTTTTCAACAAGGGCCGGGCAACGAACGAGTCCTCGGAGTCTTGCTCATCTTGGTATCAAACCGTGTATATAACGGAAGTCAAGTATCATATGCTATAACACTCGTTGTAATATCACAACACAAATTATAGCCAGTCGGGGCGAGGAGGATAGATAGGGTCTCGGTATGAAGAGGGAAAGAGGCTTCCGGGAACCTGTCGCCCCTTTATATGCCACCAACCCACAGGGCCACAAACATGACCTCAGAAAATGACCTTTGACCCGCTTAGTGGGATTATATACCTACATATGTAGGTATCACTTGAGTGGACTCGATATAAGCAGGTCTTAATGAGGCACTTGCTTGTGAATAGTCTACTCCACAATCTCGCAGAGTCCAAGTCAAAATTCATATATTCATTTCATAGTCATCATCATCTCGTAATAGCCTAGCTAGGTAGGTAAGCTCCAAAGGAAAGCCGAATCGAATCCCAGTGTCAATGGCTTCGCTGGACCGTCACAACAGGGCCAACATACTGCCGCCTTCCCTGGAACAAATACATCAAAAGACTGATAATGAACACATTAACGAAAATAACCACGCTCCAATTAAAATCTTGCGCCGAAGGCAAAGGGCTCGGAGGCCAGAAAGACCAAAACAGCGCGAAAATAATATAAAGCAGCCCAATGATGTTTACTGCAAGACCGAAACGACCAAGACTCCAACGTCGAGGAGGTAACGTTTCAGGACAGGCAATCTTCCGGTAAATCACGCAGCTTATGGATACCGCGTACGTATACATGAGTGCGGCGACATTGAGAGAGATGATTGCGTTGAATGCAACTTGCGAGCCGATGTTAATTAGCGACAATAAGCCACTGATCATACAAGAGAGTGCGATGGCTCGCACTGGAATGCACCGATGCGGGTCGACTCGCGAGATCCAGTCTGCGAAGGGTAGCCCACGATCCCGTGCGAATGCATATGTTTGACGTGCGGTTGATGCGTTGAAGAGGACGTTACTGAATATAACGGGAATTAAGATTATTGCTGTTAGGCCGTTGACACCGGAGGTCGAGAGGAATTGGCGGAACACGTAGAGGAAGGGGAATCCAGTGCTGTCGTTGAGCGCATCTGGCACTGAGGGCAGAGCAAGAAGAAAGCCAACTACTATTATCAATGCGAGTATTCCGTTGCCGAAGTATCCCCATGCAATTGCGATTGGTACGTATCGACCTGCGTCCTTGACTTCTTCGGACATATGTGCGGTGGCGTCGGAGCCTGTAAGTGGTATTTCTGTGTTAGCCTTGTACCTTGAAAGAGTGATATAGCAACATGCATACTGAGAGAGCCATATATAGCTGTAATCTGGCCAATCATCAAACTTATGCCCATAGTAGACCAATTGCCACCGTTATGGAACGAGGTGAATACGGTTTTGGCAGAGTTGTGAGGAGCCATGGCGAACAAGACAACCACAATGATGACCCAGCATAACAAATGCAGCGCGAGAAGGAGATTCTGGATTCTGGGCATCCAGCTTGCCGCATAGACATTGAAAAAGTAAATGACAGCTATCATCGCGAATACGAACAAGGTTCCATGCCAATTTTGCGGTTCATAGCTCGGGTCACGGAGGGCGATGAGACCTTGGATGATAGTCCCCGTCAGAAACGAACCAGATGCAGCTCCTGCCTGCCAGGCGAGTACGGACATCCATCCTAAGTTGCAACTATTAGCAATTGATAAGGGCCGTTCATTATACGAGACATCTCACCAGTGGTGTAACTCAGAAACTTCTGATATCGAGGCGACGAAAACTCCGATACCCAATGGTATTGGCCGCCTGACGTGGGTGCCCTAGTGAATAGGACAATGGTACGTCAGAAATCTCCGAGGATGACGGACATTAAGCAATGACAACTCACATTGATGCCATTTCGGCTAGCGAAGCAATGATGAAGCCAAACCCAACAAAAGTCCACATGTAGGACCAAAATACACCAGCGAGCCCACCATTTTCGAGACCTTGGGTGTTTGAGCTAAGGACAAAGTCATCAGTGCCTGACACGATGACGCATATGCAGATCGCGGACTGCCTCTCACATAAGTATGAACTCCCAGGTAGCTTGAAGGACCGCTGAAAAGCTCAACGCTGCTAGGGGTCGAAAGTTGCGCTTCGAAAAGATCAGTCTATAATTCCCAGGTTGTATCAAGAGAGCCAAATAACACCTTCAATTCCTGGATCTTTCCCATGCGTGTCATATCATCCTGATCCTGTGGACTGCTATCCATCTCCGGCAGATCTTTCGCGGGGTGTTCTTCCATCATGTGAACTCGGTCAAAAGAAGAGATACGATCCTGTAGTTGCGGGCTTCCTGGTGGCATTTTGACGACTGATATGCAATCAAAGAGGTATTAACATGTCAATGTTGTTTACTTATAGAAGGGCCGACATCAGAGGTTGAATATTAATCAAAGATGAAACTGACAATCTGAAGTTGGAGATATAAGAACACGAGAGAGGCTCGATTTTGCCAATTCTGGGCATTCTCGGCTGTTCCGCTGCAGGAAACCCCCAGAGTGATACAGCGAGCCCACTTCGAAGCCGAATTTCTCCCCACTTATGTTACGTACCCCTCGATGGATGAAGAAATCTACCGATGATAATGCACACAAGTCCACATGGCAGGTCCTTCAGTGACGGTCGGACCGGAATCGGCATACCTTTTGCATACTTTTTAGAACGGTGGGACTGTGTTAAAGTGGCATGGCCTCTTTCAATTCATATCTTGTCGGGAAGGACTTTCGCCCTTGAGGGGACTAGTAGTAAATCCCTGTCAACTATCCCTAACTAGTACGGTGTTTGCTTACACTAATTGTCGTCCGTGCCCTCGAAAAGAAGAACATAATCTCGTCCTCAACCCCATTCCTCGGGTTATGGCACGCAAATCGATGCTCAACTGAATTCGCCAACGAAGCTATCAACACGCCACTTGAGGTCGGTTCCGCTCTCATTATCCCCTCATGAGGTGCGAGCGTCAACTTCATGCTCGATCCCGACTTCGATCTGCGTCTTCCCGCGTGGATGTAAGGAGAGTCAGATTCCGGGCTGGGTTGTACAAAGAAACTAGATTTGGAAGTCGTCCCGAGATTGGCCATGTCAGACACAGAAAATGGATTTGGGGCACCTGAAAACAAACACGCTCCAAGGAAATTACATGGGTGTCCTAAATAATGAAATAAAGAAACCTGCAATAATCCCATTGCGGTAAGTCTCTTTAGCGTCCTGCGCATACGGCGATCCCCCCGTGTACCCTGCCAGTTGTGATTGCAACTATGGCAAACGAGTGTTCGCTACGGAATACACACGTCCACCCATACGGAGTACTCCGTATGGTGTTGCAAAGTAGATCTACCGGAAGTTACTCAATATATTGTACTTTACTATATCGGCACAATGTAAATGTAACAGTGCGACAAACCCTCCGAGGGACAATGACCCACCGAATACATGTCCGGCCACACAATTTGAAGCGAACAGAACTTCGCATTTACATGCTTGACTGAATTATCGAGGCACTATATGTCCTTAAGGCCATAGTGCCCCAGTAACCCGGTTGTGTGCCTATGGGAAAATTAAGTTCCCAAGTGATCTGCAAAATGGCATGTTAGACAAAGCCGATGCGTATGTCCCCATAACTTAGTTCTTCACTAGCTACAGAGTACCTCCGATCTATGGTTCCACCAATAGGCACAAGTGATTTGGATTTGTTCGAACATTCCGTGGCGCTTGTAAACCTATGTATACAGACCACCAGGATCATGACATGGCATCACAGAAAGCAAACCTCAAGTATCCCCGAATCCAAAATCAAGCTAATGACGCGTAACTGGAAACCAACCGTATATTTACAGCCCATATCCGTGGGTCACCCAATGCGCCAAGGTCAAATCTCAGTTTGTATCCAGGCTGAGCGTGGATGGAGGTGTGCGATTCGCTATTAGGATGCCCTGCATCACGAAGTGTGAATTTTCTGAGTCAGCCAGTCTGTTTGGCTGAAGCTGAGTATATCCCCAATCAAGTCCCTAAGAACAGGATCAGGATATGTTTCTTTCTTTTGGCCATGGCAACTCCATCCCCAGTGCCGTCGAGCTTGTCACCTCCGCTGACTGTGGATATCGAAATCAACCATAATGGGGTTATTACAGTCATCGCTTCTTTTTCGTTATTTTTAGTCCTGGGATCTCTAGGGATTCGTGTGTATTCTGCATACAGTAGAAGAGTCCGTCAGTTGGATGATTTGACTTTCGCAGCGACTGTGGTATGTCTTTCCGTCTCAACTAATGCGGACCCTTTTAGAAGATCTCGACTGATGTTAGATCTAGATTCTTGCCTTGGCACAGGTATCTGTGGTCTTTGCGCAGATCCATTTTGGGTGGGGAAAGTCAAAGTCGCTCATCGCTGATGAAGATTGGAACTCCATCGAGAAGGTAGGTGTCCCTGGTCAGGATGGGTATCACTTTGAAATCTCTTTTTGACATCTCTTTCTAGGCTGGGTACAGTGCAGATATCCTCTATATCGCGATATTATCTTCTTCAAAAGCGTCAACAGCACTTTTTTACCGGACCATTACTCTCCGTAGCTCGATATGGATGACCTACACTCTTCTCACAGTTACTCTACTCTGTGCGCCTGTGGCTATAGTCTTGCTGGCAGTCCGTTGTGATCAACACCCGTGGCGTGACATCAGCAAACAATGTTCAGTTCTGGTAGGTCGTGGTAACTGTCAGTATTGTGTCTCCACTCACTCATATCCGTCTAGTTTCCTCACTGGCAGGCCATCACAGGCTTGGATATTACTTTTGAAATCATTCTTTTACTCTATCCCATCCGCGCAATAATGCGACTGCAGACGACACTGAGCAACAAAGTCATCGTAATTCTGGTGCTTAGTTGTCGAGTGTTGTATGCTTAAGTTCTCCCTTAGCCAGTTTCATACATACTAATATTGACCTGATATACCTTCAGCCTTATCCCTCTCGACGCGATCCACCTCCATTACATGAGCCAACAAGTCAATTCGCCAGATCCAACACTCGAAGGAACCTTCGCTACTGTAGTGGCAGAACTCCACGTGGCATTCAGTGTTATTGTACTGACGGCACCATTAATGAAGCCATTCGTTGCAGCCTACGTGGACGAGAACGGACTGGCCTATACCGACGACGCGTCCAAGTCACGAACCAATAATAAACTCACACCACACTCCGATCGATCGAATGCGACGTATCCCGGGTTGCGGACGAGTAATTCTCCGGCGAAAAATCGCATCATGAAAAGCATTGAAATATCTGTGGATCACGATGATGTGGAGCTTTTGGAGAGACGATGACGCCCTCCGCGGGAGGCTCGGAATACTATACAGTTAATAAATACACCTAATACGAAACACTCACGTCGCGATTATGCTCATTATTCGCCGCCTGGGAGGTCTGAATAAATATGGGATCCAGGCTGTGATGATTGTGAACTTGGCGCGTAGAGTGGGATCAAGACTCAGTTGAGTATGGGGTGCCAACCAGATATATCATATCCACTTGAGGTGCGTTTGGTCCAACTTCGGATACAATCAGACGACATTGCATGTGAAAACGAACAAGAACAAGTTTCTAGACGTATCGTGGGCACACCGGGAGCGAATCAAGTTTTCATTAACACGGGGACATACCACCAAAGCCATCGCATATAAGGTGGGATCTCCATATTGGGACATTTGGTGGCGTAACCAAGCGTCTGCGTCGATCAATTGACGTTTTCTTAGCGCTCGCCATTCTTCCGAGCGCTCATTTCAGGTATGGATCCTTACCTGGCGCACTAAAAAAGGTCATCCCCAGTTTCCATTTCGGATTTGGACTCCGTAGAGCTTTCCCCGCACTTATGACCTCATCAATCTACAGCCAAATTCGAGGTTGTCCAGGATCATTATTGTAGTCTACCATGCCCTGGAATGAGTTTTTTATCTCTCCTTGTAATCATGAGAGTGGTAACGATAGCTACGGAGCTCTAGACAGTGATCCCGGCCACTGCGATGGCAGATTCTTACCATCATCCTACTTCAAGTCGTGACATCGACAGAAGGAGCTATTCAATAAAAAGGGAAGAGGAGCATCGGTCGGTAGATGTGGTCTCTCATCTTGCGGACCCGTTCGGGGATGAAGAATTTGCCGAAATCAAGTATCGCACGTTACAATGGTGGCAATGCGGCATGATAATGATCGCGGAAACCGTCTCTCTCGGTATTCTGTCTCTTCCATCGGCCGTGGCAGTGCTAGGCCTTGTCCCGTACGTTTCCTACTACTTCCAGCTAATGCCAAGCATAACAATGTTCTGACAGCTTTCCAGTGCGATCATTCTTATTGTCGGACTCGGTATAGTCGCAACCTATACTGGATATGTTATCGGCCAATTCAAACTTCGATACCCACAAGTTCATAGTATGGGGGACGCTGGGGAGGTGATGTTTCATCCTATGGGCTGGGCTCGCTTTGGTAGAGAGTTCTTGGGAACGGCTCAGCTGCTTTTTCTCATCTTCGTCATGGGCAGTCATATTTTGACCTTTAGTGTCATGATGGATACAATCACAGATCATGGCACCTGCTCCATTGTATTTGGGATCGTTGGCTTGATAGTCTCGTTCGTCTGTGCCTTGCCTCGAACTCTTCGCAAGGTCTCCTGGCTCTCGTTTGTTTGTATGTATACCCCTGCCTCTTCTGCAATGAGCTCCTTGCTAACCATCAGCTACCATAGCTTTCGCAAGTATCCTTGCCGCACTCCTAATTACCATGATCGCCATTGCTATCCAGCGCCCGGGTAACGGCCAGATCGACGCGACTACAACAGTCAGTCTTTCAAAGGGGTTCCTAGCCGTGACAAATATTGTATTTGCTTATGGTGAGTACCAACCAGTCAGCCAGGCCTTGCAACTAATTTCTATGTAGCTGGCCATGTAGCTTTCTTCGGGTTCATTTCAGAGATGGAGACTCCCACGGACTATCCCAAGACACTATACATGCTCCAGATAACCGATACGAGTATGTATGTCATAGCTGCGGTTGTTATATACACCTACGGTGGAAGGGATGTGGATTCACCCGCCCTGAGTTCGACAAAGCCTATAACAGCAAAACTTGCATATGGAATTGCCATTCCTACGGTGCGAGATTTCTGGGACAGATTTCTACTTGGGACGGTTGCTAACTTGATATTGCAGATCGTCATAGCCGGCGTTATCAACGGGCATGTCGCAGCAAAATATATTTACGTCCGCCTGTTCCGGGGCACTGATCACATGAAGAAGCGCACATTCTTCTCGATCGGCTCCTGGGTTGTGATTACTCTGGTATTATGGGTGATAGCATGGATTATTTCCGAGGCAATCCCTGTGTTCAACACTTTGCTGAGTCTGATTGTGAGTGTCGCCGGGAAATCCAACTGAGACAGGCACTAACATGGATTCACCGAGTAGACTTCCCTTTTTGCGAGCTGGTTTACCTGTGAGTGATATCCAGTCCACACCAAACTCTTGATCGTGCTGACCTGGATACAAGATGGCTTAAGTGGTATATTCTGGTTGTTCCTGAACCGAGGCCAGTATGGGGCTTCTTGGAAAAAGATGGTTCTAACTGCTGTCAACCTGGTCATTGTCGCGATTGGCGCTTGCTTGGTACGTCCAATTTTCCAATGCTGGGCCATTTACGAGATTGCTAATATTAAGAAGTGTGGCATGGGCCTCTGGGTGTCTGGTAAGGCAATTCACGATGATTCAAGTGGTGCCAGCTTTTCGTGTGCTGCTAGAAGTGGATGAAGTCTGATGTCTCGGTCTACACAGCTTTCTGTGTGTATGCAATTATATAAACAGACATATTTCGCCTTGTCAACTTGTGAATTCATATCAGCGACCTCGTCATCAGGTGTTATTATTTCCCTGCATGGTATTTGTCTTTGAATCGGATCGTATTCGAACGTCCAGACGATATATATATTCAGGTTCACGCAACCACGTTCTGAAATAGAAAGATCACCTGCCTCAGCCTCGAACTGCCCGTAATATACTCATGTTTGAACTTCAATCCGAAAATACATATGTACGTAGCGATGTCGTCGTTCCAAGGTCAGTACCACGCATGACTCAGCCCAACGCCGATAGATTCTGATGCCATGACGTGTTGCAAGATCACCGGTTGTGGGTTCAAAAAGGAAACAATGGAATGGATTTCAATGACCTATTTCTCTGGGGTAGATCTACTGGAGTCCTTGCGACGCGTATATGAACAGGGTCACGGTGAGCTTCTACTCAGTACTCACAGTTGCTATACCACGAACGAACCACACGCCCTCAATATCATTATCTAGTTGTCTCTGCCATGGCCAATAAAGAGACACAAACTTCATTCTCCCCACATAGCACCCTGCAATCAGCGCATGATTCAGCTAGCTTGCGGACCGTGTTCGATGATGGCAACCCATACGACGTGGCCGATAGGTTAGAAAGCAACGGATCTGCAGAAAACAAATCCGATAAATCGCCAAATGAGCAAGAAGATTCGATCGTGGACTGGGACGGCCCAGATGACCCGGCATGGCATCCAATTTCCTTCCTTCGAGTTTGTACAGCTCCTCTGATACGATTCTAGGAGATGCCCAAGAACTTCCCGGCACGAAGGAAGTGGGTGATCACCATAATGCTAGGAATGATGACAGTTTGCGTTACTTTCGGGTCTTCGGTCTTCAGCACAGCAACAAAGCAGACGGCGAAAAAGTTCGGTGTCTCCCCAGAAGTCATGGTGTTGGGTGTCAGTTTGTTCGTCCTGGGCTTCGCCTTTGGCCCTATTATCTTCGGTCCCCTGTCTGAGCTGTACGGACGAAAGCGACCGTTATTTCTGGGCGTGTTTGTCTTCGCAATCTTTCAGATCCCCGTCGCGGTAGCCCAGAACTTGCAGACTATCTTCGTATGTCGCTTTCTGGGTGGACTTTTTGCCAGCGCACCCCTTGCCATTGTGAGCCTGCTACATTGTTCCCAACCTATGCCTTAACTCTCGCTAATTGGCATTTGTTCTCTGTCTAGGTATCCGGCATACTGGCTGATATGTTCCAGCCCGTAGAGCGAGGGATTGCAATGGCCGTGTTTGCCGCGGCAACCTTCATCGGACCGGTCGCTGGACCAATCGTCGGGGGGTTCGTAACAATCTCCTACCTGGGCTGGCGTTGGACGGAGTATATCACAGCCATTTGGGCGTTGGCCACCGCTGGCATCGGGCTCCTGGTAATTCCCGAGACGTTCGAGCCGAGGTTACTCACGCAACGCGCTCAGCGACTGCGACACAAAACCAAGAACTGGGCTCTCCATGCAAAGGCAGAAGAGAATGTAGTAAACTATCGGGATATCGCAGTACGATATCTCCTGCGCCCCTTCCAAATGCTCGTGCAGGAACCCATTCTTCTGCTTGTTACCCTGTATACAGGTTTCATCTATGCGTTTCTGTACACATGTTTCGTGGCATATCCAATCTCCTTCCAAGAAGAGCGTGGATGGAATGGTGGCGTTGGAGCATTGCCCTTTGTCGCTGTTATTTGTGGTGTTTTCTGCACTTGTTTGATTATCATTGCGTTCTCATTGACTCGGTATAGAGCGTTCATAATCCGCAATGGCCGGGTTCAACCAGAGGAGCGGCTGATTCCTATGATTATTGGAGGCGTCCTGCTGCCTGCCGGCATGTTTTGGTTTGGCTGGACCTCAAATCCTCACATTATTTGGGTTCCGCAAGTTGTATCTGGGGGCTTCTTGGGGTCAGGGGTGATATTGATCTTCCTGCAGGTACATTATCCCTATTAGAATATCCAGACACCATCCCTGAAATACTCACCATGATCACTAGGGGCTTAACTATATCGTCGATGTGTATCCTCTGTATGCCAACTCCGCGATCGCAGCCAACTCCTTCTTTCGTGCATGGCTGGGGGCTGGATTTCCTATGTTCGCATCGGGAATGGTATGTTTTTTCCCTTTACCGGCACTGCAAGAACGAGGCTGATCACAATGGATATAGTTTCACAACCTGGGCGTCCCTTGGGCGATGACATTGCTAGGTTGTCTTACCGCTGCCTTGTTCCCTGTGCCCATTGTGTTTTACATATATGGGCCAAAGATACGGTCATGGAGTAGATTCACCATGAAGGAAGAATGAAGGTCAAGCAGCGGCATGTTCAGGGCCGATGACCAGAGGTCCAGGGGGATTAGTATAATTTCATCCGACATATTCTTATAAATAGTGATATCCGTGACTTTGACCAGTAAAGTATGTCGATACAGACTGGCGTAGTATTATCAGGTGGACAATTGTCCAGGCCCTATTTCATCCCATCTTGGCACGAACCCCGCGCTCTAGACCCGAAGCCCCGAGGCCGGGGAGTTAGGACTCGGTGTCTATCGTCCAGTTTTTGAGCAGATGTGGACCTGGGGCAGCCTCGGCTAGGAGTTATCGTGACCCGAGGTCGCACTCCATCGGCCAGGTCCGATGTGGAGTAGACTCGGCTATGAAGACATGCATGATGCGGTCTGGCCAATCCCCGGATGCATTTCATGTGCAGGTTACCCCGGTTTTTCACCAGGGTTCAGCTAAGCTTCCTGGGCAAACCATGCAGCTTTAATCAAGCATTATCGCGTCCCGCGAAGGAGGAATCTGGGGAAAAGACTTTTAGCTAATATTATCTTCCCCAGTGTCGGCTCCCACTTCTACTCCACTTCTCATTGAAGACTTGGTCCAATACGTTTTCGGTTCCACACCATCGCCAATGGGAGCTGCGCTTCTTCCCCCCGGGGTCCCCGCCCCATGTACTGCCCGGTTCCACCACTATCACGATCGTCGGGTAGGCGGCGTTCGCCGTCTAACACTCAGATGAGTGTATATATGATGTTTACATCCAACCTCCAGTCGGCGTGGCATGATCTTGAAACTCTAGATCTTGAATTAGACTCCTTCAATACGAATATTGCACCATGGCGCCGTATTTTGGCCTTCGCGGCCCTTCGCTGAATAGGGCCATCATGTGGCTGGTCGTGTGTCCAGCCTTTGTGACTTATGGATACAATCAAGGCGTGATGGGAGGTCTGTTGACCCTGGAATCCTTCGCCAAGACCTTCCCGCAGATGAACACTCTCACTGCAACCGACGCAGAGAAGACCTATAACTCGACTATTCAAGGTAAGCCCGATCACCATCTGTGTGCAGATCAATCACAGACGGTTGGTATCTCCGTCGCTTGACTTGTTGCTCATCCTATATTCCTTCAGGCACGGTGGTCGCACTATATACCGTTGGTGGAATATTCGGTTCGCTATCATGCATTCAATTCGGTGACAGGCTCGGCCGCCGGAGGGTCATCCTGTTCACCTCCTTCATCTCGATGATTGGTGCTATCCTCATGGCAACATCCTTCTCCCTTCCACAATTTATCGTCGCACGACTCGTCCTCGGCTATGGCACCGGCGGTTACGTCGCTACAGTACCCGTCTGGCAGTCCGAGATCTCGAAGCCCAACAAGCGTGGCGCTCATGTAGTAACCGATGGTGTCTTCATCGGCGTTGGTATCACCTTCTCTCTCTGGGTCGACTTCGGCTTCTACTTCGTTAAGACCAACTCGGTTTCCTGGCGATTCCCCTTGGCCTTCCAGGTCCTGCTATCACTGATGGTTATGGGTTTTGTGATGCTCTTCCCCGAATCGCCCCGGTGGCTGGTGAAAAGAGGTCGCACCGAGGAGGCACGGGAGATTCTGGCGGCGCTGGACGACGTCGACCCTCAGTCGGAACAAATCACCCTCGATATCCGCGATATTGAGACCTCCCTAGCTCTTTCCGGAACGGGTTCGTGGAAGGATATGCTGAAGATGGGCGAGCAGCGACTGTTCCACCGCACTGTTCTCGCTTGTATGGGTCAGATGTTCCAGCAGATGTGTGGAATCAATTTGATCACCTTCTACGCGACGACCATTTTCGAACAATATCTGAAGCTTAATGCCGTCCAATCTCGCGTTCTCGCTGCATCCATGTGCCTAACACAGCCGCTGGGCGGCTTACTAGCCTATTTCACAATCGACCGTCTCGGTCGCCGCGTGCTTATGCTGTGGAGTGCTGTCGGAATGTCAGTGTCAATGGCCATCCTAGCTGGCACCACTTCCCTCCAAAATAACACCGGCAGCTTGGTCTGCGCCGTGGTATTCCTTTTCGTCTTCGAGTTCATTTTCACAGTCGGCTACTCTGGCTTAACCTTCCTATACGCCACAGAGGTCGCTCCCCTCCAGTGCCGAGCGTCTATAAGCGCCATCTCCGCTGCCGCCGTCTGGACGTTCAACTTCCTCCTCGCTGAGGTCACGCCCGTCGGCTTCGCTACCATCGACTGGCAGTACTATATTATCTTCGCCGTGCTGAATGCCGCCATCGTGCCAACTGTCTACTTCCTCTTCCCAGAGACGAACGGCCGCACCCTCGAGGAAATCGACGAGATCTTCCTGCAGTCGCACAGTATCTTCGATCCGCCCCGCATTGCTCGCTCTCTTCCCCGCATGCATGTTGCCGACGTTCATGGTGTTGATTCCAAGGAGGTTGGAAGTGGCGATGATGACATGGCTGAGAAGCCCAACATGTAGACCATTCACGAAGATATGAAATGAGGGTCCTGCTGGTTTATCGGGATATATAAACAGAATTCCGGACCGTGTCGCTTGAGCGACCAGTCATTATAGATTTGTCAAACGAAGCATTATTTGGTTGCAGATTATTTTCATCTTCCATTTGTATTTGAGGATAAATGCGCAGAGTGGAAGCGGAAGCGGCATATCGGCCCGACGATGCGACCCGCGTCTCACTCAGTCTCAGTTCTGTCTCACTTATACTTGGCACGGTTTCAGGCTAATGGTGCTGCAGAGTTTCATCGTGCAGACACAAGAATCGTTATTTCCGTGACTTATATGGAGGCCCTGCCGATCATTTCCGGTTTGTCAATTGCCCCTGTCGGGGGATCATGTTGAAGAAAGTAAGGCAAAAGAAGACAATGCATCGGGGCCCGTGATGTTTACTGCTTTGGTGACGGAATTACATGAACGAGGGCTTTTGAGAGTGGCTAAAGTCATATCCAAACCCGCCGGCTGTCAAAGGATTACTTCAAACAAGCCCGGGTAGCCCGGGTTTCATGGTCTCCATGGTCTCCGTGTTATTTCCGGCGTGTCTTGCCTGGGGATGTGGATATATAATAGCCTTTGGAAGGATGTATTATTGCTCGGAAGCAAACTGATCGCACCTCCAAACCGCCAAATATAACGCAAGCATACAACCATCTGGTCAAGATGCGGTCTCTTGCATGGCTCCTCTCCCTCCCAATAGTGGCCGAAGCAGGTGAAGTCCTGTGGAGCGGATTCTTCAACGCCTCCGCGACCGCTGCCGACTTCGACAAATGTAAGGGACTCCCGGCGGTTGGTATTGATCAACACTGACACACAAGAAGGGTCGTGGTCCAACCAAGTTGGCGATTGGCAGTGGTATATCCACGGCAGTGCCTCGACAGAAACGTACCTGGGTCTCTCACCTGATAACAAGAACCCTGCCGATAGCAGTGATGAACAGGGCATTCGGATCACGATTGTAGGTCCTATCTCAAGCTCGAGGGAACTAGAAGCTGACAACAGTCAGGACGGCACGTCGTTCTGGAATGGACAAACCATGGAACGATCTGAGATCATTCCCCAGACCAAGGCGGATCTCGGAAGCGGGCATCTGTTCTACCATTTCTCACTGAAAACAGAAGACACGAATGCACCGAATCCGAACTTCGAACATCAAATCGCGTTCTTCGAGGTAAAAGCCCCCTGCCTAATGTATCGAAGGGACCAACAGCTAACAATTGTCACCACCACAGAGCCATTTCACAGAGCTCAAATACGGCACTATGAGCGGCGCTTCCGGCAAAGACAACACCCTCCGCTGGTGTGTCGGTGGAGTCTCGAAGTGGGAAACGGACTTGGAAGCAGGGAAGTGGTACAACTTCGCCTACGAGATCGATTTCGATGCAAAGACTGTTGGACTGTGGGCATCGAATGGGGCCGATGACCTAAAGCAGGTTGTCTCGGCCGTTAGTGCGTCAACTTCGACAAACTCCGCGGATTGGCATGTCGGCGAGTTGCGCCTCGATAATGGGGGTTTGAATGCGGCTGCGGAGGATTGGTTTTGGTCTGGCATCTTTGTGGAGGAGGCTCCGATTACTCCTGGTATTTCCGGTCCTGCATGAGACATAAGTGTCGGTTGGAATGCACTCAGTAGTTATTTTAGATAGTGCTGAGGTGGGATCAACGCTCAAATTAGAAAGCAGACAAACAGGCAAATAGTTTGCAAAACTGCCAAACTTATCAAACAATCCAGTTTCCAAATTTGGGTTTGGCCATGACGTCAACGAAACAGGAGACGGATACGACAGAACTCTTGGAATACCCACAACATACATATGTAGGTAGCTCAGGAATGGAGTCATCAGACTATGTGTGGATTCATTTAAATTCGTGTAATGTACAAAGAGGGTATTTACCGCACAGTGTATCCACCGTCAATGAGCAAATCATTGCCCGTCATGTATGTGCTGGCATCGCTGACCAAGTAAACATAAGCACCCTTGAGTTCCTTCGCGTCACCATTCCGACCCATGGGGATCATAGAGTTCCAAAGGTCCTGAACATCCTTCGCGACGAAATCAGACAACCCGGTGTCAATGTAACCAGGCGAGATGCTGTTAACGCGGGCAAAGTCGCGCCATTCGTTGGCCAGCGACCGGGCAAGGTGAATCGTGCCCGCCTTAGCAACATTGTATGAGGTCTGTTCCTGTGGGAAGTTGGCAATGTGGCCTGACATCGAAGAGGTGATGACGAAGCTGCCAGTGCCCCGCTCCTTAAAGTGGGCACCAACAGCCTTGGCGCAGTGGAAGGTGCCGGTCAGATCGGTGTTGATCACTTCGTTCCAGTCCTCCACAGACCCGTCAAGGATGCCGCTGTCGGCTGTGCGCCCGGCGTTCGCAATGAACGCGTCGATCTTGCCGAAGTCTTTGATCACGTCTTTCACGAGGGTCTCCACGCTCTCCCAGTTGCCCACATCGCACTTGTACGGCTTGACCTTGACGCCGTATTCTTCGGAGAGTTCCTTGGCGTTCTTCTCGCCGCCCTCCCTGCGCGAGGCGTATGTGATGGCCAGGTCGGCGCCCATCTCGGCGCAGCCGCGGGCGGCTTCGATTCCCATGCCTCGGGGTCCAGAGGCTCCGGTTACAACGACAACCTTGCCCTTGAGGCTAAGGAGGTCGAGGAGGCGGTCGGCTTTAGGGACGGGGATAGGCATTATGGTAGATGGGGGTTTGGCGGTCGGAAGAGGTATGTCTGAATAGAGGAATGAAGGTCTAGGGATAAGAGATGAGAACAGTGGTATTTGATTTGGTTCTCCAACATCTGGACACGAAGCTGGCTTAAATATGTCTATACCCCGCTGTTGGGCCCATGACTTCATGTTCTGGCACTGATATCAGAGATCCCAGGTAAGTATAGCCGAGATAGGGACCTCCTGCGCCTGGCTTGATCAGGTTATCTGGTCTCATTTGTGGCAGCCAAGTTGGCATATCCAGTAATAACGTCGAATGACTTCGATCATGACAACCTTGGTGGAGACGGAGGGCGGGCAGTGACATCATGACCTGAAATAGGAAGCCGCTGTCTGTTCACCCATTTGTTGATTCTGTATCATTAGGTTTCAGATTGGCTTACTCAGTTTCTTCTTTAATTTATAATATTTTTATAATCAATAATTATATCTGATTCTTGCAAATGCCACACAATTCTAGAAGGCTCCTTCATTGATATCGCGTATTTCTCGATCACAACATGTCCAAGCCATCAGCTCTGGCCGTGGAGCATCGCCCCACTTTGGCACGCCAAGGAGTATAGAATTACAACTTGAAACCCTCTCACGCATTTAAAATATATCACGGCAGTCCATGGAAGTGCTGTGGGGTCTTCTAGCTTAAAAGTGTAAAAAGAAAGAGTGTCGAAGCTCTAAAAAGTCATGACGGTAACGACAATATGAGGGAATTCAAACGTCACGTAGAATCAGCTATGCACCAGGAACAAAAGAAATTCCCCGGCCACTTCCAGGGCTATGATACAGTAGAAGCATTCTTTTTCAGTTCATTGCCAGTATGGAGGATCAAGCCGCAGGAATCCCTCCTACTCAGCCAGTTCGAGGAGGTGGACATATACATCGATCGTCCACAGCGAGTACCCTGCACCATAACGAGTTTGAAGATTCGTTTTTCTCAAGGTATGCGCAAGTAGTTCACTTATAGCAATTGGGCTCGACTGACAATATTGTAGAGTCCGATCCTTCTTCCATCGAGACAGTCACATAGGTCATGTCGGGCGTCACCCTTTGCGTGGTAGCCAGGACATCGAGATACATACCTGGAGCGGCCCAGATGACCCAGATAACCCGTAAGACGTGAGAGTACCTGAATGGTCAGTAAATTTTCACTGACGACTCAGATTCAATTGGAGCAAAACTTATAAATGGGTGCTCACTCTGACGATTTGTTTCATGTCAGTCGCATCCGATCGTTTCACACTTAACTAGACAATACTGACCCATTCTAGTTCAATCCTGACAGGTCTTCCGGCGGGGTCCTACGGTGCCGGGAACAAATATATGGAACAACAATTCCATGTCCAAAATGAGCCCTTTCCAAACCTCGCATGGGCTACAACTTCTTGGAATATGGGCGCTGCATTCTGGCCTCTGATCTTTGTCCCGTTGACCGAATCATCCGGGCGTATGCCGGGGTACTTTGTTGCATATTTCATTCTAGTCGTCTCACTATTTCCTTCGGCCTTTGCGCAGAACTTTGCTACGCTAGTTGTTACTCGATTCTTTGGCGGCGGGGCCTCTTCGGTGTCTATCAACATTGTCGGAGGTAGCATCAGTGACGTCTGGTATGGCGCCCAAGCTCGAAGCTTACCGATGTCTCTATTTGGATTTACGAGTGTGGTTGGCATAGCTTTGGGTCCATTTATTGGGGCAGCGATTCAACAGATCCATAAAAGCAGCCCGTGGAGATGGTAAGTTGTGGTTTCTGATAGGTGGAACACTGCTGATAAAGATTCAGGATCTTCTACATTCAGATCATTTATAATGCTGGATTGATACCGGTCTTCTGGTTGATTCTTCGAGAGACGCGTGCAGATGTGATACTAAAGAAACGTGCCAGGAAGCTCCGCTTGGAGACCGGCCGTCCTATATACGCCGAAGCTGATTTGGACACCACCAGCGTCTTGAAGCTCGTCCAGATTTCATTCGAACGCCCTACACGGATGCTTCTCACGGAGCCCGTGGTCATCTTTTTCACCTTATGGGTCAGCTTCGCGTGGGGAATTCTCTTCCTCTTCTTCTCGAGTGTAGGCCAGACGTTTAGTGCAAACTATGGCTGGAGCACATTCCAGACCGGTCTGGTTCAGCTGGCCATATCGGTCGGAGCTGTGATTGGCACAGTTTTCAACCCTATCCAAGATTGGATCTACCTCAGATCTGCGCGCCGAAATAGTGAGCGTCCGGGTAAAGCCATCCCAGAAGCCCGGTTGTATACTTCTATACCTGGTAGTCTGTTGTTCGCAGGTGGCCTCTTCTGGTACGGGTGGGGTAGTATCGGGGACGGCTCTGTCCCTTGGATCGTTCCAGCGCTGGGAATTGGCTGTACTGGCGTGGGAATCTATTCTATCTACATGGCGGTGGTCAACTATTTGACTGATGCATACGAGAAGTACGCTGCTTCAGCGTTGTCGGCTGCTTCATTGGGGCGCAATACCTTTGGTGCTTTCCTTCCTCTTGCGTCCTTCCAGCTTTTCAATAACCTGGGCTATGGCTGGGCTGGGTCGTTACTCGGCTTTGTTGGACTTGCCCTGTCGGTTGTGCCTGTCGTGCTGGTACTTAAGGGGCCGGCAATTCGTCGGCAAAGCCCCTTCATGCGTGAGGCTATGTTTGACCCTGGTGACGACAGTGAAAAAGACCGGGCCTCGGATAAGACGGATGTGTGATAGGCCACTTTTAAAGGGAATTGGTGGACACGCGTCACCACTGAATGCCTATACACGAAACGAGAAGATAGGGGGATAATGTCTATGAATTTCACTTGAGCTAGACGATCTGTTTAGGTTTATTCCGTTAGTTGGAAAGCATTGGTTGTACACTCAAGACGAAAGCAGAAAGTAGCCTAGCTAGGATAAGTCATGTGGTAAATATATATATCTATAGAGAATATCGAGCACCGTACTCTAGACCGTAGAGTGAGGCGTAGGTACATCCGGCTATGTTGCTGCCTCCAATAGCATTTGCTCTATTCGTCATGTGCTAAATTTGGGAACTGCAGCTCCTAAATGTAGTTGATATTCGTCGCAAGTAGAAATTTGCAAATTTACTCTCGATGTTCAAAACTTCAGCCCCACAAGCTTCGTTGCGCCAAGACAAAACCACCTGTGCATTGTGTTGTGATAATATTCTTCTCGCCGCGCAGTATCGGCTCAAGACATATGCCCCGGGTAGAGTTCCCCTCCAACGAGATACAAAATCTGCCAAATCAATGTCAAGCAAGGATTAAAGCATCAAGCGAAAAGATGGCCGCGGTTTAGGGAACCACCTCGCGCAGGTGAAGAGCTCCAGAGATCGGGGCCTGACGCTCCGCTTAATCAGCCATCAGCTTCGTCCACGGGCAATCCCGAGGTCCTGTAGGGCTATATTGGGAAGTACCGAAATTTGTTTCCAATTGATGAATGATGATTCGTCTAGCCTGGGCGATCTTCCCTAAATTGAATAAGCTCGTGGAGCACGATTGCCAACGACCAGCTTTCATCAAGTGTTGACGCGGCGCCAAGCAAGCTTGTGTCGAAGATGCTCCATCTCTGCTCCCACTCAGGTCTAAGCTATCGAATGAGCAGGAACGTGGGTAATCCTGCTCGTTGCGGATGGCGTATTTCTTCAGAACGACACGCGTTCGGAGACTACGAATTGAGGTATAAATCCAGTGCGTCGCGGCCACGAGGTCCAGTCGTTCAGAAATCAACCATACAATCCTACCTCATTCAAAATGGTCCAGCTTTCCAGGTTCCTTGCCGTTGCAGCTGCATGCCTGGCGGCTCCTGCCATCGCCCACCCAGGAGAAAAGCACGATCCTCACGTTGTGAAGCGTGAGATCCATGCCCGGGATGCCATGGCCGCCCACGCTAAGCGATCCCTTAATGCTTGCGAGAACACCTTCCACGCTCGCGAGTTGAACAAGCGCAGCATCGCCCGTCGCTCGCAAACAGTCAAGAACCTCCGTCAGAAGCGCGGGATCACTGCTAGTAAGCCAAGTTCCTAATCCCATCTCTCATGAGAGACACGCTGACATCTGTATATCAAGATCCCCAAAAATGGCGCCGTGACCTTGCTGCCCTCGAGAAGTGGGAGGCAATTGAGCACAACCGCACTGGGATCCTTGATTACAGCCCTGCGACCCCGGAGTCAGTCGTCTTCGGCGCTAACACTAGCGCAGTTCTGACGCCTACTGTCACTGACGGTCCCTACTATGTCTGGGGTGAGGTCGTGCGTCAGAATGTCAAGGAGGAGCTGTACTCGGATGGTGTGGATGTCTTCCTCGAGGTGCAGTACATTGATGTCAACACCTGCAAGCCCGTGCCTGGAGCGGTCGTCGATATCTGGCAAGCCAATGCCACCGGTGTGTACAGGTGAGTTTCTAATGCCTATCGACGTGTTTAAACAATGCATTGAAATTGAAGCACGCATCTAACCGCTCTTATCATGAATAGTGGGATCTCGGTGTCAGGCAACTACGCCGCAGACGGCTGGGACTCAACATACCTGCGCGGAATCCAGCAGACCGACCGCGACGGCGTCGCAACCTTCGATAGCATCTTCCCGGGGCACTACGACGGTCGAGCCACGCACACCCACCTGCTCACTCACCTGAACGCAACCCTCCTCCCTAACAAGACCATCCTGACCGACACCGGTAGCGTCGCCCACATCGGCCAGCTCTTCTGGAACGAGGTGCTCCGCAGTGCCGTCGAGGACACCTACCCCTACAACACCAACACGCAGGATATCACCTCCAACGCTGAGGATATGTGGAGTATCGTCCAGGCTGATAGCGCTTACGATCCCTTCCCGGAGTATATTTACCTCGGTGAGGGGCTGGACGATGGGTTGTTCGCTTGGATTCAGATTGGAATCAACACCACCGCCGATTACACCGATAACTCGTACTACAGTATTGCTGCTTTCCACGGTGCTGGTGGTGGCTACGCGCTTTCTGACAGCTCGGTTGGTGGCGGTGCAGGTAGTGGTGCTCCGTCCGGTGCCTCTGGTTCTCCTCCTAGTGGTACCGCTATGCCTAGTGCATCCGACTCGCCTAGTTCCTCTACTTGAGGGACTGGACGAACGAGGGAATGCCTGAACCCAGTCTTCCGGGGAACTTGACAGCTACGTTGCTGTGGAAGGTGAAGACCCGCCCCTGGAATTCCATCGGTGAACCTGTTTGGTAGGCACGCACGGTATGTAAAAGATCATCCCTTGCGTACAAACAAACAGATATTGTATATAGGCCACATTTCATACCGACGTTTTGCACATGTATCACCTTGAATTCCACCGTAAGGAAGACTACTGTAATCTCCAGGAGCGTAGCCAAACCCCGGCAAATAAGTTAGTGCTCGATGGAAGTGTACCGAACACGAACAGTCGACCCCCTGAGCGGGGTAAAAAATGGTTGTGGCGGGGATAGCGTGCAAACGGACGCGCACGGACGGGATGATTTTGGAGATCATGAAAATCATCGAAACGGGAGTACGGCAAGGCTTTCATGTCTTCGATTTGTTGAGCCAAGCCTCTGTACCAAACGCAGGTCATTGACATTTGTCAAAGGCACATTTTTTTTTCAAGACGGGGTGCGTGTATGGTACTCAGCTCGATGGGGCAGGTCATTCGGACACATTTAGGGTTCCGGTATTCCTACCCTGGAGCCTTCCGTTTGGATACATCAGATAATTTCCTCCAGAGTTCCGATATGATAGCCTGAGTTTCACTGTCATATGGCTGAAGAACCCCAAAATTCAGTATAAACTAAGGTTGTCCACTTTTCCACGGTTGGAAGGTGTCGGACCGTCCATGGAATTGGTGTGCCCCTCACACGTTGCGGTTTCCGGGATCAATAAGGTTGGACGTTCCACTGAAACGTCACAGCTCCATCAACAATGGTACGCGGAGGACCGATGTGGTTATATCACCGCCAGGTTCCAGGGTTATATTTGACTGTTACAAAACGGGAGCCGCCGGAGTCCTGAAGAGGAGGAAAGCCGGCAAGGCGAACCTTGGAAACAAAATGCACGTTATGAGCATCTCCCCATACTCTCCAATTCTTCGGTAGACCTTGGAATCCAACCCCCGTTTAACGGTTGGTGCGGACCAGTAGACACAAAAATTATCACCAATCGCAAAATATAGAAATTAGGTGTCTTTTGTGTAACTTTCCTATATAAATGACTTAGACGCCTATGGACACCATAGACATTAGGTAATGTACCTTTGTTGCCAAGGTTGTCCCTTGAAATAGTTTCGTTGAACTTTGGTGGACAATATTGAGCACACAAAGAAGGCATGTTTCCGCACACAATCTCTACGTATCATGAAATATGATGTATAAAATCAATCCTAGCATTAGATCCACTGAATAGACTCTTTCTTTAGCTAGTTCGAGGGTCGGGAAATGCGGTGCCTACAATATTGTAAGTATCGTTTGTATGGGCGATAGTGTGGGGCACACCGGGCATTGATGGCACGGTTAATAACTTAAATTTCAATGGAGCAAAAACACTCTAGGCTGCTCTAAGTGACCTAAGTGACCTAAGTGACCCCAAACTTGCCCGCCCTTTTGGGTCGTCTCGTGTGGCGATCCATTGAAAATGGACTCGATCCGAAGATCCAGTACTCATATGCCCCCACTAGCGAAATATTATTCACTGATTGCTGTCTCAAGGGGTGGCTCCGTTTTCCAGCACCGATGCCCACTTCGGGTAGGTTGAAAATAGAAAAGGTCGGGGTCTAGAGCGAAGTCAGGGTCTATTGAAGTCAGAATAGCCGGCCATATGGAGATCTTCAAATATATCCACGAGGAATTCCCCATTTCCTCTGATTCTTTTCGGCACTTGCTTTCTATAGGCGCGGATGGGATCCCCATGTCCTCTGTTCCTTCATTATGGGTAAAATTGAGGTGCTTGAGGGGGTCAACGATGACAGCCGAAGCAAGGCGATTTTGATCGTCACTTCCGTCTTCTTCGCTATTTCGCTATTGAGCGTTATGCTAAGATGCTTCGTTCGCACACAAGTCGTCCGTGCTTGGGGGTGGGATGATGGTACTATGGTCATAGCTATGGTGAGCCACCTGTACCTTCCACAAAATGAACAACAACTAATACCACCCCTCTTATAGGCCCTGAACACAGTCTTCGCCCTCTGCGGAATAGTTGGTTCTAAATATGGCCTCGGGAGGAAATTGGCTTATTTTACCCAACACCCAGATGACTTGAACCGCGCATTGCTGGTACGATTCCAGCCCTAGCATCTCGAACGCAAGCTCACATACTTCCAACAGTGCTGGTGGACAGGCCAACTCTTTTACGTATTGACCTGCGTCGTCGCTAAGATCTCGATCATTATCGCCCTCCTCCGCATCACTGTCTCCCGCGTCCACGCCTACATCCTCTACGCCGTTATAGCTCTCGCCACTGCCGTTGGCCTTGTCTTTTCCTTCTGCACCATATTCGAATGCTCCCCCGTCGACTATTTCTGGAACCGGGCGCAGCCTACCGCTCATGGATCGTGCATCGATAAAAATTCCCTGATCGGTATTGCGTACTTGTATAGTGTCGGCGCCGCTATTACCGACCTGACTATTGGATTGCTTCCTGTGGCGCTGATCTGGGACTTGCGAATGAATCGCCGCACTAAGGGTGCTATAGTCGTGATTTTGGGGATCGGTTGCATGTTCGTGATTTCGAGGCACTTGTCTTTAATCTATACGGTGGCAGACGCTAACATCCCTGCAGTGCGAGTGCTGCCGTTATTATTCGCATCCCCTACATCCCCACCTACAAGGAACCCGATTTCCTATGTACGCGCCACCCTTTCCTTTCCTCAATTTTCTCCAGACACTTCCGACTAACAACTAATAGACGCCACTTACCAACTCTCTATCTGGTCAAACGTCGAAGCGGGCATCGGCATTACAGCAGGCTGTCTAACAACCTTCCGACCTTTGGTCCGCTTCCTCCGCGACGGCTCCTCTGATGGGGTGAGCCGCACACGAAACACGTTTCCCTTGTCCAACAACCTCGCTGGCGCCTTCCACCGCTCCGGGCCGTCGCAGCAGATGTCCCGTGATGACGCGCGCCAGCTCTGGACTGGCAGAGGGAGCGACGAATACCACGGCGTTACGACTACTATTTCCACGGCTCGACAGAAAGAACTCAGTTCCAGCGAAGAGGACCTGGCTCCATGTGCTAATGACGATCCCGAGGCTCCTGGGTGGAAGGTTGAGAGGTCTGTTCGCGTGTCCGTGCACAATTCATAACTGGGCAGGTCTAGGCCCTATAATATTTTTAATCTGATAAATTTATGATAATTATTATTTCGGTACAATCGCCCTTTTCCTACCCATTAGCACGAAACATGCGGGTTTTTTTTATATGGCCCCATTGCGGGATCAACAGCCGATCAAGATGCGCCGCTTAAACGCGCCGTCTTTTTGGCTGTTCAGCCGAGACACCCAGAGAAGTGACCGGGGACTCTGCAATATATGGTTTACCCCATCATTAGACGGTCCAGACTTCTGGTGCGACTGCCAATGGTATGACATGTCTATCTATTCATAGGCACAATAGTCAATTGCTCCGGAATGTGAATTTGAATTTCTAGTGGGCCAATATTTGTGGCAAAAGCAAAGAAATAAAATGAGACTAACGATTTTGCCCTTTCTCCCAATTTTTTCTCTTACGCGAATTATACTAGTCTTGTTCTATATCGCCAATATTTGCTGATATTGCCGACAATCCTGCGATGTACCATTTTCATTGGTGTTTAGAACTGCTGCTAGTTTTAGCCAAACGGGGCAATTATATGTTCCGCAAGGCTCCATAAGGGACCGACAATTCTTTTACTATGTAGTCTTGGAAGTCCGCTGTTCATTAAATTCACTATATGCTAAAACATGCTAAGTCAATCACACATGGCATCATATATAACCGCCTGGGTTGTATCCCCATCGTTTATTGATTTCATTCATTGGGCTCCTGCGGCTTCTCGCGCACAAGACCCTCCTCCGACTCAGAAGGCCGAACTGCATAAGGATCGACAACAGTCGAAGCAAACTTGTTCGCCTTGATCTTGCTGGCAAACAGGATATCCAGCTCCGCGTACGTGCGGTTCTTGGCCTCGGGAAGACGGAAGAATGCCCAGACAAAGGCAGCGAGTGCTGTGCCACCCCAGAAGAATCCACTCTTGCCGGACGCGTTCCACGCTGTCGGGTTCATGAAGTATGGATGGAGCACCTGTGACACTACGTTGACGATCTGGTATGCGGTGCGTGCAAGACAGACTGTCAGCGGGCGCAGACGCACTGATGATGTCTCCGAGACAATGGCGTATGTGATCGGGCCGACGGTCAGAGAATAGATTAAGAGCCAGAAGAAGCAGAGTCCGGCTTGCGCCCACATAATTCCGTTCGCGGATGAAGACACGTCAAGGATACCGATCAGGAAGAGTGTTGTACAGAGGAGTCCCTGCCCCCAGACGTACAGCGTACGGCGGCCGAATCCGGTGATCAGCCACCAGGAGAAACAGGTTCCAACAAAGGCAATGCCAGTGCAACCAACGCCGAGCTGGAAGGAGTGATTTACGGACAGACCGGCCTGGGTGAAGAAATAGGCAGGTGAGTAGGCGAATGTACTACCGGACAGAATCTGGCCAACGAAGGCCATGCAGCAGATCTCGGTGCGGCGCAGGTCAACTCCCTTGAAGCAGTCATAGTAGGTGGTGCCGGCTTCGATCTCGGCTTCGAGCTTGATCGTGTGCACCATCATCGCGAGTTGGCCGTTGATCTGTTCTTCCGTCTTCGTGCCGCCCAGTCGGCGAATGCTGCGCTTCGCGTCTTCCAGGCGATCTTGCCGGACGAGCCACCAGGGGCTCTCTGGTGCGAGCCAACAAATAACCATCAAAGGAACGGGCCAAATCCACTGCAAGCCGAAGGGGATACGGTAGCCCCATTGGTCCTTTCGGTCGACGAGTCCGTAGAGGACACCAGAGGCGATCAGCTGGCCGATGGCCCAGCACAGGTTGACATAGATGGTGAGGTATCCGCGCAGCACGGTGGGGCACACTTCAGATGCGTAGGCCGGTCCGATGGTAGCGAACACTCCCCACGAGAGTCCGCAAAGGACCTGGCCTGTCACGAGTACTCCTGCGGAGTTGGCGAAGAATGTGACGAAGATTAAGGCATTCAGGAATATAAGGGCGACGAACATCACAATTCGATAACCGTACTTGGACGCACAGTATCCGTTCAAGATACCACCTGTGATCATGTCAGTCTTTGTCTTTGGGCGATAATCGACACGAGAACCCACCGAAGATACATCCAACCGTACTGGCCATGTTTAGGCCGGTCTGCCAAGGTGCAGATACCTGCCACCCGATATCACCGCCATAATCCTGTCCATACTTTTGATTAAACGAGGGGTAGGCGAAGAAGTTGGCCATCAGGATGGTATCGTATCCCTCCATGATAATGGACACGGAGATCAAAACAGACCACATAACAGCCTTGCGGTTCTCACGCAAGGCCTGCATCAGCGTCTGCGCGTGCTCATCGTCGGTGGCCTGTCTGGCCTCGTTGACGGCGCCATGGCCCAGGGTATCTTCGACATGGTTGACGGCACTCTTTTCCACCGCAAGCACAGTATCAACAGTCGATGCCATGGTGGGCAATTGGATGCTAAATTTCAGAAGAGGGTACTGTCATATATATACTTTAATTTTCGAGACATGCTAGCCGCTAGGATCGTCCTCATTTGCATTAGCGTGCATGTTTGAATTCGGGTGCATCTGGGGTTGCGGAGAAAGCGAGGGCAATTCTGCGCCGTATCTCCAGACAGCGATCAGTCAACCGGTTCAGGTTAATTCTTCACCTGGTATTCAGGCTAATTGCTGTGCAGGATAGAGTGTAGAGAGATATTGTGTGAAACTTGCACCTATCGGCGGGAAGAATATTGACATGTGGAAACTCTGGTATCCAATCACGCGGTCAGTGGTGCTGTCTGGGGAAGCAAGGTTGGGGGGAAATACGAGTGGCGATATGATTGGACCCTTCTGGTTAGCGCTAACGCCCCCCGGAATGGAGGAAATGAAGCTATTCCCTTCCTGTAACGGGCACGCAGACCGAACCTGCATTTCGGGAGACGCCCAGAACAAAATCAGAAACCCTGTCAAGACCTTCCCCCTCTATTGGAGCAATAATATGTCAGGTGTCTTGTCTGGGCCCATCGCACGGGTAATATGGAGACCCCCCCGGATTCCCGAGATCCGATGGAGGAACGGTCTCTTCTTTATTCTGGTGAATATGGGGTTTTCCGTTACTTTGGGCAGGGATCTGTTCAGTCAGCTTCGAACTTGTAGCCTAGATCTCGTCCGATCGTCACGTGGCTATACACGCTTGTCGCTTCTTTATAACAGGCGAATGGAATCTGCAATCCTCTCAATCTGGTCTCTCATAAGGAGTATATACTGGATTTTCGGCCAATAATAACCAGCTTGGTGATTTAACTAGCTGGGCTTCACAAGTAATACCCGTATAGATGAACACATAGTGAGAAACATCTTTGGGCCCCTCCGTCCGGGTTTCTGACAAGGCGTGTAATGGCCTGCATCTGATAAGTGTCTCCAAAGAGATGATAATTGATTGGTGAACGATGGACAGTAAATGGATCGTAATCCCAGGCAGGTTTGGCTGATGGATGATGCCGCTGCCTCAGGCTCCCAGGGGGAAGGCACGATGGGCAATGACCTCATTTGCCCCAACCTCTACCTAAGCTATGCCTTCACCCTTCAACTGACCATGTATATATCGTGATATTCGAGACACATGGAATGCTACAAAGCTACGTCGCATATGGCGTGATTCCCCTTACCGGTTACTAACACCTATTTCAGGCTCAAATGATATACATGGGCGTCTATATGAAGGTATACCATTTGGTCAATACACAATAAGGTCAGTCACCAATCTTCGTTTTGTTAGATGATGTATTAACATTCTATCGCTTTTTACCAGTGCCAAATCCAGGTGTTCTACAGAGTCATATTAACGCTCACAGATGGAAGAGCGCCGCAAGAATTGATCTGGGGCTACCTTTCTCTCTAAAGCGGCTGGACCACCAGTGGTGACTGGAGCCCAAACCTACCAGCATGATAAATTCTTGCTGCATTGGGGCAGAAGGAAGTTGCTGAATGTATGCTAGCGTTTTTGAATAACGGATACAGCTGATTCAGATGACAATGACAAGAAAAAGAACCATGTGATTTTGAAGCTGCTTTTCAAAAACACGATCACCGATAGCACGTTATATGCACCCTCTAGAACAGCAATCGTCAATGAAGGGCTCTCGTGTCCATGAGACGCTCTTGGCCTTGACGAAATCCAGCGCAGAATACGACTCTCACGACCCGATCATGGTGCGCTATGGGGAACAAATTGTGGTTGGGAACGAGGTTCGGCTTTTATTGACCAAGAGAATCAACTGAATACAAATGTATTTAAGAGCACACAATCTCTAAACCGTGGGGTCAGTGGTCGAAACAAGGGAAGACCGCATTTGACAAAGTGGAAACTCGTTGGATCTTTCCCGTTCCTTTTACACCATCAAGAAGGCTTCCCTCGGTATTGGCTTTGTGGTATAGGATGGGAGGATGCTCCAGGAAAAGCGGCGTACGATACTATAAAAATCTCCCTTCACTCCGAGTTTTTTCTCCTCACTGTTTCCTATGCTACCAATGCAATGCTCGTTATATGCAGCCTTTGCAATCATGGCTCCATTTCCATTATTTCCCACCGAACTCGTCAGTCGGATTTCAAACAACCGTCGTGGGCGTGGATCACCTGAAAATCATTATTCCTTCAAGCCAGGGGGGTCTTCCAAGCCAACTCTTAACTCAGAACCTGGTCTCATCAAATTCTACTACATCGCAACCTGAAATCACAAAGATACGATCAAATGTCGCCCTTATTCATCACCCTTCGATTTGCGGTAGAACTATCGAGGGATAGTAAAAGGAGAAGAAGACGCACCTAAACTTCCTCTTCGCCGGCAGAACTCAGATTCGGCTTATCACATCCTTCGCATCGCCGCCCAAACCCAGCGTTTAGCATACGTACGTCTCTCTTGACACTAAGGCAAGGATTGGGTAGTGCTCTAGGAGCCTCGCCTATTGAACACCAGAGGCGAATTAGCCTTTTCCTTACTCCGCAGTAGCATCGCGTGTACTGGGGGATATGGCCCGAAGATTCAGGTACGTCCTCAGTTTCACTCAGTGACCAAAAGCAGAAGGCGGCAAAGGGTCAGTACTAACCTTGGAAGAGGAACCAGATATTGTAATGACGGTATGTCTATAAATATCAGAGACGTCGCACTTTATCATTTCTTATTGTCCTACAAATTCCTACTCCTTTAGCCCTTCTCATATATCGATTTATGCCATGACAATGTGCAGTGTTGAGGGACATTTGCGAGGCTAGTGTATAAGGTGGACATAGCAGCACCACCAATATGCATTCACAGGGGTATAATAACAGGAAACGCAACACCCAGACCCATATAATAGCTCAAAGAAACAACCAAACTCAGCTCCCATCAATCCGAATCAATGTCTTGAACTCATTATCCCGAATACTGGTCTCTGGAATCATCAATCGTGGAACCCAATACGGCTTCATATCCGTAATGCTCACGTCCCTCCCAGCTGAATGCACACTCCAATTCGTCTGATTGTTTGATCCGAGGAACAGGCCATCAACGAGTTCACCGTTATGATAGTGTCTGTACGCCTGTACAGGCTCGGCATCGGGTTTGCCCCAGACGAGTCGCCCCGTGCTAGGGTGATGGTCTATCCCAAGGGCGTGCCAGTTCAGGGCGCCCTCACCGGGACCGGAAAGCACGTATCCTTCGATTGTGTTTAGGAGGCCGTTGCAGCGGAGCTGGGTTTTGATGTTGTTGTTGTCGCTTACGATCGTGATCTAAATCTCTGTTAATCATCTTCGTCCTTTTTATTGGTGTATTGGGCTTTGTCCATAGACGGGAACTTACAAATCCATGCTCGATGGTGTTGGGTGTGTCTTCTCGTTGTCGTGTGATGTCATTACCAGACTCAAAGCCCTCGATGCTGCATAGCCCTCCAGTCGCAGTTTCATTGTAGCAACTGTCCACCTTGATTGTCCAGGGCCCGGCCATCTTTGTGTCATTGTCGTATGATGGCAGCCGGGAGCAGTCTGTGACGGGCTCGATGAAGAGGTCTCGCTTCCATGGTCGTGCACTGGCGAGTAGAAATAAAGACGCGAACACAGCACTAGTAAGCATGATGAAGACTGTTGTGGAGGAGAGTACGAAAGGACGTTCAGTTTTTGCCATATCGTTGCACAGAAAATCTGTGAATCTTTATATTTTTGCCTTTGGGGCCCAGTTCCATGTTTCATAAATTCCCTCTAAGCGTCATTCCAGTAAATTCTACGGAGTATTCAAATAAGGGTCCTAGGGTTTTCTGTTTCTAGGCTCCAACAAATAAAGCCACCACGCTTCTTTGTTTAAGTCCGGGGCCAAAGAGGATTTTGCCCTTTATTATTGGTGGAGAGCTCGGCCTCAAAGGCTTCCTGTTTCTAACGGGGCTGTTTAATTGGAGACACATGTATCCACACTACTGTAAAAGGCTTGAGTCAAACTCTGAAATACAATAGCCTGCCGTGTGTCTTGGATCGATTTTATCGATTTTGTCTATTTTAGATGAAATTGTCTCATGACACACTTCCAAGGTTAAAATAGTTAAAATACCCTTGGGGTGTTCACCAATCATACCTTGGTTCGCTGAAGGCTTGGTGAAAACCTTCTTTTCGAGGGTCTCACTTTTGCCTCCCACGTGTATTCGTTTATATTCATAATCTGTCTCACAAATATCGCCCGATATTTTAATTATCCACATAGTACTCCGTATTGATCTAGTATGTACCGAATTTTAGGCCGATGCGAATTTCCCGATCGGGGTGGCGCCACTTTCTGGGGGCGAAACCAGAATACGAAACCATTGGGTAATCAAATACTTCAATTTTTGTTGGACTTGTATAAGAGTTTCGATACGATGGGCTCTTTCTCAAACTTCCGCATCGAGGTCTGCTAACGATCCTCACGCCCCAAAGGCTTCTGCCCAACTTTCTCTACGTTCCTTCTCTTATCCTCTGTGGACATGCTAGGATCATTCTTGATTTGTTCCTCGGATGACGCTGGTTCTTCTCCTTCGTGAGTTTCGCTGGCGACTTCCCTCTGGTGCGAAGGGGAAACCGGGGACTGAGTAGAGCGCGTATCGGCGATGTCGGGACGCCGACCTTTCAAGCCTCGAGATTTGTTGATGGCTTGAGATTCCGGCGAGCTGGAAGCCGGGTCGCTCACTTGGGATGATTGCGAGGTGGAGCTGGCATAGAATCTCGATAACGGGGTGTTACCTAGACATGCTGTTAGCCAAGCTCTTTTTCAAGAGCAAATAATCTTACACAACGTGGTTCGAAGTGTACTGCGCGGGATTGTCCGCACAAGAGGGCTTGCGTTGATGGCCATATTGATGATATAACTTCAACGACTCACGGAGGCTATTTAGATAGTGAAGCTTTTGGCGGGCAGAGCGATGATTCTGCTATCTTCCAACTCTCGTTAATACATCCAGTAGTCACTATATATTCAGTATCGACCAATATAGTGATGTCAATACGAATATGATGTAAGAACTTTCTCATTCCCACAATCCAGTTCAAACGCCCCCTTAAGAACAAAGCAGTGGCCCAATATTTATTCGCAATCGTGGAGAAATACGTCGAAAAATGGATGGCTTTATATCATTATCACTGTCAATAAAGGGCTGTTTTAGATTTATGCCATGGAAGGATTAACACGCAGAAAACCAGGGCTTAGCCAACCAACTAGTGGGGAAGGTGGAAGCCACTTCATGATGGCGAGCAAGCGCTTTTTGCAAAAGGGGGGGGTTCAAGATAGACTCCTAAGTATGGATGCTATTCGTAGAGTTTGCATGCGAGTTTTAATATAAAATAGCCTAGGTCAATGAGAAGCAATGGTACCAAATTCACAATCAAGCCACTAACGGTTTACCCTACTTTTGTAGTGTTCATTTAATCAAATGAGAAAGCGGAAAACTCATATGTCCAGTATATTCTTTACGGTATTCCAGCCGGGTAAGGTGTCCGGACTCCCAGGCTTCGCTCCATAAAACTATGATCTTCATTTGCACAAGTTGGCCCCCCGCCGCTTGTAGTTATGCGTTCGGCATTATTGGTTACCAAATTAACACGTTGCAAGTACCTGCTCTCGGCGCGTCCCTTCTGGTCTTCCAGTCCCAGGAAATTGCCAATTGTACTGGCAGGGTTCCGAGCCTCACAATCAAGTCATACATAAGCTGCACGATCTAAGACTCTTCGAAAGTAATGGTAGACACAGTCACGTACAGCAATATGTCCCAATCCCGCATCTGCTGTCTCAGTCGTTCCGCCCTTGACGAACCCGGGATCCCCCAGCCGGATCCTCCACCGACGTTATTTGCCGGCGTGGGTTGAGCGCTAGCACCGCCAGAGGGAGTAGCGGTGAATGGATGATTAAACCTCCTGGCAGTGCCATCTGCCATTTTGATAGAGTGAGGTTTGAGCTACTATATGATCTGATAAGTTAGTGGCAGTGCTAAGGGGACATGTCGATACTATGATCAAGGCGAGCAAGGGTTTCTAGATGCAGAAAGGCAACAGGCAGTGCTGATATAGAGCTATCTCGGCAAGGTTGGAACTGAAATCGGCCAGGATATAGGAGACCGCCGTTAGCTCCGCCGGCTGTGATACAATGATGTGGGGAAAGAAGGGGGGAAGCCACCAAGAGTTTATTCCGTAAAGGGGAAGAGAAAAAAAAATGAGGCTGAGGTGCCACAAAAAAAAGGAGAAAATCGAAATAGCAATCTCGCTAGGCTAGTCATCTTAGCACGGTCGCATTAATCAGGTGGAAGCCTAATCCGGCCCTAGAGTCAGATGCACTTGCATTGATAGAGTCGCCATTATAGAGGTGCACTCACACTCATCCAGATGAATAGCGATCTTCGGTTCTTTCCACCTCGCCTAAGACCTTGTTGGGCTGCGAAGCGGAAAGGCGGGGACTGGTGCCGGAACACGGGGCCCAGGTCTAGTACAGCAGATGTAAGACCCCGAAAAGGGTCTCAAGGGGAGGCTCATAGGAGTCAGGATCCTTCGTATATGCAGTCTAATATGTTGTAATCTACTCGCGGGAAAGAAGGCCTTCAGCCTCCTGAGCATCCTCGGCAGGGCCATGTGACTTGCCAAGGGTTTCAGCCATAGCCAAACCTTCACGCCGGCCCTTGTCTGCATTAACCATCCACACGAGGGGAATTGGGAGAAGGATCAAAATCGCCATGAAGAAAAATCCACTTCGGATTTGGCCGGTCGCATCAACAAGAATACCCACAATAGCCGGTCCAATGAATGAGCTCCCCTTGTCCGTAGCAGCATAAAGAGCGTAGAACGCAGCCTCACTACCTGGGGGAATTAGAAGCCCGAAGAATGACCGGCAATATGAGGCTAGTCCACCCGACACTACTCCGTGCACGATCGCTAGCGGGAATATCTCCCACGGCTGTTGTAACCCGAACACACCCCAGTTTTTAATGAAAGGGATGTAAGCAAGCAACCCGTAGAGTGGGATCATCTCAAACAGGCCAATGCACAGGATGATCGTGTGGTTAGGCTGCAAGCCGAAGTACCGAGATACGTGAGGCCAAAGGAAGGCACCGGTCATCCCGGACAACGTGGCGGTGATCGAGAGCAATCCGATCAGCGGCGTGCTCAGTTTCAGTTCCGTGCGTGCGAAGAGGATCGCCGTTCCGGACACAGTGGCCATCGCGTCGGAGAGTAGGAACCATGCTACCAGGAAGATGAGGACTTCGCGCAGTTTGCTGACTACTTTGACGGTCTCCCACAAAGATTTCCAGGCAAACCCGACCAGTCGCAGCCAGGCTCGCCATCTGGCTGTCCCTTTGGTGGAGACTGTATCCAATCGAGGCCCCGGCCGTGTCTTGAGCAAATTACGAGTCACCAAGGTGAATGCGCCCCACCAGATGCCGACCAAGAGCAATACGAAGCGCATGGGAAGAGTGGCAGATACTTTTGCAAGTGAGGTCTTGGATAATGTGAGCAGCATGATAATGCTGATGATTTGCACGAATACTGCTGCACAATATCCAAGACCGATGCCTCTGGAGGAGATTTTGGTCGACAGCTGTAGTTCCGGTGAGGACGAGGGCGGGCCCTTAGGTCCCAATCCACCTTCTAGAGAGCTCTGTGGCTGCCCCGATGGCTGTAGCCCATCCAAACTATCATTGTCGGCATCATCGTCACCCGAAGCATTTCCTTCCGAGTTGCCTCCAACTCCGTCAAAGCTCGACATTTCCGCACCGTCGTCCCCCTTCCCATATTGCACAGATGCGTCATTGGCGACAAGCACAGGCAGGTAAGAGTTCAATACCACGAATGATGAACCGAGACAGGTCACGCCGATGACGACCAATATCGATCCAATGATGAAGAGGGGCGGTGCAATGAATACAAACGACATGCTCGCGAGCGCACCGGTGAATCCGAATACCATAAGCAACGTCTTGCGGTTGTTCTCTAAACATCCAATCGGACAAAGCTGACGTTAATTTCTGTCCTTTCTTTTCGCGTTATCCGTTCTCAGTCTGGCGTTCTGCAACCATACCGTAATCGGCCAGCGCGCTAAACGATATGAGTGTCAGCGCCTGGATGAGTACTGCCAGCGAGAAGGTGTACATGGCGAAACTGGCGGTGTTGATCTCGAGGCCGAAGACCGGGACCACACATTGGCCATTTTCAGCACTACTTGTGCTATTCCCTGCGGATGGTCCGACACAAGGAAGGCGGCTCGTTTGTAGGGTGCCTCGCTCTCGAGCTAATTGTTCCAAGGTGAGGGGTAGGAAAGAGCCTGGTACGATAAGTAATTTGATTTCTTTTTTCTTGGAGATATCGCGTTACGGACCTACACCACACACCGCGAACACTTCAGCCGCAATCCCGTACGAGTACCATCCTAGGATCTCCCTGCGGCTCGTTGGGGTGGTATCTTCACTGGCATACCGTGGTGGTCGCTGCTGTGCGCCTTCGTCTAGCGACGGGGACTGGAAGGCAGCAGATATATAGGATAGCATGGGGAAGGGGATTGTTCAAATTCTCCCAAGGATTCCAGAAATCACGAACCCAGGTACACGCGGATGTGGGCGGAAGCCAACAATAAACATTGCCGGTGATGTCATAGGATCGGCGGCGTCTGTACCCCTTTGGGAATATCTTTACTTTCTACATCCACTGCCCTATAAACATACACAGATGAAGACCTGGGTGGAGCGGTCCAGCCAAAGCAAAATTTTGGGCCATCCGTGAGGCTTCTTACATCTGTCCTTTCATGATATATTTCTAACCTATCTCCAATTCGAGATTGAAACCGATACATGATATGCTCCCTGCCTAGGTGGTTCCAAGTTTGAGGCGAGATCTTACTAATCGCGGCGACGTCAACCTGCAGTCACACTTAGTTAACTACAAGAGTGTCCGATATATTTCGCGATTGATTCAACCTGTCACCCTTCAGCATGCCTGATTCTGTTTTCCTTCTTGGTCCTGGTTTTATAGGAGGGGAGATCATAGACCTCCTTCTTGTATCAAACTATAAAGTAACAACACTTGTCCGTCGCGAATCGGCCGTTGCAGATTATGCCAATTTAGGCGTTGAAACAGTAGTTGGTAATTTGGACGACGCATCAGTGATTAAGGACCAGGTTGCCGTTAGTGACATCGTCCTCCACACCGCAACTGCAGATCACATGCCATCTGTCCAAGCAATCATCGATGGCATCAGAGAACGAGCGGTGCAAGGACTAAAAACAATCTACATCCACAATAGCGGAGCGACTTTGCTCTCCGACACCGCCGAAGGAGAGTATAAGAGCCATACCATATTCGACGATGAGAAACCTGAGGAGATCAATGCCCTTCCTGATTCTGCGTCACATCGCCGAATTGACCTAGCAATCATCCGGGCAGGCCAGGAACTTGCCTCCCACGCTAAGATGGCTATCATGATTCCGCCCCTTATCTACGGGGTGACAACTCGGGAGAACCGCCTATCAATCCAGTTGCCGACTCTCGTCCGGTACTCTATCAAACATGGCTATGCTGGTCAGATCGGCAAGGGCCTCGCAGTTTGGAATCAGATTCATGTCAAAGATCTTGCAAGGGCATATATGGTTCTCCTTCATTGGATGGAGCGTGCGCCTGTCACTGAGATTGCGCATAATCCGTACTTCTTTTGTGAAAACGGCCAAGAGTTGTCTTGGGGTGAATGCTCTGCTGAGATTGGCCGCATACTGAAGAGCATAGGGCTTATTATTGGTGAAGCCACGCCGCGACCTATTCCGAAGGAAAACTGGGGTGATTTGTTCGGGGATTACTCTGGGATGGTGGTCGGATCCAATGCACGACATAGAGCCACTCGACTGCGGAAGTTGGGGTGGGCACCCTTGGAGAAAGACACCTTTGCCTCCTTGGCTGAAGACGAGATTCCAATCATCGCGAAGGAAACCGGGGAGTTCACAGGGTATGCGAGCGTCGTTGCGTCGTGACTGGGAGCACTAAAGCGTTTTGCTTCTGAAATAAAGTCTCACCTGATATAAAACCTCGGTTTTGTTCGGGTATTTTGAACTAGCACAGGACTTCCAAAAATTAAGATATGACTATCTCGTGATACACGGGTTGGAAGAAAGGAATGTACATACGTACGTACAAGCTTTGACGAGGAACACCTGTTCGTCCAGGAAATTGATATCAGGCGTTGAAACCCGAAGCTTAAATGCTTAAATGCATATCCACATGGTGCGTATTGAATCATGAACATGAGAACTTAACAGAAAAAGACGAGAGATGAGTCGCACTTGCCGATTCCGGGCCGGTACAGGGCAGCTTCCCAATTGGGCCGCCCCGACCCTTCCTCGACAGTCAACATCGCGACTTTTGTTCTTCTTTCACCTTCACACAAAAGGAATTCACATCTAGTTCCATCAAATTTATGTGCCATGGCGATTCTGCATTATCTCGAATTCATCATTGGCCGGCTGCTGTACCCAATCCGTGGTCATGATTCGGGCCAGATCATTCATTGCCCGGCCTTCAAAGACCTTCCCGAACCTAACATGACCCTCGACTCACCCGAAGCTGGCCCCTCGGGCTCCAAGCTACCTCTCCACTGTACCTGCAAGGCCGTTGATAGCAAGGGCTGTCTTCCTGAGCTGCGCTGGACCGCCCCAGACTGTCGCGAGGAAGTCAAGGAGTATGTGCTTCTGTGTGAAGACCTCGATCCACCGATCCCATTCTTGGTCTTCCACCACGGCCTCCTCTGGGCCATCCCCCCTTCGACTACCAAGGCTGAAGCGGCAAATGTCCACCCGGATGAACACGCTAAGATCTCCCGCCTGACTGTTGCTGGTTGGCGATTTGTGCCCAATGTGCTCGGATTGCCATATGTCGGCGCTGGTGCACCCCTCGGCCACGGAAAACATCGCTATGTTTTCACCATTATCGCCCTCAATGAATCGCTGAAGTTCAAAAATCCTGAGAAGGCGGACAAGAAGGATATCAAGCGCGCTATGACGGGCAAGGTCATTGGCTGGGCGCAGTGGACTGGCACCTTTGAAAAGCCCTGGCCCAACTAGGTTATCATCACCACAACCTATTTTACACGAGCACAAGCAGCGTGGGACGGACACGAGGGGCGGATTTGAACAATGGGTCCAAGGGACTTCGGCAGCGGGGGTGTATTTTTGTGCCCTTACATTCACCAGCATCCTTCATGTAAGTATTCTTATGGAACTTAAGTCCTAATGGAACTATATTCCGTGGCGTCGTATTATTCAATTATGTTGTACATTTTCCAACTAATTTGTGCAATTGTCACCAGTAGTCGCCCAAGGTACCCAGGCTAAAACCTCGCATCATATCTCACGTCAGAGCGGAGTTGACAATTTTCTCCTGATCTCGGGTTGAAAATAGTTTTCGGCCAGTGGAAGACTGCATATGGCTTCATATCAACACCAGGTCTGCTGTAGAATGTCCAACGGGGCTTCGAGACCACTCTCTAATGGGCCTGCAAGTTCTGTCATTCTACGATCTACAAAACTACCAAACCGTCCGGCCTTATCTTCGGGCTTTGTTCGATGTCTGCGGAAGTTTATTGCTAGAGCGTCGGCGGCATTTGCTTCCTTCGACCGATGTCATCTTCGGGTGAAAACAGTCAAGATACATTCTCATCCCAGCTTATCATCGAGGCAATGATTTCATGTTTGGGTCCGGAAACCCACCGAAAGCTTAAGCTTTCCTATCAAGCGCTTCTTTTCGGCATATTCCAGCGATGAGACATCCGCGTTGAGCGTGATAAGATTCAGGGATTTGGCAACAACAATGGTTCAACTGCCAGTACTTTACCTGGCTGTAGACAAGAAGCGAAATAAAAATAGGCGCGGCCAGAAATCATTCGTTCGACATGATATTCACATCTGTGATACCTGTTTGCGTCGTTCCTTTTGAGAACGTCCCACTCGAAAAGTGCCCTAAAATGGTCAGTCGTGAAAAATCCCTGTTTATTTAAAATTTTCTGTGAGACCCAGCTGACCCGAAGGCCTTTTTCAGTGCAACTCAACCCATTTCGGGGAGTTGGTGCTGTCTATTCCGACTCGTCATTTGTCAGACGCATTCAAGATGACCCAATAATTTACCGGAGAGTTCGATGTCCGTGGTATCCACCAGCTCGGTGATTTATCTGCTTTCCTCAATGGTTTTGCCTACCCACACACCCTCTTGGTCGTTGATATAATTCATCATCTCCAAAGCGATAGCAGTAATTTCCGACGTCTGCTTACAAAGGTCCAGTTTCGTCGGCGATTTCCAGCATTGAACACTTCTCAACAGGGAAAGCTCAAGTGTCTTACAACAACGGTCAGGACAGCTTCGGCGGAAGTATCTAAAGCTTCAACAGTCGTCTAACCCTCACTACTACTGATGTGAGTATTGAAAATTTGGAAAATCTCACGAGCTCCCAGGTTCCATTCCGCGTCTACTATGTACACACATTCAACCAGCGATCACTCGAAGATTCGAACGATCGACTGTAGCCGACGATCTGTCTCGTCCGCCATTACCAGGTGCCATTTGGAAGGCGAAGCACACTGGAGATCTTGGTGGATGAAACGGACGATAATTGACAAATGAGATAGGCAACGGCGCATCTGGCTGATGTCCTCCTCTCCCCACACGGAATAAACCCCCCCTTGCACCGAGGTAGTGGCCAATTTGGCCCTCACCTTCAACGCCCGTGCTGCTTTCTCAATCGCCATGACTAATAATGTGAGAACGTTAGCCCTGGCGTCTGAGGCAAAGCATACTTGACATTGAAGGATGACCACTCCCTGTTGCTGCACCCTTTCTAGGTGGAGCAATACAGCGTTTGGCCCATTTGCCTCCTCCGATCGCACAACTTCACTGAATGCTTGGGCATAGCAATTGCAGCGAAGGGAAGAGACTTCTTCCGGCAGTGCCTCAAGGTCAATCTCTCCTGGCAAAAGAGATTGACTGGAATCAGTTTCAACGGTTTCTGGCCAGATTTCATTGGAGGGTAATTCCATGATTCTAGCAGGATCGTCTACTGTTCCGGAGACCTGAATTGCGTTCGGTGCGAGGCTAAAGGGATAGATTGTACCACCTCGAAAGAGTGACCCGGGCTGGGTGCCGGGCGCAGCGGTGTGCAGGAATCCTCCAATTGGGGGTTCATCGACCATCAAACCGATCTGGGGAGAATAACACTGTGTGAAATAGTTAACACGCGGCTCAGGAAATCGGGGGCCCCCAAAACTTTCGAATCCGTCAGCTCGGTCAAACGAGCTGTCCAGGCTTGTATCGGTGAATCCTGGATCGAGGTGGTTATTGGCCTCGTTTGTGCTGACGAACTCCTGGTCCTGGATCCCATCTCCATCTGTGTCGTTTTCTGCGTATCCCAACGGTTATCTACCGACAGCTATATATCCCATGGATGGAGTCCGTGCTCACCTGGAACGTCCGAGAACAACTCTGTGAAACTCGGCCACTGAAAGTCTTCCTCCGGTGGTGTGACTTCAGTGCCGGCGCTGGAGTCGCTCCTGTGCGACTCTTCCCTTGTAACAGGACCCGAGCCGGATGCTGTAGTTGGACTCGGGATCCGACTCGGGACCCTGCGCCCCCTCTGCGCCCTTACTGCCGGGGCTGGCCTCGGTGCCCTCCCCGCAGTTCGTCGAGTCGGACGGTCAACTACCTCCGCCTCCCCCCTGCGCGTCTTTACGCCTGCCCCTGCTGATGCCGGCCGGGTTGTCTTCCTCTTCGCCGGCCGGCCCAGCGGTTGCGAGATCGAATAGACACACTCATACCCGTGACTCTCACACCTCTCGCACGGGTAAGTGTGGCTACATCGTATCTTCGCTTGTTGGCAGGCGTTACAGGTTGTGCGCATCTTTTGGTTGGGAAGTAGTTGGCCGTTAGACTGGGGAGATCTCTTGGTAGAGATCTCATCCATAGGTATATAGGTATGGTTCGAAATGATGTTGGCGGTGTTGTCCTCCCCAACTCAATGATGAACGAGTATGGTTCTCCTTGGCCTTGGGTCAATTTGCGGTATTTATATCTCATTTCATGATTAGTTTCCCCCACCTAGTTGGTCATCTCTACTGTTTAACAATACAGGACCACGTTTGATTGCACTCCTGCATTCATCACGAAAGGCGACCCTGTCTACCCACACCACGATGAGCTCCCCTGACAGCAATTGCCGAAACCACGAAAAGTTACATGGATCCTGAACTTTACTAATGACAAATAGTTTTGTCCTACCCTCCTTGGGACCTGCGTGCAAGTACCGTACTTGTACTCTGTGGGGTCTTGACTGTGCAAGGATCACCAGCCTTATCTCACCATCCATTATTGAACAATATAAGAGGTTTAGTATACTTGAGGATGGGTTTGGATGCTAATTGATCTCAGTAACGCCGTCGTATGGTATTTACATTTCATGTAGCTCATATGCTTCCATACGCTAGTCTCTATTCAACCCGTTGTTGCACACAAAAACAGATGTTTCCTTTCTCGAGCAACGTCCTATTCTAGTTGATGACGCGGCGAACACAATCAGATAAAAATGCAAGGCCATAATTATCCAACAGACATGAGGACGGGACTACAATATCAGCCCGATGCCCGAGAAGATCCCCCATACCAGCGACATCCATCAAATCCGAGTCTGACCACAATTCATTCCATGGCACTCTCAGCCGGAGTAAATGTTCGCCAGGTAGGACAGTTGCCTGACGATGCTTATCCAGAGACAACAATTGGTGCGCCATTTCCACCAGAAGAAAGAGCTATTGGTTGTTTCTAATATCATTGTCTCCTTAGATCAAATGTCGCCCTAGAACCCATGTTCCGATATACCATACAAATGGCGCTGCCGTTTCTGCACTGGATTTAGGACAGTCTAATGTTCATCCCATGTCCTCATAATAATCCTACTGGCAATTCCCATCCAATGCCACCAGCGCTCATCAGGCAGCAGTGTGAAGGCTCGGGACGACTAGGATGGTTTAATCCTCGGTTGAAGCTTGGCAGGATGATCGCGAGAGGGGAAGGCTTCAATGAATGGATAATTACATGAACTTTTATTGACAGCTTGTCAGGACTGCGGTGCATATTGTATCTACTGTCTCCAACTTCTTCAAGCCGCGGGCAATTTCACAATCCCGGTGTTTAAAGTATTCCATAGGCAATATAGCTTCTTTCCAACATCCACTTCAATTGGCTTCACTCCCTAGACTCCACATGCTGTAGCACCGGGGTATATAATATTAACTTAAAGGCAATCTAAGAGCCAAGTGCCAGAAAAGCTAAGGTAAAGTTACGGCTATTACACTGCAAAGTTACCTTCCTTCGTCTGACTGCCATGGAAACGTGCTGTTGCTTAATTGCATAAAAGTGCTTCTATTGGGCAGCCCCCTCGAACTATGTAACACTAAGATTTGCATTGGATTGCTCCCAAGGTTGGAGGGTGGACCACATGTCATCCCCTTTTCATGGGGATCACTCCAATACCGCATGAAGGAAATGATATTCCTCAACGGCGCAAGAGAACATGCACAAAGGGTGATGGATACCAGATTTCCAAATCTGCTTCAAAAGAACCCAATACAAGTCATCAAGACATGGACATAGTCTTCCACATCTTTGGAAATTTCAGTCCTGGGTTTGGACACAACATTTTGGACCACCTCAATTAAATATATCACCCGAAGGGACCAAAAATAGCGCATGACATAAAATATCAATCATATTTATTCTATCTCCCTAAAACCTACTACCTAAAATAAACCAACCACAGCGTTTCCCCCACGCAGTCCCTTAGCTCATGACACCACCGGCGGTCCTCGTGGGACAATCCACGGAACGGAACGAGGTCGTTGTCGCACCCTGAGGCATCGTGCTTGTCTCGCCTTCGGTAGGTTCATGTCTACCAATGAAATAGTTCATGGCAACCGGATGGTCCAAGCCTGCTGCCTGCAAAAACTTCCTGATGTCAAATCCGGCACGGGCGCTAACAGTCTCCGGGAACACATGTGAGAAGCATTCAGGGAATTGATAGGCTGGGGGCTGCGCGAAAAGAAGATAGACATAACGGTGGTGAGTATTTGGTGGTGCACGAGGAGCTATGTACGAGGCTATCGGGTCATGCTTGTCTCCGTGGCCCTTGCCGGGAACGAGTGTGGAAGGAGGGGATGGCTTTGTGCAATCTACCATGAGATTTGCGTGGTACCAGTGTAGAATGACTGATTGGATACGGGTTCCTGGTAGGATGGCGTCGAGGTCGATGAAGAGAATAATGTATTTCTTATTACACCCCAGGTTCATGGTACTGATCTCTGGGGTCGTGCTGGTCTCTGGGCTGATGTTAAAGTGTTCGATTTAATGGCTTTGCCAGTCACATACCTCGGATGTCCAATTCCATACCAGGAGTGATCCATTGGCCTCCAGGATACCGTATTTGCAGTTGCTGATTTGGAGTCCAGGGGAAGGGGAAGATCTGGACTATTTCTGTTAGAACACCAAATAGGAGTGGAACGAGTGAGAGCATATTGTCATATTGTGGTCAACTGAGAGGAGCGGAATTCAACTACTGTATATCAATCCAAATCATATATATTCCAAGATCAATTCCATTCGGCTTCGTGATTCATTTATAGAAATGCGTTCGCTACGTCGTATTATGGTCTCTCGTGTACAGTTCGCAGTTGTGCAGCAGTCTCGGCCTGTTTCTTGCGCCATTCCCAACCCTGAGCGTAAACCATACTTAGAATCGGCGTGACCAGAGCGATTGCGCCCGACACAGAACAGTATGTCCATTGCACACCAATCCGCCTGATCAGAGGGTTGACCACGGCTGCAGCACCAGCGCCCAAGAAACAGCGCACAAGGTTGTTAGCAGCCATTGCGGTAGCAGGCGTCTCGTAGTACAAGTCGACGATGAGAATGTTCATCACGTTGTATGCCGCCGTAATACAAAAGCAAATTACAAACACCACCATAAGCGCAACCAGGAGCGGTGGCTTCAGGGGTATCAATACTCCATAGACGACTATTGAGGCAGCTGCAAGTATCTGAAAGGGGGAATCAAAGTCAACTAATAGAAGGGGTCAACTACAAGGTGTCTCAGGGCAACTTACTGTCATTGGCAGACCAATCTGCAACCTCGCCTGTTCAATGGGAAATGCAATGATGTCCTGGTTTTGGTTCTTGTGTACCGTCTGACCGCCGTTCCGTCGAGTTCGCCGGTAGTTCCAGTCAACTAATACTCCGTTGGCAGTTGCACTGAGCAATGACCCCAAGCCTGCAGGTATGAAGCATAGTCCAATACCAAGGTCATCTAGGTCATAGATTCTCTGGAATAGTGCGGGAATTCCAGCTGTGACGGCGTAGTAGCTGCTGAATATAACTCCATTTGCCAAAAGCACCAGTCCCACCGGTCGGTGGAAAAGCAAACGTAGAGTTGAGTATGGGTTAGGGACATTCACGCGCCTCCTCAGCACAGTTGGTGCAGGCGGGGCCACTGTGGTGGTGGTCTGTAAGTAACTCCAAATGGCTCGATTCCATCCAACCGCAGGAGTCGACCCATTTCCCACAATGCCACGACATGTCTCTGGGAAGAAGAGCAGAAGTGGCATGAAGAAAGTACCGGCTGCAATAGCAAGGAACCAGAATATTGCTTCCCAGCCCATATACTTACTCAAAACACCACCAAGGATTGGCCCGATGGATGGAGCAAGAATGTTTCCTAGGGAGGTAAAGCCCATGTACATACCTCGCTCAGCAGATGTGATAATATCGGCTGCCACTGCGGATGCAAGGGCCACGGTGCCGCTACTGCCACAGCTTTGAACAGCACGAAGAGCTAAAAGCGCTGGAAAACTGTGTTGTAGAGCGAGGGCAATGTTCCCAAAAATATATATCACGAAGCAAAGGATGTACGCGGGCCTACGACCGGCTTGGTCTGCCAATGATCCTGTTAACATTGGAGCGAGGCCCTGGCATATCTTCAGCCGGAGATGTCAGTATATCCGACTAGGAATTGTAGGTTCTGGTAGAACATACCATGTATGTCGTGATCGTCAGATTAATTTGAGATGGACTCACTCGCAAGTCCTTAGCAATGGAATTCAATGCTGGGTAGTAGATATTGGCAGACAGAGGTGAAAAGCTGGAAGCCAGTGCCGCTGTCAAAATGATGAGGCGTTTCTGTGTTGGTGTGAACACGGAATATGGTTGGGTGGTAGGAGCAGCACGCAGCAAAGGCGTTTCTTCGTTAGCCTCCTGCTGGGGCATTTGTTGATGGAGATCTTGATTGTTCATGTTGGTTCAAGGTAGAGTGCTAAAGAGAACTTTCTGAATTGCTTGTGGGCTTGATGGAGAATAAATACCCCGGGCCGTTGAATCGACCGTAAACCCGACATCACTTCAGTGAACGGCTAATTACTCTTCAAATTATGTGTTCAATGCGCTTTTACAGAGTGCAAGGATCTTACTTTTCGGTAAATCTCTTACTATGGAGAGCTCTCACTAGTTTCCATAAAAAGCAGCTAACAACATTGATGTAGGAGTAATCAGTCCCGGGGGGGTTTTCACTGCTATATCTTAGGCCTTGGGGCTGACGTTGGTTCTGCCTGGCCCGTATACAGATGAATAGGTCGAAATAGCTTGCCGCGAGTGACTATAACGCGTCAGTCAAGTTACCAAGCTGCCAGTAACCCATATCCTTACCCATGTAGTCTCTCCAATGCGCCATGATACCCATAATGCGATGAGCAAGCATTGCCGCGGGAATCATTTCAGGCTCAAAGCCACTAAATTAGTGTATTGGAACCTGCGGTCATAGTACATATGCCACGACTGTACTTACATTCCAGTAAACACGAAGTTGCCGTAGAAGTCCGCATTGGGATACAGGCCCCGTTTACGGAAGTACTCGTCTTTCGTAGCAGCCTCCTCGATCGCTTCGGCGACTTTCAATAGCGGTTGGTGAACATCAGTCAGATCCTTCAGGATACTTTGGATCGGACGCACGCGCGGGTCCATTCCCTTATACGTGCGATGGCCGTAGCCGAATAATTTTCGCTTTCCGGCTTTTATTTCTTCAATGAAGGCTGGGACATTCTTTGGTTCTCCGATGTCATGGAGAGCGCGTTGGGCGGACTCTGTTGCGCCGAAGTGTAAGGGTCCGTGGGCGGCAGCCACAGCAGATATCAGACAGGACACAGGGTCAGTCAGGGATGAGGCGGTCGCTAGAGCTGAGAAGACTGACAGGGCCATTCCGTGCTCGGCGTTGAGGTTGCCAAAGCGGCGGAAGCAGGATATGCGTGTAGGATCTGGGATATTTGACTCTGGGGGTACAAGACCAGCCATCGTGAATAGATTCTCGTAGTAGGTCTGGTGAAGAGTCGGACGCCTCCAAGGAATGCCTAGTCGGTGTGATCGTACGGCTCCAAAGACAACAGCGTAGGCGGCAACGGTTTGTAGGATGATTTGGTCGGCCCCTTTGATATCCATTTGGTAAATTGTCGCATTTGTCGTCGCTGGGATCACCTCGGGTACACTGGCCAGGTAGGCTGAAAGGCCGGCTAGAATTAGCGGTAGTGGGCTGGTTGTCCTCCTGTGTATTCCAATGCTAGTTAGAAACGCAAATTGTAGACACAACCAGGAGTCATCATACGGGAGATTGAAGATAGTCTGGCGCACAATATCAGGGACCTCTTGCATATACTGCGCCAGCCGCTGGCGTAGCTCTTGGCATTGACTTTCTGTAGGATATGTTCCCCATAGCAGCAGATGGAACATTTCTTCGAAGTCGCATCCCCAGAGTTGCTCTAGGGTATACCCTCGGTACAAAAGTAAACCGTGCTCATGGTCACTAGACACCAATTAACCAGGCACCGCAAGCAACTTCATGGGATTCTCACGAGAAACTGATAGTTGACTGTGTCACAGCCGTGTTTTGCAGTCCAGGATCATAGACACGTAATCCATGGGCGACTTGGTCTCCGCGATTGCTATTGAGGGAAGGCGCCCGGATCTCCTGAAGGTCGGTCGCCCGTACTGCGTTTTGGTTAATGGGAATCTCATAGTTCACGTTAGTGCGCGAGTCACGGATGAATAAAGCACCAGTCGACATTTTGGAGCAGAACACTACGATAGAAAATGAAGTGTGGCGTGGAAGTCTCGTCCGGAAGCTTCAGTCTTCAGTCAAGTGCAAATATCTGTCGTCGATGGCTGACGGCGCGAACATAATGTGTCCAGAGGCAGAAAGTAGGTTGTCTCACCTGAATTTGCCGTCAAAGATACATCGGCTACTATTGGAACTTGCTCCATATGATTGGCCTGCAACAAGGAGCTAGTCTAGACGTTCTGATTGGTGCTCAATGCATATTCTAGGCTATGTAGTTGTATTCGTCATTATCACTCATTATAAGAACTCATAAAAAGCTTTCTTTTCTTCACAAAACTCCCCGCAAAACCCAGCGCCTATTCAGGGCCCCGGCATGTGCTCGAAGGGGTGGGCAAGGGATTCCTGGCAGAAAGGAAGCTTGCTGACGGTCCAGATCTCGGTGTCCTACATAGAGCGAGGGGTCAGTCACACCCCAGTGAAGGTTAAATTAAGCCCTAATTTAGGCCACTTACAGGCTTCAAGGTCTGCTTGATCTTAGTATTCAGAGTGCCAGCCTTGAGGGCAATGATCTCAGGAGCGGCTTCAGGGTCATGGGCGATGGGGGAACCACACTCAGAGCAGAAGAGGCGGTGGACAGGATGGCCGGAAGAGCCCTGGCCAGTCCAGGTCTTGACGGGACCAGAGAGATCCAGCTTGTCCTTTGGGACGACAGCGACGAGCGCTATAAGAAGGTCAACAATTGTTTCTCCTCCAATATTCATGCAACTAACAGTAGGTCGAGCCACTCTGGCGTTGGCAGTCATCGCAGTGATCATAAGCAGTGGCCAGAGGCGCGTCAATGTCCACGGTGTACGTGACGGCTTTGCAGAGGCAGTGTCCGGCGAGAGGCATTGTGTATGGATTGATTCTTTCAAGGTACTTTGAGATTGAGGACCTTCGGAGAGGGAAGGACGGGTATTTAAGAGATTCCCGTCCCCGGCACTGGAAGAAAGGTTGAGGTGGTCATCTTCATTGATTTGTCAAGTCCCGACTACTTGCGTCTCCTCTTCGCCAATGGTGGTGGGACGGGTACCTGGTACCTCCCAAGCTACGTCATAGCTACAGAGCTGACTTTCCGTTGGGCTTTTCCACACAACTCCACCGACCAAATTCAACGATTTTCGACAGTCCGAGCATTTCGAATTCCAAATAGAATTTCTTTCAATTTCAAATCAGCTAGTGCTGATTATTGGTCCCTGTCAGCCCAAAAGCTGCAAGGCAATGACAAATTATTGTACCCCGCCAGAGCTTCATGCAAGGCTTGGGGCCCCATTTACCCCTCCGAAAGGTGGACAGCTAAGCGTGCCACTCATGTCGACTATCACTCGATGATTGTCGACAGTGCTGATCGGACTCCACAAATCGGCTTTCTTGCGAATACGCCCAGCGCCTGCCCCTTATCTGTCAGCGACGGCTCATTCTCCGATTCTCCAATTCTCCGCCCGCTCTCCCATTGGAGCCAACACGCACTGGTTCCGGATGTGAGCATTCAAGAGAGGTATAAAATGGGTCTGAAGACCACGAGGTGTGTTATTCAGTGTCGTTCTCACGAAAATGAGAGGGCGACAATGTGATCGGTCAAATTGTCCTCACCGAAACTGGAGGGATTCATCAGGCGATGCGTCGGCTAGCAATTGGCACGGCTTATAGTGGGTCGTCTCGAATTTTGATTCTCATAGCTCCATCGTGAGTTTTGGACGTCCTAGTTAGTGGGTTGAGGCAGGGAGTAGCGTGAGGCTCCGAAGTCTATTCTGCGATCTGCGTTGTGATCAGTCGCTACCGACACAGAGGCGCTGAACATCAGCAACAAGCTCAATTCCTGACCCGGTGACCTGGTACATATTTGTCAATTTATGCAGGCTGTCCAAGCTGAAATCCTGAGGATTCAACAAAGTTTGTTGAATATCTTGGTGGCTGGCATGTCCGTTCAAGGGCAGCGGAATAGCGGGTCAGAGGCCTCCCAAACCCGAAAACAGATTGGCCAATTCAAATTCAGCTTGGAGACCTTCCCATAATATTTTTGTATTCACATCCTATAGCCATCAGTGTAAGGTATGTTCAAGGTGGCAATGCTAGCATATGTACACTTTTGTTGGTACAATATGTATCGTGGTATGTTCGGTATGCCTATTTTACATCGCAGTATCAAATGTTAATAGCTGCCATAACTGCCTCGTCGGGCATTTTCGATCTTGTCCGCTGCACTCTGTACACGCGACTGTCAGCTACCGTTGCAACGAAGGTCAACATCCCCACATACCTGCATCTGAGCTGCCATTCCTCCCCGAGGATTCTGACCGCCATAAACAGTGGCCTCGGCATGTTGTGCGTCACGGGCATCATCCTTGGTGATATATGCAGGCACATCAGCCGCAGCTGTAAGTCCCAAGGCATCATTACTGTCGGCGATCGACCGAACCCGAGCGGAGATATAGCCGACTCCGGGTGGTTGGTTAAATGCACGTCCCTGCAGAGACCTCGCGTTAGTGATTTCACACTGCTGAACTTTCACGGGGATTCCCTGACCTCTGTAGCTTGGATTTCCTCTGCGTCTTCTAGCGAGATCGCGCTTGATGGCTTTCGCGATACCTCTGCGACCTTATTTTCGAAATTCGCTTGCCGCATAGAAAGACTTTGGGCCGTTGCTATATTCGATCAGTCAGGCGCTGCTTGCAGATAGAATATAGTTCCTACTCACCAGCTGGTCCACCCCGAGAAGGTCCGCGTCCAGTCAGCGCGCTTTCCGCCTGCGCGATGGCCGAAACATCATCCTGCGTGATGCGCTGCCCCCGCTCAGCAGCGAGCTGGATTTCGGCGACGGTAGGAATATCAAAACTCATGACTGCGCGCAAGAAAATGACATGTCTTGCTGCATTTCGCTTGATGTAACATCTTGTTGTTCTGCTATATACTTCGACTTTGGAGTCGGTGATGTCACGGTGAGGGCATTCCAATCGACCGAACTTTGCCTTCCCTCGTCAGTGGTGGGGGCGTTGAACATACCCAGACTTGAATAGAATATTCGACTCTCCGATCAAACAGAAATTGCGGGGATACGCGATACCCCCAATTTGCCATGTCGCCTACAGGAAGGCCCCCCTACCACCTCATTCCAAGTCATCATCACCGCGTGGAACGATGTCTGGAGTAAAGTTAACGGCCATCCATATTCCGTACAACACAGTCGAGATTATCTGGAGATCTGTAAGGCAGAACAGATTGCTCAAGTGTCGTTGACTGGCCATGTTTTAGTGGTTGGCTCATTCACAACGGGGTAGGGCAGCTTCTGAGCACCGTTCCATGGATGTCCTGCTGCAGATTGCCCCTGTCAGTGCCACCGCAACTAAACCCAAAAAGGAAAGAAAAGGTGTCGAATGAGAATCCTCAGGACGAACCAGCTTCCATGCAGCGTGGCCATCGACCGCTCCGGCCGAACGACGGCAACCGGATATCCAACCACGAGATCTGGTGAGTCCCACATTGCGTGACATGGCATGATAGCCCACTGGAGCCTTGTCATGAGCAGCACGCCTCACTTGAATTTATAGAGTTTGATAATCTGGGTAGTATGAGGCGAAGATCTATCTGAAGGGAAAGAAATATCATGCTCTTATGGCCTTAAGACCACACGAGGAATCTCCTGGAGGGAAAACAATATATCACCGACGGAATCCTACGGTCGGGAACCTGCTAGATATATCAGGGGGAAATAGGATAGAGTAGGAGAAAACGGGAGTATCTGCAAGAAGAACCAGGGTCTTGACGGGAAGAAATATCTAAGTCCAAGACATCTGTAAGATCCAATAACGGACGGCGCTGTGGCCCGGAACAAAATCCCCCGGTCCTATATCTCTATCTCTATCATCACTTTTGCTGGTTTGATAGGTTCAATAAAGGAGAGTTTGGGGATATAGAAATAAAGAGCGAACCGGTCTCTTTATAGCTGCGATGAACTCTCGTTAAGTGAGAAATTCGCTCAGCCTTTAATAGCCGAGAACGTCTAAGCTACTACACTAAATCGGCCGTGTAATAAGCGTGGTTGATGGTCAAGTTGTAAGTAGTGATTTTTAGAGACCGTTTGCGGTGCTGAGTTGAAGCCTTAAATGTATTGAATTCTAGAGTATAGGGGATTTCGAAAATAGATTACCTCCTTAGGCACACCCGCTTTCTTTCCTAGAGGCCCACTAGAGAGCCAAGTCCAGATCGCCGAGTTTTAGAGTCTCCTATAGCCAATCATACCGCTACACGCTCCCCGGAGGGGACTTTCTCTAGCCAAATTTAGCTTAGCGCAATAGTAGTGGGGCGCTGGGAAAGAACGCGTGTGTTTGGGGGGTAATCTGCTTTCGAAATGGCCACGTCCCTGCCAAAGTATGTTAGTACATACTCCCTATGTCCCCCAGAATGCGACAACACAAAAATTGGGACTGTCACACCATGGTAGGAGTGGCCACTTATCCTTAGGTGATTTGAAACCACGAAGCGCAATCCACCTTTCTAGAATTTGAAGGTACATCGAGTACCGGACCTCAGCGTTCGTAAGGAGGCATTGCACTCTCCATTTAGCCTCTTCGTCCTGACCTGAAACACCAGACGGAGCGGGCGGGAATCTATGTGTGTGCCTACTAGGGTGCTCTGCATCCTCCAAAATGCATTTTCATCATTGGATACTCCATTCTATATATTCATGTAGCCAATCAGTTCGTCCCATGTTCGGGTTCCGTTCTCTCGTTCTAGCAAAGCAATGGTCGTGTCATTCACGAATCACGGGTCTTGATTTATCTACTTTGTAGAAAGAATAGGGAAAAAGCCGAAGAATGTCTTCTATTATTAAAATGGAATACAATACTTTTGAAACACTTGCTTCAGCTGGGGCTGAATATAGGTCAGCCAAGAATAATCTCAATACCATGACATAACGCAGCGCAGGGAATTGCCTTATAGGGATTCTTGCCGTCGGGATGAGCAGCGATCTGCATATGAAGTGTGCGGGATACACTGATATGAACTGAGGCTGTTCGCTTACAGTGGCCAGTTTCAAATTTGAGATCGATCTAGAAGTCGGAATATCCCGCACACTTCATATGCAGATCGCTGCTCAGCCCCACGCGAAGAAGCCCTATAAGGCAATTCCCTGCGCTGCGTTTCATTCCACATAACAACTCAGTGAAAAGAAATAAGAGCTTTCATAGTATAAACTTGCTAGTATTCCACATTATACCCGCATAAAACGGATGTCGTTGCGCCCGATACCGCTGTACATATTTGGTCCGCAAGTCAAAGATTTAAGATATAAAATATCTGTCCCCCCTGCTCAATCGAATATTTCTCTCTTATTCAAAATCACAGGCTCATAAGAATCAAAACTCAGTCAATTCTAATTCATCTACACTATACTCACCATGAACTATCTCTACTTTCTCGCTGCCTTTGCCGCTCTGGCTTTTGCTTCGCCAGCAGCCAATACCGCAGTAAGTAACTAAAAATTCGATACTATTCTTTGATATTGATGGACTTTTCAGGAGTGTGAGACTGTTAAGGCTGGGGAGTCTTGTCCAAAAGAGTAAGGATATCTTGGCATACCCTTCCTATATTGTTAGGCATTTTATCTAATTCTTTAATAGCAAACCCTACGGTTGCAATCTTTCGGGATTTCATTACTGCTGTGTAGGCCTTTGAACTTATTAAAAACTGACATAAGCTGATTATTTCATCGGACAGAACGAGAAGTGTTAGACAGCTCTGACAAGGATCAAAGGTATTTTGTTAAGGCCTTTTCTTAATGAAGCTATTGTCCGCATGTGTGTGTGTGCGCAGTTGATCTGTACGATTGATCTGCATACCAAGATTTCATGATCCTCAACGATCGCATTGAATGTCCTCTTTCAGATGAGAAAGCAAGGAGAATCCCAACATTCTCATTCCCCATTGATTTTCCCATCATGTTATACATATCGTCATGATTACTAGTTAGAAGAACCAGACTGTAAGGTTGGAAGAGACCAGACTGAAGACGTTGTTAAGTATGGATCGAGTTTCATACTTTCGTCACTTCTTCTCGATAATCTTCTTCTTCCTTCTTCTTTCTCAATTGAATTCATCTTCGAGTAGCAGTTAACTCTGTCTCTCAATCCCCGATCGGAGCACACGTGACCAGTGTAAAGCGCTCTCAGGACGAAAGTTCTGGTACTCGATGAGGGCGTGGATGTCGAGGGTGTATTTATAGTTGCGTGCAGAGCGCAGATTGCAGAACATCTAACTCGGCATCCCATTTTGAGATGCCCGTAGTCAATTAATTCAATTATAGCGCCACTCTGGAATCGGTAATGTTTCCACAGCTGAGTGAAATTCCTAGGACATTCAGGACCTAGAATTTCCCGCGCATATTTGGTCACCATCGTAAGGGAGGATTATCGCTTTCTGGAACTATCCGGTCTCCAGAATGACATATATGTCCTCATATTAGCCTCAGCCTATTAATACTGTATCGCGAATGTGGCACAGGCATTTAAGAGGCCACTTCTGCCCAATCCATCGCCTCAACGGCAACAAGTTTTCCGTCACTATATTACTCAAAATGTGCAGGTCCGAGAAATTATATGAGTCTCTTCGAGAGACTCTCACTCATATCAACCCTGAGAATTTCTCGAATACTAAAGACAAGGCAAAAGCTCAAGCAACCTATGATTATCGTAAGTTGGATTAACCTCCGGAGATTTGGACCATTCTCACCATCCACAGGACTACTAGAGTTTGCTATTACATTGGCCAACAGCGATGCTTTGGCAGAAGCGCAAACCGCCACTTATTCCACTTCCTTCAAATGCGATTCGTCGTCAACCACTCTCAAATCTTACCAAGCCCACACCCGTGTAACTCAACATCTGATCACTATCTACGAGGCTCTTGAAGAGAATCCACAGTATGTAGTATTGTGCTTTATGCCACCTCGGACTTGTAATATCCGAGTCACTGGTATCGTCTGGGGTATTTCAACCCCTATGATTCCATTCTTTTGATCTCTTTTGGACGGTCCGTCATTACAGCACTTGATGAGATGTATGACAAGGCAACTCTATCGCAGAATTTGACAGGTCCGAGCAAAATTTGTCAGGAGCTTGCGTCTTTGACGCAAGCGCCATGCGAACGGCGGTTGGTCAACGGTCGACTTAGACGGTGCTTTCTTGAGGCGTTTATTGTAGGCCACGTGGGCTGTTGGCGAAATGCCTTCACATAAGCCTCCCTGGCCAACGTCCAGTCAGAACATTCAAATCACAGCAACTAGTTTTTGCAGTCCAAATACCAACCCCAAAATGTTCTCTGTAGACGAATTTCCCATTACTGGTCAAACCTCGAATCGTAGAAGACTTGGGAGCATAAGAGAGCTCGTAATCTATTATCCTTTGCACAATCTCTCCTTCGTTCCATCTTCCGTTGTCAAAGATGGATTCCCCAAACCCGCCATTCGACCATGTTGCTAGGAAACATTACCGGATTGGACCAAGCTCGAAAGACCGCCTCATAATTCCCTGGAGCTTAGATTAAACGATGGTTACAGGATCAGTTTGGATAGTTTGTTGTTATCCACTCAGCTCTCCAATTTTTGAGGCCTTCAAGTGAGATACGCCTGGTTCCGTTGAACTATATCGGCGGTGGAGGTCTGAATATTGAGGGCATATCTGTAGGAAGACATTGGACTGCGTAGGGGCCTAATATCTATAAATGCAGTATGATAGAAGTCGGCGAAAGTCTCAAGCAGAAGAATTGCTTAGCTTGTTAACCCAGCCATGTCTACTGCGGAGTCTTTATCTAGCTCTGTAGACTGTGATATCGCTACCCTGTTTGTCCATAATGATATCCACGAAGCCATATTTAATTATGAGTTGAGAAGCCGCCCTCAGCAATCATTTCTCCAGTCGCACTCGGATAACCAGTTGTCTCAAGATGTCACTCGAGAGCCACTACCAGGATTGTCCCCAAAAAATAACCATACAAACAGCTGGCGAACAGGGAGAATCATCAAGGGCTCTCCCAAAACCCTGTGTCTCCCAAGGCTGTGCAAATTAGACGAGATCTCCGCAGTGCTGATTGTGAGACAAGAGTGTCCATGGAATACATATCTCCCGGCCATAAGATGTGACATTGCAGGCAAAGTGATCATCGCGAGCCGCCGATCTAATGGATCGCGGCTCCAGGAGATCCGACAGTATTCCGAATCCGACGCCAAGGGACTTATCCAGCGATTTGAATGTCTTGATCATGCCAACGTTCTCTCAGCTCGGGACTGCTACCTCGATGGTCCCTCCCTCTACGCATTGGTAGAAGATCTTGCCCTCGCACTGGACACATAGCTATGAGTCCAAGTCACGGCATTGTACCCTTGAGGAAGGTTCACGAATTTGCTCAGGGTCTTTTGGATTTCTCCTTGCCAAATGTCTTACATAGAAGCTCTTTCAAACCATACGATAGTCTCAGTTGGAAGAGACGGTAGTGTATTGTCAATCCAAAACGTCTTGTAATTTCATAACTGTCATTCCATGATAACACGGCTTTGTCTCACTCTCAGAGCTTTTTGGGTGAAATGGCCCTTTGGAGTATATGCCAATCTGACTTCGGGTCCGAAAAGGTTTCATACAGCATCTTGACAATTTTTGCCGAAGATGCTAATGCGAACCAGGATAGTTCAAGAAATACATCTACATTGAACTCAGGCTTATCAATTGTTCAGAAATTTGGAGTTATATAATAGTACTTGAAGCTATACCAGCGGTGAAGTTAAACCCTCTCTAGGGAGTTCACTCCGTGGACTTGAACAGAAGCTTTAACATATAATCATCATTTTATCAAAAGTGTGAGCGTCACTGAGAAAGGGTATACGCTTTCTTCGCTGGAGGTTACGCTAAACTACCTAGGTAGGGCCGTAGGCCCTCCTTACGCTCAGTTGTCAGGCGATACGAAGAAACAGCGAGACCTCAGCAAATTAAGGATATGTTAACCGTCCTTAATTTGTCAGTGTAGAGTCTAGTATATCCGTACTACGAAACCTTCGATCTGCCATCAAGTAGAAGTCTCAATGTAGACTCGTCCCTTTGCAGCGTAGCTAGCGTAGACACTGTTGCTTAGGGCTCTGCGCCCTGTTCGGGCAATATAGGGATGTCGATTGTCATTAACAGCTCAATATAATGGCGGAAGGGCATACCATTGTAGATCAGCAACTTTAGCAGTCAGTCGCGTATGCGGCCTCTGTCCTTGACGAAATAGGGCTTTAATGCATCTAGCCAGGTGACTAGATACGATGTTAGAAACGTTATATATAATAAAACACTCCATTGCCCGTTTTGTGTGTCCTTTCTAGATGGCGTTTTAGATGGTTTCTTTTTACATGACCTTTCTATGTATAACAAGGGACTAGGGACTAAACGCGATTTGGCAGAATCAAGGCGTCATGTCCCTTTCATAGTTGAAAGCAGGATATGACAGGATATGACAGTCACAACATCTTACTAGGCAGTTGGACGACCCACATTATGGGAAATAGGTTATGTTAATTTCGCCAATGTATCTACAGAGGAAATATATATAGAACCGTTCAAGCGGGCCCCATAGGCTCCAAGCGGCATCTGATAAGCTGTAGGAGACTCGGCAAGAAAAGACACAGTAAAATGGCGCCCGACAGGTCTCCCAAGACGATGCCGACGAATACAGGGCACAAGGCCAAGCCTACCCAGCTATGAGGCTCTTTAGAGCCAAGAAGTGTGCCGTCTTGGCAGGCGTCGCCTTGTGTTGTGGGGCTTGTATTGCTTGGTCGTTTCCAAAGTCTATTTCATTCTCGCGACGAAAAAGGATGGCAGAAGTTCTTAATGCGCATTAGGGTTTGTCCGTTCATTTTGTAACGATAGATGTAGGGGCTGGAGAGTTAAAGTGTATTCATTCCAACCTTGAATATAGTCACGTGGTACAACTCACAGCCAGTTGACACCTAAGGCATTTTGTAGTAATGGGACGATGGAAGCGGTGTGACTGCTCTATAAGTGATCACATGCCCCTGTCTCCTAACCGCTCTCGTTTGACCAATCACAAACCCGTCAGCATCCCGTTACCGGGATTGAACGCTACCACTCTGCCCTTCACCTGTTCTATGATCAAAAAATCAACTGAAGACGATAAACAGGGTGTTTGATCGCATCTTTCGCTTTATTTGCTACCTATGAGCTCCACTATCAGCTTGTGTTCGCCCAAAGCTCAGAAATGGAGGTGTACGAGCATCTATTGGTCCCCATCTAAAGAACCATGCTGAGGAAATTATATACAGATTACCCAAAAAAGGAAAAAAGGCGTGTACTATGTGCCGCCAGCAAAAGGTATCGATGACTCTCCCTTTACAGAATCCGTATTGACTCCAGTAGGCTAAATGCGATGTCTGGCGGGATGAGAGCGTACCATGTTCCCGATGCCGCAAACGCAATCTGGAGTGCACCATAGATGACAGCTTCACAAGAGAGCACAAGCGTCGGTAAGAGCCTAACACCGAGTAAGTCGGAACGAATCCACGTCTTACATATATTTCTCCAAAGCCGATACATCGCACTAGAACACGAGAATGAGCGGTGGCGCCAACAACTACAAAGCTCTCAGTTGAACCCCGATTCCGTGCCGACTGCATTATCCACGGCGGCAACGGACCTGGTGGTACCGGCTGCGCTGAAGCCGGATGCTCAATTGGACGATTCGCAGGGTTTGTCGCTGGCTTACCCCCAATATCATCTTGCCCCAGCGGGCTCCGTACCGGGTACGATTATGGGAGGGAATGACCCCACAAAGCCACGTTCACTGAAAAGCGTTACCGTTACGGGAGGAGAGATTGACGACCTGTACCAATTGTGAATATTTCCAACCGCTTCTGCTCGGCGTGCTGCTAATATCTCCAGGTTCTTCCGTCACTATGCCTCGTTCCTCCCGATCCTCGATGTGCAGACCAAGCCGAATTCGTACCACACGCAGTCTCCATTCCTGTTTTGGGCCGTCATCGGCGTTGCCAGTCGATCATATTCCCGGAACCCGACTTTGCAGACTGCGCTGGCCCAGGAAGTCACGGAAATGGCATTTCTGTCGGTCTTATCGACGTGCGCGCCGTGGTACACCATACAGGGACTGTTGCTCTTGCTGACATGGCCGTTTCCCAAGGAGAATCGCCCGGATGTGACGTTTCCTCTGAGTGGAATGCTCTTGCATGTAGCGATGCAAAACGGTTTCCATATCCCAATGTCGAGCCATGAATTTTCCCGAGTGAAGATCCCGGCGCCGTCAGACTTGGATACGGTCAGACGCTCCGAGCTGTGGGCTCATTGTGTCCTTGTGTACCAACGGTGTGTATCTTTCTTTCAAAGTGTCGCCAGGCGAAATTACCGAGCTGATTCATCGTAGGTCTTGTGTGATCAAAGGGCAGTCCCCGCGAAATCTGGTCAGTTTAGCACAGGATACCATCCAACGCCAGGTGCTATTTGATAAGATTGCTCCACACCTGGTTCAGAAACTCAGATGTCTGGAGGTCGTTGGGAAATGCAGCGAGGCAGTTCTGGAGAACGGAGTTCGTGCCATGTCCCTCGACCAGGAGCTGGCTTTGGACGTCTTGTTGCGCAAGTATGAGGGAGAGGTAGATGATATTGCATTGCAGGCAGTAGTCGGTCCGTTTCTGACATGGATTTCCTCGGCAATATTCCATCCGCTAATGCCTGTTTCCTTATTACAGACGATGAGAGGTATCACCTTCTCCTTTGCCGCATGGCAATCCAAAGCTTCCATTTCTACAAAAATCAAACACTCGTCTCCAGTGGATGTCTTCCACGTCTTATCGTCACCGCTTGCAACTTGATAGACTATGTTCAAGGCTTGGCGGATCGTATGGGATCTCTCTTCATGGCACCTGTTCAGATAAGCTTCGGTCTACTCCTGGCTTCTATGTCACTGCTGCGGATTCTCAAAAGCGATTATGCCTCCAGCGGACTCGACACAAGCCGTGCCCAGGCATCATTCTTCGCCACCATCAATTTGGCTAAGCAAATGTCCACCGACAGAAGCGATACAGCTGCTAAAATGATCACGGTTTTGAATCAACTATGGATTAGCAGCAAGGCATTTCGCAAACCCGACGGCTCGGAATACACCGCACTTCGAATTCGCAGTCGCTTGATCCTCAGTCAGATCTTAGATGCTGTCTGGTGGTGGCGTGATGAATATGACCCTCACACGCGCTCTAAAAAGCAGGGGACGGAGTCTGTTGACGGTCCTTCGCGAGCCAATATGCTTCCGGGCATCGAGTTAGGGCGTGCTGTAATGGGAACAGATCCTACTCGGGACCCCTCTGGCGGGATTCTTCAGAACGCGGGTCCTCTACAGGGAGAGTTCCAGATCAACGAGGATTACTTGACAAACTTTGAGTGGCTGAGTGATGAAATTTTCTCATTTCCTCCAGATGCGTCGTTGACGAACAACCTACCTTGAACGCATAAGTTGACTTTAGAATCCATACTCAAGGATCCATTTTCACTTTGCATTTTCGTCCGATGGAAGTGAAATGGCATTGTAGAGAGGGGCCAAGGATCACGAAGGGCGTATACCGATCACGGATCACGCCCTTCGTGATCCCAACTAGCTACATATAGAAGCTAACCCCGGGCTCAGTATGTACTCCAAATCCCGGCATTGCCGGTCTCGGCCCATTGGCAAATTTGCCTCCGTATGTCCAAACGTCCTCAGCGACATTGCGGCACGCCCACGAACAGATCCCGCCTCGAGGTGTCAAAACAAAGATCTTACCAGCAAGACCTAAGACTAAGCCACTAGGCAAGCAAGCACGCGAGCAATGCCATGCAGATCGAGTTGGACGCGCGGCCTTACAGCACGGGGTTAAGGATTCTCCAGGTGCCCTTTTTAGCACCTGGCTGATAAGGAAATTGGTTGCATACGATCGGGCGAGGAAGCTTAGTTCGGGTGATCTCCGGTGAATTAGATATGGAGTGGCCACTAGGGAGTCCGGTATTTTTCCTCTGACAATGCACTATTATTAACTGACAAGCCACCTTCCAAGGTTGGAATACTCCGTACTTAGGTTCCTTAGGTACCTGTGCTATAACATTGAATTGCCTGTTTGTATTGGAGGCGGTCAACAAATAAATGGCGTATCCCTTTAGCCTCGGCTCACCCCCTGCCTTGATTACGGCTTCCCCAGCTTTTGCTTCATGTACTCTTTGTCACAGAAATTATTTCCATTGGTCAATACGATCGGCTTTGCGCAATTTACCCCAGGTTAAGGAGATCATCCATAGTTCCAAGCAAAGCCCGCGTCACTACGGAGTACTCCGCACAAACTACGCTCGAGGTGTTCCATTCACGTTTTCGCATAACATAATATTAATGCAATTTGCAGACAGTTATTATTCCTCCTATCACGCGATACACCTCCCATCACTTGGCATATCTCTGGTCTTGGTGTGAGCCAATGAGGAATCTCGATTGTAAGCGCCCATTTCAACACCCCCTGCAAGTCCGTGGGGCCTCCGGTTTGAGACACGCTAGATTCGAAGCCACTAACGCACGTCCTTTTCGCTTTCGGGTGGTATCCAGTCAATCATCTAAGCAATAGAAGCCCGCTAGAAAAGTTTCCCCACATTGAGCCATACGGGCCCATTCCACAGTGCTTGTCTTGTCCTGAGCTGTCAGCTACTAACCATTGGGGACTCCGGGTAACACCGAGAGCCTCAGATTGCCTTAAGATGGAGTTGACATTTGGCAGAGACTCCACTATTTCAGCGGGCATCACCTAAATTTGACTAATACGCAGAGATAAGAGGCTACTACCGGCTGTTTTCTCATTTGCAGGGATGAAGTCCCCGTATCAATTGGGAATATGGCCTTTTCCCAAAACCGACCATTAGCCCCGGAGATGGGCCGACAAGGCTTCAATCAGAGACGCCGATTGGTTGGCTACAATTTTAGCTGCAAAATTAGCGGCAAAGCTAAGTCAATAACGGCAGGCTCACCCTTCTTCCTCCGTGCGCCGGCTTATCACTAACAAGCTCTCAGGAGATTGCTTCTGTGTCTTGGAATTTCCGTACGGGATACTCCGCACTATGTACAGAGTAGACACCCTACATTATCTCGAATTACTTTGAAAACATACTGTACGATATACCATACTCTGTACTAACTTCCTAGGTATATTCTCATAAATCCCTGTCCTGAAATACCCCATAACACGAACTACGCTGGATTAAATAGTCCGAAGTGATCGAAAGTAACCCAAGGAACGCCACCAAGTATCTAGATACTCAAGATACGATGAATTTCTTCTGGATTATAGTAAACATAAGAGGTCTGTGAGTTATCGGGCCAAGAGGCCAAATCACATTGGATATTGGTGTTTGCTTCTTATATGCGCATTGCCTCTTTCCGCCTCAAAGCACCTGCAGCCACTCAAGTCTCGTGTCTCTCGTCTAACCATCCCTCACTTCCCCTCCTCTCTCCCCCCCACTTCCTGCTTTCCAATCAACTCCCTAGTTCACCACGCGGTCTCATCTCGGCTCGTGGGTTACATCCACCCCAGGATAAGCCTGAGATATCCTCTTTGGGCGATAAGGCGGACTTCCGACGGCCTCTTCTTCGACCAGCCTTAAATCATATTCGAATCCCCTTCGTTGCTTTCTTTTTCTCACTTTACTCGTCTCCCTCTGAAATTAGCCTTTGTGCTCCATACATTTCAACATGGAGAAGGACGAGTCTATCGCCGTCACCACCGGTGCGATGGTCGACGAGACTGCGCCTGATGATAAGCTCAAGCAGCTGCGTGACCTCAAGAGCCACCACCACTGGGATCCAAACATGCCCGAGGAAGTTGCTGAGGAACTCGATGAGGCCTTGCACACATCCGATAAGCGTACCCAGGAGGTCATCGCTCAGGAACTACTGGAAAACTCCCCGTATCCCGAGGTTCGATCGGCCGTCTCCAACGTCGATGAGGGTGGATCTGTTAACACTATTCGCGCCTGGGTGATTGGTCTTGTATTTGCGACCATCGGTTCTTCCCTCAACATGCTGTTCTCCATGCGCCAGCCATACATTGTCATCCCCTCATACATTGCGCAGGTTGTCGCCTACCCAGTGGGAAAGGCATGGGAAGCCTGGATGCCCAATTACACCTTCCGTATCTTTGGATACGAAGCTGAACTCAACCCGGGTGTTTTCACCAAGAAAGAACATACAATTGTGGTTATCATGGCAAACGCCACATTCGGTGGTGGCGCCGCCTACGCGACGGATGTCCTCTTGGCTCAGCGCGCCTTTTATGGACAGCACTTCGGCTGGGGTTTCGAGATCCTTATGTGTATCTCAACTCAGATGTTGGGCTTCGGCATGGCTGGCTTCTTCACCCGCTTCCTGGTGCAGCCCTCGGCCATGATCTGGCCCTCGACCCTGATCAATACCTCCCTCTTCACTGCACTGCACGATCGCACCAAGCCGGATCCCAGCAAGGTCGCTGGCTGGAGGATCGGCAAATATCAGATGTTCCTGTACGCCATGATCGGCTCTTTCTGCTGGTACTGGTTCCCTGGCTACATTGCACCATTCCTGAGTATCTTTGCATGGGTCACCTGGATCAAGCCCCAGAACGTGGTAATCAACCAGCTCTTTGGTGGATCGACCGGCCTTTCGCTTATCCCAATGACATTTGACTGGACTCAGATCTCTGGATTCAACTTCAGTCCCCTGATTGCTCCGTGGTATGCTATCTCCAACACGATGATCGGCATGTTTCTCTGGTTCTGGATTGTCACTCCTGCCATTCACTACTCCAATCTCTTCTACTCTCAGTACCTGCCCATGAGCGACTCCAACAGTTACGACAACACCGGTAATGTGTACAATGTCACCAAGATTCTTACTCCCGACTTTACCTTTGACACCGAGAAATACTCGAACTACTCCCCTCTCTTCCTGTCGACAACATTCATGCTGGCCTATGGGCTGTCGTTTGCCAGTATCGTCGCTGTGCTCGTCCAGGCCGGTCTTTTCAACGGCCCGGATATTTGGGCTCGATTCCGTCGCGTCGGAAAGGAGGAGGAAGATGTCCATGGTCGTCTCATGACGCGCTACGCTACAGTTCCTATCTGGTGGTACTTGGGTGTGTTCTTGGCCATGACCGCAATTGGCTTTGGTGTTGTACTGGGCTGGCCTACTCACATGAGCTGGTGGTCCTTCATCATTGCCCTACTCATTTCCGCCGTCTGGTTTGTTCCTATTGGCATCGTCAAGGCCGCCACCAACATCGACATTGGCCTCAATGTCATCACCGAGTTCATCATCGGTTACATGCAGCCCGGTAAACCTATGGCCATGATGCTGTTCAAGACCTACGGTTACATCAGCATGTACCAGGGGATGTACTTCACACAGGATCTGAAAATCGGTAAGTCCCGTCGGTGTCTCTCTGATGTCGATTTGGTATACTAACCTATGCTATCAGGTCACTACATGAAGATTCCTCCCCGCGTGACTTTTATGGCGCAGATGGTCGCTTGTTTCTGGTCGTCCCTGGTGCAGATCGCCACCATGAACTGGGCTCTGGGCGCAATCAAGGGAGTGTGCGAGCAGTTCCAACCTAACCACTTTACCTGCCCCAACGGTCGCGTGTTCTTCAACGCCTCCGTTATCTGGGGCGTCATCGGGCCCGCCCGAATGTTCTCCATCGGCCAGCTGTACTCGCCCCTGATGTTCTTCTTCCTCGCCGGCGGCATCCTCCCCGTCCTGATCTACATCGGCGCCCGTTTCTTCCCCAAGAGCCCTATCAAGTATCTCAGTGCCCCTATCATCTTCGGTGGTGCCGGTCTGATTCCCCCCGCCACCCCGCTGAACTATCTCTCCTGGGGTATCGTCGGATTCGTCTTCAATAAGTACATCCGTGACCGCTGGCGCGGGTGGTGGATGCAGTACAACTACGTCCTGTCCGCTGGCCTGGATGTCGGTCTCGCGCTCTGCACCATCCTCATCTTCTTGACCCTCAACTTGACCGACACTAGCTTCCCCGAATGGTGGGGAACAAAGATCGCCACCAACACCATGGATGTCTCTGATACAGCCGTTCGGAACCCTGTCGCTGAGGGTCAGACCTTTGGTCCCACCAAGTGGTAGAAACCCGGACCTGTTATCTGTTACTTTGGTTCCTATTTCCTGGTTGGGAGCCAACTGCGGTCGAACTCGGGGCATACTACAGCTCTTCGAATATTAGTTCACGTCAGCCACGATAGTCACGATATCATAGTATTATTATCCATTGATTCTTATTTCTCGAACTTTCTCTAATTTAATATCTCGAGTTCATCGATTTGAGCCCCGATGGGTACTTCATAGTACGGCTCAGGACTTAGGTCCTGAGGATTCTATATCTTCCGCGTTCTTATCTCTTGACTCATTTTCTTGGCGTTATTATACATACCAGCAAGAAGTAGTTTCTTTTAAAATCCGATGCAAAAAATATAAAAGTATGACGTATGTACACGCTTATCAGATTCCCAGCATTTGACTGACAGCCAAATTGAAATCGACAAGCCAAAAAAGGAAGGTCATCAGCGACTGCACTGTAAAACACTTACGCCAACGCAAGCACAATAAACCGACTGAGCCATTCTCATCGAATCATAACAAACAAATGGTGATCCAATAATAATCCAAGATCCCATTCCATTCCACCCTAGGTCCAAACTATTCCGATCCTTAGAAACCCCTTCTTTACAAGGGTGTATATTTTATATCCCAAAAATGCCAGAGGCTCAAACCCGGCGACGCCGCATACCAACCTGCAAAGCGAGCGGCTTGCGCAGGAATCCCTCACGCGTCTCCATGGGTCGATCCTGGTGCATCTCGAACTCGAATAGCCGGAACACAGTAGCGCAAATAACGAGGAGTTCCATCTCGGCGACGTTACGGCCGACACAGGCGCGAGGACCGTGGCTGAATGGGATGAAGGCGGCCTTTTGACGTGCGCTGAGGCGCTCGGGACTCCATCGCTCTGGAACGAATTGTTCCGCGTCTGCGCCCCAGATCTCCTTCGAGCGGTGGATCGTGTAGCTGGGTACTGAGAGGATATCGCCGGCTTTGAATGTGTGGCCGCAGATCACGACGGGGCTGGAGCCGGCGGGGATCTCGCGGGGAAGACCCATTGATGATGTGCTGTGGATGCGCATTGTTTCCCAGATCACCCATTGCAGGCTAAGGGTCTGGTTAGTTTGGGGGCATGTATTTTGTGGGGTTGGTGGTGTGCGGGCTTACTAGGGGATCTCCTTGACCATGGCGTGCGAGGGAACTTCAATGTCCTTGGGGATGGCTTCGTCCAGGGCCTTGTGCAGCTTAGGGAGAACGTGCGGGGTAGTCATGCACCAGTACAGGATGGCACAGGAGGTGTTGGAGGTGGTGTCGGAGCCGGCGATCAGTTGAGTGAGGGCCTCGGCGGTCAATTCGGCGCGTTCAAGTTGGTTACCGTTTCCGTCCTTGCCTTCCATAAGGCGGGCGAGCAGATCCACACGGGTGTTGTTTGCCATAACCTCCGGCTTGAGACGCTCGTTGACACGGGCGATGGCGATACCAGCAAGGTTCTCAACGGCTTCCAGGCCTTCGGAGAAGAAGCGGTCGGGGATGTACTTGGCGAAGGGGATGATAGACGGCATGCAGCCCAGGGTAGCGGAAACCTCACCACGACGGTTCAGAACTTCGACAGCAGCGACATATTTCGGAGGGTCCTTGGGGTCCAGACGCATCTCAGCAATATCCTGGCCCTTCTCGAGCATGCCGAAGGGAGCACCGAAAGCCAGGTCGCCGATGATATCGAAGGCCAGGTAGTTGAACCAGTTGAGGGCGTCAAGGCTGACATATCCGGTCTTGGGGTTACCCTGGAGGTCGGACAGACGGTTCCATTGCTTCACGAACTCCTCAATGTTGCCGTGGATATACTGCTCGAATTGGCCAATGGACTTCGCACTGAAAGTGTGAGAAACGGTCTTGCGCTTGCGCGAATGCTCGGCACGGTCACGGGTGTTGAACAAGCCACGGCGGATAGATACAAAGGCATCGTAGAAGTCCCTTGGATATTGTCAGTTTCGGTGAAGGTTTTCGGGCTACAACATTGACGTACGCTTTCAAGAAACCATTTCCGTGTCCATAGACGGCCTGGATAGCTGCATCGTCGGCAATAGAGACCTGCGTAGGTGAAATGCGGACTAGCTTTCCATGCTTCTTGTGGGCCTCGTCGATCGTTAGGTACTTTTGACCCCGGCGGGCCTGCAGCAGTAGCCAAACGTTGGTGAACGCGGCAAACCCGGCAGAGGGAATGTCGCGCAGGTGCGACTTTTGCACGTACGGCACCAAGTAATAGGCTACAGCGAGGCCGAGAAGAATAAACGGAACATTCTCGAGTGTCACAAGCATGGTGCAGTGTTGTATATTGAGCGTTGGACAAAACAACTCGGGGAAAAAAAACGTACTAGCCCAATGCACACAAAAATAATGCCAATCAATGAATACAGAATATATGTTCAAAGGAGAGGAATTGGGCTCAGATCCATGACCAAACGCGAGAATCCAACTTATTTATGAAACGAGGGATGAGTGGTCATCAAATCACCCCCGAGGGTAAGGCAAGGCAACGGGAAGCAATTTCGGTAGTGTGGAGTGCAGACCCTGGGGGCGAAGATCCATGGAGAGTGCCGTCTCAAGCCTCCGGACCACCGACAACCCCTCGGTTATTGGCTTGGGGAGTTCAGGCAAATCAACGGTCGCATATTGGCGATGAGTTGCCTCCATTTCCTGTTTAGCGTAAATCATTGGCGGTTGATTCGTTGGAAAAGAGAGTGGGGGGAACCAGCACGAGGTGCGGTTGATGCCTGGTTTCTGAGGCCAACATTGATGTCATCAGCTGACAGGACGCATGTCAGCGAAGCTCTGTCTTCATACACGTGACGTTTACCCCAGACCAACCAAAGTTAGGATGACCTGGCTTATTAGTGATTATTAATGGTTTTAGTATTTGACCAGTTACCTAGGTAGTTAACTAACTAGTCTACTTGTTAGTTACCGAATTTTCAAAGGTCTAGTGCTTTAGTTATTAATGCCTTTCCCCATGCGTTTTACAATCACCGGTGATAGAGCGACTAGTGATAGAGCGACCGGTGATAGAGCTCTGCTGGACGATGCGACCGGTGATAGGGTTACGAGACCGACGAATCTTTCGGACAGAGCTCCCCTGACCTCCAGTCAGCTGGGTACCCCGGAAGTCACACATAATGTTACATAATACCAGGCATAAATCTGCCTCGAGGTATAACTTGCGTAACTTGATGAGTATAGGATATGTACTTAGGTAGTATGTACATATCAATTGTTCAGAATATATATGAATAAATGTACGTGAATCAAAATCAGGGCTCCTTACTTCCCCCATCTTTCAATGATGATGATGGGCATGATCATGATGGTGACTCTTGCTCATCAACCCGTGAGCCCCCAAGAAGTCATTGATCTGCTTATAAGCCGCAGTAGCATTATAGTGCAGGTTAATAGCATGGCCAGTGTTGGGATGGACATAGGCAGAGAAAGCACTGGCCAAGGGGAAGATCATCTTCGCAGCAGCAGGAATAGAAGCCGATTTCCCACCCATGTGCGAACAGTCGCCTCCACAAAATGGCACATCGTTCGCACCATCAATGACATACACAGGTCCTGTGAAATTGCTCTGCGCTGGAAGACCGGTGATAGTCAGGAGTTCACCGATGGTCATAGGCTGCTTGTTGCTTTCTGCATATCTCAGAAGACCGATGTCGAAATGGGGCGGGTAGAAGAAGAGATATACATTGCTGCCGATGTCCGCGCTCTTCAGGTACCCAGCTGTGTACTCCGAGTTCTTGCCGTTGAGTCGGGCTTGCTGGAAGTTAGCTCCGCTGAGGAACATTGGCATATAGTCGGCGCTTGTCGAATACCCGGTGAGCACGAGCGCATCGGAAAGCTCTGGGTACATCGCGGACAGGGCAACGGTCTGGGCAGACCCGAATGAATGTCCGACATGGACGACCTTGGCGGGGGTCTTGATATTGGACATGTCGCCGTTGCGCACCTTGCGGGTCAATTGAGCAAGGGCTTCGATCTCCAGGAATGACTGGATCTCGTTCTTTGCGTCGCCATGTGAAGAGTTGCCGAGCCCCAGTCGGTCGTAGGAGAGCGTGTGGTATCCCCGGGACAAGACGTAATCCACATAGGAGTAGTTATAGTTGTTGTATGGCAGATCCCAATATCTATATTTCCATGTTAGATCACTATATACAGAGACCAATCAAGTTGATAAACTCACGACTTGTCAAAGCCCATTCCATGCGTGAGGATCTGAAGTGTGTAGGCCGAATTCCCAGCGCTCTTTGGCATACAGTATTGGGTCGAGATATTGTAGTGGCCCGACACGGTAGCATAGCCTGACAAGGCTGTTTCTGTTAGGTTTCTACCCTGTCTGGTCGCAGAGAGGACGAAGGAAGTAGCGTCAAAGTTGGTCTGCGGCGTGTTGATATTGTCGAACACGCCGTTGCGAGCCATGACAGGGAGCTCGACCGTTACATTGTAACAGGTCTTCGCAACGGCGGCACCAGCTGTCAAAGTCCAAAGTCCAATTGCTGAAGTACGCATCGCGATTGGATCTTGGGCGTGTTATCTTCGCACTCAGTTCAAACAAGCGTAAAGGGGGTTGCCTCCATTATATAGAATTTCCGCAAAAAGGTACACTTGCGACAAATACCATACCCGAAATGCGTCAATTTCAGTTCGAAAAATTCGGTCCTAAGTGATTTGTCAAAAAGGCTGAGATTGTAAAGTTGAAGTGGAACCCGACTAACGCATAGATCGATAGTGCAAAGCCCGTAAAAGGTTGTTCTCCGGTGCTAAGCCCTGAACCTGAAAGTGCCTTGGACGTTGGAGAATCTTGTTCCTGACAATCGGCATAGTTCTGCCCTGCAAGCACCAATCATACTTTATATTTGATCAGATGCCTCCGTCTGGAGGGGTTAAACGGGTATAGGTTCGAGGTGTTCGCTGCATACTGTCGATCCGAATCTAAACAGGAACGAATTATCGCTCACGATCTCTCAACCTTCTGATCCACTTAGTTCGAGCCCTAAAAATGAGGACGCACTCAACATTGATCACGGATCTCTGCCGAGGTTGGATACCACAGGTGCTTAATTGTATGTTTATTCCGGGTAATATCTCAGATCCAAGTGCGAGACTGGACTGCGGATATATATTGTTGGATATATATTCTACCTTAGTATTGGTATCCTGAGCGTAAAACCCAGTTCAACCTTGTGAGGCGGGATTGGAGGGGTTCTTTGGAAAGACAGTCCCCTGACAAGTGCATTAGCGAGAATGTCGACCCAACTGTTATAATGTATACCGAAATTCCAAGGAAACGATCTACAAGCATTCCCAAGTTCGAGGATCTAGGCCTTCATTTAGTGGAGTAGTCGATAGGGTCTGAAACCACTAAAGATGCAAGGAACAGGATCGGAACGACAGCGAGAAGAATTGTAGCCGTGCAAACCCGAAATTAAATACAAAATCATGCAGTCGCTATGTAAAATTCCAATGCGATAAATATGCTCTGTGGAATCATGTTATCCATACGTCGTACGTGCAAGTCGTAGATTACCACCGATCGCCAGTAACGGGAAACAACCCATTCTTCTTCTTTTCGGCATCCCACCGCTCCATCCACACCTTCATCTGGTCCCGACTCTTCTGGCTGGCAACATTCACCGTTGGAATGATCCGCCCGATACGCAAGGCGCAGCAGAACATGGTCAACTCGCGGAAGGAACTGTGTTCGCTGTAGGGAACACCAAAGCAGGCGCTTTCTCGCGTGCTGCCGCGCTGCGGGATGAGGTCTTGGCTGGTGTACGGTGACTTCCAGTGTTCACCGTGCAAAACAGTGGAGACTGGCGGATTTTGTACCAGTCGCCCGGCTGGTGGGCGATAGGTCCAGCCGGTCGGGCGGAAACCGACGACGCGGGAGAAGTGTGGTTTGAGGCCATCGAGGTAGTCCGCCAGTGTGTCGGCGCGGATCTCGAAGAGGGTTTGCATATGTACTTGCGCTTCGTGAGGATTGCTGGTTAGCATTGCGGTGAGCTCAGGGTCTTCCAAGCAGGCGCAGATTCGTTGCTTCGGTGGAGTGGCGAATATCTTGGATCCAAGTGCTCGGGCGATCCCCATGCATATCCGTTCTTTGCCAATGCTGTAAGTGCCAATCACTACCAGCAGTCGGTCTCCGGCATGCGAGCTTTTGTCTGGTGCTTGGTTGCTACCCGTGGCGGCGGAGAGGAATTTGCCCATCAAACCACTTGTACCATTCTTCCCCGTATCATGCCCGACACCATCTTCCTGATTCAGGCGCACACACAGCTCTGCACACGCTGCGATCACATCCTCCTGAGCAGGAAAGCCATATCTCGGGCTTAGGTATGTGGTGTCTAGGTAGCATTTGTCGATACGTTGCTGTCTCGGCTTACCAGTGACTGGGTTGGTCACATTAGGACGTAGGAGCGGATGTTGAACCTGAGCGGGAGATGCACGGAAGTCGCCACAATGCAGCACCCGCTGGGTATGGGCATTGGGCCCAGTTCCAGAGTTCTTTTCAAAAAGAAAAAGTGCGCTACCGGGACAATGATTTGCGTGTAGCATGGTGACCCGCACTCCTCCTGTCTCCGGTACTTCGGTGGTGCATTCAAACTCGACGTCAACTACCCACTTGGGATCAACACGGAGCTGCTGGCGGACAAGATTGGCAGTGGGACGACTGCAGTAAATGGGCCCATGGCACCAGGACTTGCTGAGCCCAATATAGTGATCGCTATGAAAGTGACTGAGAAAGTAGGCGTTACACCCTTCGACAGCCCCGTAACGGAAAGCATCGACGCATATGGAAAACCCCGGAATGATCTTGTAAAATGGGCAAGTCCGCTGGTAGGCTTGCTTGCCGCGAGAAGACACCTCGTTCGCGGCTGCAGTAGCCCAAGCAGTATCTTCTGCGTTTCCAGCCATCATCTTTGAGAACGCAGAACCTCCGATGGGGTTGTTCTCCGAGTAGGGATCACCTTGTGCAGGCCGAGCGATGGCAGCTCGCTCTACGCGTGTCAGTCCTTTGTTGATGTCGGCTGGTATGGCAGTCGGCTTTACCATGGGCTTAGGAGCTGGTGTAGCCGGGATAGGGTTGGATAGGCCATCGAGGCAGTCGTTAACATGCACTGCAATGTCCTATTCTGGGAATCAGCACCTCGATAGACCCAAAAGGCAGTAGTGGGCACTTACTGTTTCATTAAGATCCTTCAACGCCATTTGGCAAATAGGACATGTGCTCACTTCCTCCTCAAGATCTTCTACACCCGAAGAGTCGTTTAAATCTTTGCCAGGATCAACCTCAAGGTCGATCTGCTGCTCTTGTTCCTCACCCTCCCAAGGCCGATTTCGAAAATCTTCCCCTATAAGCTCGTCTTCTTCTTCTATATCGTCAAAATCCGCGTATTCATCATTATCGGCATTATTCGTGGCAGTTCTTACCAGTGGCGGGGGTGTAGGTTCGGAAGTGTGTTGTGTAGCCACTATTTTATCCATTTGCGATGTCTCGTTCGTCACATCCCTGACGGCAGGTGTGATTTCTTGAAGCTCCCGATATGCTTCCATATCATCCTCGCTGTCGGACTCGTCGATAAATGGTCCACTTCGTTTCTGGATTTTTGCGGGTGCGGGTACTGCTGCGGGTGCTTTTGTAGTCTTCAATTCGGCACCTGATTGTTGCGTTTCGTTAACCGGGGTGCCCGGTGAATCAACCCTCCGACGCTTGGCCGCAGTGTCGCTCTCATTATATCGCTTGTCATCCGGCTTCAAGAACTCTACATCGTCACCCCAAAAGTCAGGAGTGAGCGATCGCTCTCTTTCACTCGTCACCGCTGCTTGTTCAATCTTTGTCAGACCCTTTTTATCCTCCAAAAAAAGTCCACCAGTAGTATCATCTCTTGAACTGTTCCCCCGTTGGAAGGTCGGAGTCCCCCGGCCGCTGCTCGGTGAACATGAGGTCGCCGTTGCAAATTGGGTGATCCGAGGCTGGCGGGAAGTAGCGCCTGGGGGTGTGTCGGTCTTCTGGAAGAAACTTAAGATGCTCGAATTGCGCTTTATTGAGGATTGCTTTGTCACAGAAGAACCTTTGGATGGTGTGGCCCCCTTCTTGGCGTAAGATCCGGCCATTTTGGCTCGGTCATGGAGGGGTGGGAGTCGGCTGCACCGTGTGCGAGAATCGAGTTGCGGAGAGGGTATAAGAAAGTTCGCACCCGGTCAAAACTAGTTTGACGTCGGATGAAATGTGAATATGTAGTACGGTCAAATGTACAATATATCCATATTATGTGCACAGTCGCCAGTGAAAATCTCAGGATTAGTCGGGTCGAGAGGCGCGAAGAAACTGGATCGCGACACGAAGTCACGTGGTCGTTATTACACTCCCACCTGGAGGACTACATTTGATCGGAGTATGTTTAGAGCATTGTGATATACTCAAATCGCCAAAAGAAAAGTTGCTATTCATTATTGAAAGAAAAGTCTAACGAGGTATCATGAACAACGCAGCCCAGGTGCCAGCATGAGCTATAGGCGGGTACTCTCCGACGAAATTGCTTTTGCGGCGTATCAGCATGATTCATGAGCAGCAATCCAAGGTCCATTTGGTGGTATCTTTGGTGCACTCGATTGGTATGGGATTTTTGGATGTCCTTCGTTGCGGCCATCATTGGGTCATCTCAATATTTTGGGGGCCACATGAAACCCCATACTTTTGGCCATATAGTCATTTTCTTTGCTGAAGACCACCTGGTGGGATATTGGAGAGCGCGATGCGTGATTTGTCGTAAAATAGAGGGCGTGATCGTCTACCGAGCTTTGCCAGCCTGGTTGGCAGCCTCTGTATGATGACTCTATTAGTATTGGTTCGAATTGTAATCATTGTCGCAAGGTTTCTAGGTATTTGAGGGACACGGAAACATAGCTGATATCAAGAACTCAGCTCGGGGAACGATGCGCAACTCACCTCGCCGTGTGGCATCCTCCAACAACCCCACGTCAACCTCCGACCGAGGCAACATCACGTACCGCACCACACTGCCTCGGATGAACATGTTCTTCACCGAAGACAGGTGAGGGTACTTGGCCAGGTCCAATACTTCGATATCGTCGAGCTTGATGTTTAGATACTGGTCGACGGATTTCAGGATTCCACGAATACGGATGTCATTCTTGAGCTCAATGGTGACCGTCTGGTTGGTCAGAGTCTTGAAGAAGCTGCAATGACAAATATATTAGTTCCGATCTATACAAAATGAATTTGTGCTTCGCGCCATAGCATACCTGAAGAAAAGCATGGTTGCGGTAGATAGGAAAGCTTGGAGGGGTGCTTGGATGAGAAAAGGTGCACTCAATCAAAGGGGTGATCTGGATTCTGCCGAGGTTGGACAATGCTGCAGCTTGGATGTGAGAGCTTGAACAATGAGTATCGCAAGATTAGAGAGAGGAATGTCGACAGCGCTCGAGGGTTGGTAAGGTGAGAACAAAAGAGAAGCAGTCGGAGGTAGTCACGTGCACATCCCCATATAAGCGGCCGATGACTTCCAATGACCAAAATCCGATCGAGGCTTGTCTAGATCAGCCGGCACACCTCTCATGAAATGAACGGCTCTACAATGTGTCCACCTTCTAATAATTCTCCGCTTCTCACACAGACTATACACTACATCCGCTACACGCCGCGAAAGCTGCTGTGGCCCATTCCCCATTATTGAACAAGCCACAAGCCCTATCCCACCAGTCCTGAATTGAACTTGAACATTCACAGCTCGAGAACTCTTTTCCTTGATTCGACGTTTTGCGTAAAGCAGGCTAGCTGAGCGTGCATTGACATATGAACAAGAGAATGCCTATCGCTTTAGGTTCACCCGGTCTTTTTTGACACCAGTTTCATTAAGGCATCACGCTCAATGACGACGCATTTGGCATTAACTTACAGCTGGACACCAAGAAATTGCGGGTGGGTTACAAAGAGCCCAATGCCATCGATTACGAGACCTGCGGAAAGGGCATGGGGGAGATTTGGATTCGCCCAAGGTCGAGATCTCGAGCATAGGCCTCTGGTTCTTGCCGACCACCAATATTCTCACCCCAGATGCGCGCCTCACCAATTTCAACGAGGAAATCAGTCTCGGGTCCCTAAGGATGTTGTCTCAGTTGGTCACGTCTTGGAATACTACATGTGGGCATTTTCCATTCTTGGGATGGACTTGTCGGTCGGGACGATATATTTCCATGACTCATCAATAACTAATTCAATTATCACGTCCATCAAGATATACAGAGATGAATCAATTCAGTTACTTTGGATATCCATTTTCTTCGGTCTCTTTTGGTTGTCATTAAGCTCGAGACCACCCACTTGGTATAAATATCCCAACGCAAACGAGGGTACAGGATGCATTCTCGCCTCGCCAGCACCAGAGTGTTGCAACTCTGTAAATGCAAAGTCGAACTGGTTCCTTATGGTGAGAGCTATGTGGAACAAGCTGATAAATTCCAGTGGATACCTTTGCTCAATCATCGTTCTACAACATCCGCGGGTAAGGAATCCCTTTCTACTAGTAGTCGAAAGTCAACTTGGTTTAGAGTGGTTTATCCTTCAGTACAATGTATTGCCGTCAGTCTGGAACGTAATTGTTGAACTACATACTTTGTACATGTATGTAAAGCCACCTCCAATCTCGGAGGATGGCCTAAAGCATCCATTATGCATTCCAATGCTGCATATGTACATGTAGGTAAGCAGCCTCTGATACAGCGTCAGATATATTGTATCTAGAGTAGGAGTGGATGGAGTCTTTTACTTAGAAAGCGGTACTTCCTGTCAGAACTATCGTTTAACTGAGATATAATTGGGATATTCATTGGTTATTGCTGTCAAGGCACATCATGATGTTGGGTTCCCAAGGTTGGGTGATGACTTCTAAACTCCTACAGTAGCGCCAACTTCTGAGAAGTATACCCCGGTAAGAGGGGAAAGTGTATGACAGTGGTACATATCAACATGGGCAAGACTCTATGATTTGTAGTTGAATTGGACTTCGGCCCTCTACGCGCCTTCAGGGTCACATCCGTGTAAGCAATTGTAAGCAAGGAGATGTCAAGAGTACTTGGTCACATTAATACAAGAGGGGAAAATGTGATAACCGGTTCAATTAGCACATAATTTCTATTATTATTCCTTGCTAAGGCAGTACATCTCTAGCGTGCAGTAGCATAGTGTACTACATATGTACCCTCTTGGATTTGGCCATTTCCCCTCATTTTCCTTCTTTTTCCCCTTTTCTGCCCGATGATCGCCTCTCCTTACCGACTTTTGCATCATATGACACTAATTATGGTGATTTCCTGCCTGTTTAGGTGCCGGAAAAGTGCATAATTGATGTTCCATCCACCCCGGACGGTCACTAATTTGGCTAAAGATAGTAGTCCGGCGCGTACACTCGACCAATCACCAACCTCTTCACACTGCATCTCACTCTCATCCCACTCCCCGAGCGGTTCGTCACACTATCTACGAACCTCATTCGTCCCTTTTCACATTTTTAGACCTCGTTTACTCGACTCTTATTCAAAAAATGGCCTTGGCTCTTTGCTCACGGGCGAACCCCCTGTCCAGCGCGACGCGCCCATCTCCCTTCCACCAATAATACCAACGCTGGCTACCCCCCAGACCAGGGTTATTGGATTGATTGTGCCCAATCCTGCATTAGTCTCTGTAACGGAACTCTTTCTGAAGATGGATCGGCTGGTCACTGCACATACCCCGTGGCTGGTGGAAAGCGCCCAATTGACTATAAACCCCTCCCAACTGCCACAACTTCTGCGAAGGCTAGCGTTCTTCGTTTCGTTGCCTTCATTCTCTGATCGATGCCTATAGCTCTGGTAGCTTTTGCGTCTGATTTGTTTCCTAGTGTTATCTTGTTATCTTGCTTTCTATCTTTAACTTCACAGACCCGTTGATCGGTGTCGCCATTTCCTACGAGTCAAGATACCCATAGATATTTCCCGTGAGCGAGTCACACAAAACCAACATCCAACAGTTTGGTCAGGTGTGAAAGATGACCGACACACTCCGCATCTCGAATGTACGATTTCCGCCTCCTCGGCAGGCCCGAGGGACGGTACTTAATACTATAATGGAGGATACGCGCGAATCTCATTTCGCTCAAACCAGTCCGAAAGGCTCAGTTCCTTCCAGACCTACACCGGCAGCTATCAGCCCGCAGTTGAAGTTGCAGACCAGCGGGTTATCAATACCAACACACGCCCGCCTCGCCCGCCTAATGTCGCCTCTCTCAGCCGGGACTACCTCGTCATGCTCAGATATAGAATGGCAGTCTCAGATGCAAGAATTTACAGGATACGACGACATGTATGATGCCACAGATGATGACAGTATTGACGACAATGAGACCGAAATTAGCGATTCATGCTTTTCCCCCGATACGCGGCCATCGAGCTTGATTACACCAATCACCCGGAACTCCGTCACCTCGACTGGGAGTCGGAAGCGCTCTCTGACACTTGAGATTCCCTCTTCTGCATTGTGGCCGTCAATCAATGGTTCCCTCAAGGGCTCTCCAGTCCCGCCGACGCCTCCACCCAAGATCCCAGTCTCGCCAGCAGCACTGTCGATGCTCAGTCGTTCTGTCCCTGCATCGTATGCACCGCCTTCGCTCGATGGTAGTATGACTTCGGACCAAGAATCCATAATCAGTGCATTGGCTACACCAGACTCTCAATCTCTGCCAGACACCAACTGGGATGCACATGATATCCATGTCCGCCGAGATCTGGACGGAAGTGAAAGCGATCTAGATGCGGATGCCAATTCAGATATTCAGACTGTGCCCATTGCTATCGAGACCCCGGACGAGGACTGGCGTCATGTTCTGGGAAGCTTCCCCCGAATTCCCACCGCTGCCCAGGCATATTCACCCCCACTCTCGCCATCGCCCTCCCAGTCCTTTCATCTGAATGATGAGCCAGTTCACGAATATGATGATTTGTACGACGCCCCACAGCCAAGTGGCCAAGGCACCCTTCCGCCTAACTCAGCACTGTCAATGCTACATCACAGTCATTTGGACGAGACAGCCGACTCGTGGTCCGAGACCTCGGAGGAT